ATCAAGCGAAAAACTTTTAGCAAAAAAATGTGCTCAAATATTTCTACCATAGAGAATATATAATTGCTGCTGATGTAGATACATGTCAGCTTTTTGCCAAAAATGCAACTCTTTACCCTCGCTGATTGACTGACTGATTGACTGACTGATTGACTGATTGACTGATTGGTAATATCATGATGTCGTGACGAAGGCACAACGCCAACCGCAAGCTGAAATTCGCTTTAAGGATTTTCGGAAATTCCCGCCACAAGTGTGGAAAATTCATATTAAACTGTTATATGAAACTCGCATGTGAAAATTCATTTGAGAGCTATTTCAGAATTTACGCAGAATTCATGCGTTCGATGAAAAATGCGGGTAAAGCGGTTGTTTGAACAAAAGCTGACTTTTCGGCTTTAGACTCATGTGTTTAAATGATTTTTGGCCAAAACAAGAAAATGTAAACACATAATTGTTTTTCATTCGAGTAACTTGAAGCTCATTCTTAAACTTCTATGTAAATTTGATGAAATAGAAATGATTTTAAGGTTTGTGGAATGAAATATAGATATTGATTTATACTATATATAGAAAAATATATATTTAAGCAATCATGTCTTGGCATGGGTTGCATATGTGTTGAATAATGCAGTCGACTTTTGAATTGGCTCAGATTGCGTAATAATTGAATTATCTATAGTGCACAGGCATTGGGGAATGTCCTTAAGTGTACCATAAATCAATTAACGTTTAATACATCATTTAATTATTGCGCTTGCGTGCATTATTACAAATCTCAGTCGCCCACAGGCACACTTCAGCATGAAACCTTATTATTGCCAGCAACCGCAAGCCCACACAGAAAGGTCATTATCCGCCTCTTTTAAGCCAATTAAGAGGGAAGTGCATGCCAATCGCTGATGTGTTAGTTGAAATGCCCACGAGTATATGCAGCCCGCATGCATATCCTTCGGAATGTCAATATGGAATTTGCAATTTAAGCAAATATTTCTCACATGTCGTCACGAAAGTGTGCTGTGGTTTATTATGCACTCGTTTTTCTTTGGTAAACTTGTAAGCTGGTTTTATATTTAGACCACGAATAGTTTTTATGCACAGGCCAAAATCGGACTAGATCTTAGGCCAGATTGAAAAGTGTTGCTGAAAGTCGTTTATCATTTGCCGCCAAGTTGGCCAAGCGAGAACCCCAAAAAATGTACAGGATATACGGATATACACGTATAATTGGCGTTGATTTATTGTCTTTGTGGGCGCCTCAAGATATTCTGGTCGATTTGTGTGGGCGTTTGGGGCATGCCAAAAATGCAATTGTGTAATTGTGCTCGTCGAGTAGAAATAAAAAATGCACTTTAAATAAGTAGATATGCATGTTTCTAAATACTTATATAGAGTATGTACATATATAATTAGGTTTTGTGGCAGTCGCGTGTCGCCGCTGTCGGGCTATTTTATTTAGATAGTTACGGGTTAGTTGGTTAGTTAGACGATTGCTTTTCTAGTATGCGCCACTCCTCGCTGTCTGTCCGTGAAAATGGCATGAAAGCAGCGGGAAATGACAAAGGCTCAGCGTTGGCCATTGCACAGTGGTGCAAGGTGTTCAATGCTGTACATTTTTATTGATGTATGAGATACATACAATTGAAATTAAATTAAAAAAATTTGCATATTCTTACTCATGATACCAAATGAATCTTAAAACATATTTAAAGAAATTCATATATATTTAATGTAGCCTGTTCGGTTTGGGTTCTACAAATTTGTTTTAAAACAAGAGCATGCTGAAATTGATCATGTCACCATAGAGAATCCAATTAAAACTTTATCATCATGCCCTAAACTTCTTGAAGGACCAACTAATTTGTACACATATTCGAACCACTGTGTGCACAAAAGACGGCGTTAAGGGCTTGGCATGCTATTTTTTTTTTTGTTTAGCTTTTTTTTTCAAGTAGCATTGCATGACTGCATGCAAGGCGAGTTAAGAAGCGGCAAGCCTTGTCCTTCGTGTGCTTGCTCCTGCTGCTGCTGCTGCTGCTGCTGCTGCTGCTGCTGTCGTTGCTATTTAGAAGTGAAGGACCTGACATGCATAGCATTCCAGCATACACATGTATGCCATTCCCGCACTGAGTCGAAATTCCAATTTCCATATTTCCAGGTTTGGCTGTATACCGACCGCACACAAAACACAATTAAACAAATGAAATAGCGCACAATATAGTGCACGTAATTTGCATATATATGCCAACAAATCTGAGTCTGGCATTGGCCTTCAAGCGATTTAAGTGCATTTCAATGTTTCAGGGCACTCGCTTTGCCATTTGCCAATTAGCTAATAAAGATTTACGCGTTAAGGCGTTTAAGCTTTGACCCGATTTAATATTTAATTAGCACGCCTAACATTAAATATGTTCGTGTGCTCGCTGGCGGCAGCACATGGCGTATACGTCATATTTGACAAACACATGCACACATTTCAGGCACACGCATTGGAAAACCCCAGGAAAAGCACCAGCCAAGCAGACGGCAACAGCAGCTGGCCAGCTGCATTTTAAACGCGAGGTGGCCACTTGGAAAGGGGGCTGCTCTCTAGGCCCTCGAATAGGGGCGTTTGCCTTGACTTCCGCTATTTAAACGTTATGAAAAATGTTGTTATATGCAGCTTTCGCTGCTGCTGCAAACGTCTTTGATTTGCGCAAATAGAGTCATGCAATTAGTTAGCCCAGCTGTTGCTTGTTATGGCCAAAGCTAAAGAGCTCGTTTTCGCCGTAATGACGATTTCATGGCAAGCTGTTCTTCCCAAAACGTTTACTCTTAAGTGGGGGAGAAGTTTCACAAAGTTGATGTGTGCAATTTTTGACAGCTTAGCAAAATATAATCTTTACGTTGATGAAGCAATTTGACAGTGTCTCAATTATTATGCTATTGCAATATATTAAGACGAGCTGTAACATTTATGCAAAGAAGCTGCATGCGGCAGGGTAAACTCTATTCTAACTCTATTTTCTGGCATCTTAAAGCAGTTTGTAACCCGTTTAACCAGTTAAGCGAAAATCCGAAATTCATTATAATCAGTGCCTTCTGATCTCTACAAAGCAAAATTCCTTTAATTTTTAACGACTTACGATTTATTTTGTAAACAAATATCTGTTATAAGTTTTCATTTCACCTGTACTCTTTGCATAGTTTGAGCTTCAAAGCAATCTAGATTACAAAATTTCAGCAGCAATAACTTATCATTCGACTTTGGGAATTGCATAACTCAAGCTTTCGTGCTGCATTTTATGCACAAGTTTCAAAGATTCTTAATTTAAGCAATTTGAGCTGCCTGCCATATACATATATATGACACTTTGGGTATCTAGTTATATGTATATATGTGCCTATCGATTCGATTTTGTGCGAGTTGCTCTGCTTTGAGTTGATTGCTGCGATACTCAAACGAAGTACTGGCTGTGGCATTGATGAATTATGCATTTGATTTGGACAACTGCTGCAACTTATTTAAATTGTAAAAGCGCTGAAAGTACAGCAAAGAGTCTCGAAATGTTTTAATGTTGATGGCAAGCTGAGTTTGTGTGCCAAAAGGAAATTATCGCGCCGAATGGGAGGTCGATGAGAAATATTTGCTGGGATCAAACTGTCAAAGCTATTTCCGCCGCACCTTTGACCTATTTGCCCATCCTTTCGATTTATTCATTTCGACTGTGACGTCGGAAATAACGATGCTGCCTCCAGTTTGATAACATGGCCCCGTGTGTATGTATTCGCTCGAATACGAGCATAATGGAAATGGCATGGAAAAAACACTGAAATAAACCAGAAAAGGAGAAAAATAACAAAAACCTCTTGAGCTCTTGACGTCGAAACGCTATTACATTTTGTCCAGTCCAAAGAGGTCAAGTTGCGCACTCGAGTAAGCGAGAAGTGCGATCAAGTTTTTCCTGAGCATGTCTCTGAAATTTCTCAAAACTAGTTTCAATTTGCGAGCAATAAAATGTCATCAAGTACTGCACTTTGCCAAATGGCTTGCACTTTAAAGTTCACACTCAATGAAAAGCAATGCATCAAATTCACAATTTGCTCTTCAACTCAATATATCAAGTTTCCAAGTTGCCAGAAATCAATTATAATCAATTTTCTTTGTCGATACTTCATAGTGCTGACTAGTTTGTACCTTTGGCTGAGTGTCAGCTGCGTTTCATTTTCTAATTTTCAATTTCATAACATTTCCTGATGCCGCAAAATTCATACTTATGATTTTTCTAGTAGCTTTTATTCTGAAAGGTTAATCGATTTGTGGAACTCTTACAAGGATACATTTACTTTACCAATAAACCCAATTATTGACAGTATACCACAACTCTTTCGCAGTATGATGTCCTTTTCTTTAAAAATACTTATCAATGCATGCAAACTGCTGATTATTATCATCCGAGTTAGCAACTGGCAAATGGCTTTATGCAGCAGCAGCTGCTAGAGAACCAACAACTGATTGCCTGCAGGACCCCAAACCAAATCACCTTCAAGCTTAATCTCTGCCCCAACCTGGGGGGAGTGAGAAAGTAGGTGAAGCACGCGCCAAGGCGCGCGCATAACTCGATTCCTTTTGATTTATGGCACGCAATAATAATCAGCATTTCCATGTTGCCGACCGGGATGCATTTACACGAGCATACACTGCAGGCGAGTTTTTGTATTTGTGCAAAGGCAAACATGGCGTATACTCAATACATATACATATATATATAGATATATACTTCTTTGCTGCTGGCTAGCTGGTTAGCAGCTCGACAACAACAAGTTGCACTTCCGGCAGCTGCAAGTTGGCCTTAACAAGCAGTCAGGAAGATCAGGCCGCAACTTACGCTGATGACGGGCTGCGTCCTTGCGGCGGCTTCCGTCGTCCACTTGGCTCGCTGCCTGCCTGTCTGGCTCCATGATTTATGTAACTTTTTATTCTGGCCCATTGCTCATGTTGCTCTTCCATCTCTTTACAGCGATGCTTGCCTCATTAGCGACTTAGCGGACAAAATGCCCTCGCTGCCTAGGTAAGGGAACAGGAAGCCACAACCCAAAAAAAACCACGCAGGGCCCCAATGAGTTTGCATGGACACATGTTAGATGCATCAGAGCCCAGCGAATTCAGTTAATGAGTTGCCTTTTACGAGCGAATGGAAATGAAAATTGATATTATGCTCAGCCTGAAGCTATAAATAAACGCAACAAATTAAAATTAATAAGAAACCCAAGCTTCAAGTATATAGCAACAACAACAACAACTAGCATCAGCATCAGGCAGCTTTCGCATTAACATTTTGATTACACAACCATGGCCTCACCGCCGGAAAGCCCCATCGAGGAGGTGGTCTATGAGTTGGAACACACACGCGTGCCTAAGCCCATACCGGTCGCTCTCGAAGATTTGTGCCGCCAGACGAAGTTCACCAAGCAGGAAATCCGCGTCATGTACAGAGGATTTAAAACGGTAAGTGGACACACGCTTCTATCCATTTGCCACATTCGCCTCCAGTCACAAATAAATATATATACTCGTATCTCCAGATATGTATAAGCCGCACATACATATTTGAATGAATATGGAATTTCTGGCTAAGGCTAAGTACTCAAATTTATGAGCCAAACGCGCAGCAAGGCAAACCACAGCCGGATTGCCTTTGGCAAATAATGTCACCCAATTTGTGGGACACGCTTCTTGAATTTCATTGCAATATCATTTCGGTGGGTGTGCGGGTGTATATATACATAGAGTCCACACATATGCACTCATGCCTTCACTTGTCAAGCAGCTCTTTCGAATCTGTGTCAACAATATTTCGAATCATTAGGAGCTCAAGCGAAACTAAGTAAGAGGACAAGTACTATTAAGGACTGACAATAAAATATATATTATAAATGCCTCACTAGATTTGTGGTTTATGTGCTAAAGTCAAGCGAAAGCTTGTTCTAATTGCGTAAGTCTATTGAAAATGGCTACTATTTTTTGCAGGCCTTTGCAACACTGGTTTATTTCTGCGGTATTATATAACGATGTCATGCCGAAGATTATGCTGACTGTACTTTACGTAATAAAGTCATGTTCTTTATTAAACTCACACTAGCTTATTTCTGAGATGTTGGATAACAAAGTAATGCTAAAGAGTTAGGTTATGTTTCAAGAGCTGAAAAAAAGTTCCAACAATAGAATATAGAGACACTCCTTTGGCGCAGAAGCTAAGAACGCATACTATACTTAATTTATTACTTAAAATTAGCTTATCAAACAAGTAAATAACTTTGAACAAAACGACCTGATTGTGAGTATATGAAGTATGTAGATATGGCAATGAGAATCTTATCTTATAAAGTTATACAGTTAGTAAAAACATTTTAATAGAACTCGAAGAAATACACGTATTACATAGTATTAGGTTTACAAGGCACTTTCGTAAGGATTCGAAACGCGTGTGAACTCAGCTTTTGGCCATTCCGTTTGCGCTCATAATTTTCATTGATATTGTGTTTTTTGTTTTGCAGGAATGTCCCGAGGGTGTGGTGCACGAGGATTGTTTTAAGGATATTTACGCCAAATTCTTTCCACATGGCAGTAAGTATTTGAGTGTGTCCTTGCTGGCGTTTCGCTTCTTCTCTTTTGGTTTTTCATTTTTTTTTTTATAGCTTTTCGCCATAAAGCGGCACTTAAGCCCCCAACATTTCATTTATATACGCTAGTTTTCGCCGCTTGCACAGTTCAAGTAGTAAAACGTTCCCAAAAATTTCTATTTCCGCAGATTCCAGTTTATATGCTCATTATGTGTTCAAAGCCTTCGATGTTAATTGCAACGGCGCCATTAGTTTTCGGGTAACTATGCTCATTATTATAATGCTGCTCCTATTTCAATATACACTTTTATACTTACGTATTATTCTGGGTCGCATCAGGACTTACTTGTCACCTTATCCACTCTGTTGCGTGGCTCCGTTTACGAGCGTCTGCGCTGGACCTTCAAGCTTTACGACCTCAATGGAGATGGTCGCATCAGTCGCGGCGAGCTGAGCGAAATAGTTTTGGCCATACACGAGCTTATGGGCAGGAGACCCCATCAACCCGAGGAAGATCGCAAGGCGAGAGATCAGGTAAGCTGTAACTGATATAAGACGAATATGGAAACGGTATTGCTTAAATCAAATTAAACTATATTAAACATGCTTACATCAATAATTACGCCAGAAATAATTACTGTAATTACTGGCCAGTTACAGGCAAAAATGTTCGAGAGAGACATTTTTTTACCAATTCTCAAATTTCAGCTTAGTTGACCTTTAATCGATACCAAACGGACACTGAATTTTCTTATACTTGTTTATTAAATTTAAAATATTACAGATTTATATTGCTTCAATTCTTACGTTCATTTAAGTTATATTTTTATTGATAATTCATTCTCAAGTAGGGCAGATATTCTATATAGTTTTGTGTACTAGAACTGACTTAATCAAATATTGCAAATTACTAAAAATGAAAATAGATACACATAATAATTAAGATATCTAAACGTGCGCGTAAATAAATTTTACGAATTGTGCAAGATAATTATTTATAACAAGAACGTCGCCTGTGATTTATTTTATGCAATTCGTAAAGCAAATTCAAAAGTTATCTGAATTCATTCTGAAGTATTTCCACATTAAATATTCCATGTAAATGTAAACTGTGGCGAAGGCTCCTTGTTGTCTTTCCAGTTGCGGGATAATAAGATTTACCCGAACATGATTGCCCAATTTAGTAACAATAGCAAGTTAAATAATTACATTTTAACTGCATTTGTGAAATGCGGATAATAAAATTCTTTTGAATTCCTTGATGAATGCAGTGCATTTCTGGCTTTATTTATACCCGTTGAAAATGGGTAAAAGGGTATGATGATTGTGTGCATTACGTATGTAACAGGCAAATGGAAATATCACCGACCCCATAAAGCATATATATTCATGATCAACATCAATAGCCGGGTCGATGCAGCCACATACGACATCCGAATATGATGTAATCGATGCCCTGAACCCGTTGCAAATAGACATTTTCTGAGTGTGTTAGCCTGCCCTTATTTGGTAGGGTATCTCCTAGTCGGGCACTCGTACATGTTTTCGCTTGTTGTGCATACATCATTTTGAATGCTGGAGCCGCCATTAATATAAATTGCAGCATCGTTTGTCGTCGACGTTGACGCGTCGTCGGTGCGTCGCAACAGAACGCGGCTTACGCTGCGTATGAGTAATTATAATTGTGCACATAGCGTCAGAGAGTCATACGCGAATGAAGAGTGTGTGTGTGAATTCGGCTCTAGGGAAATTGATTGGCAACGCGAAGCGGCGGAATTTTATTTAATGATTAAGGCTTCATTGCACAGGTGGATCACCTGGGCCTGTTAAGGTGATTGACAAATCCTCGAATGGGAATTTATGTTTAAAAATAAATGCATAGCTAAGCATAGAGCAAGAACTTTAGTATTATGGCAAATTTTATTAAAACGTCTTCTCCTTTTTGCAGGTGGATCGAGTTTTTCGCAAATTGGATTTAAATCAGGATGGCATCATAACGATAGAAGAGTTTCTTGAGGCATGCCTCAAGGATGATTTGGTAACGCGTTCATTGCAAATGTTTGACAATGACCTTTGATGACAAGCGGAGGAGCCCGAGATACGCAATACAAGGACTATAATACCGCTTATAGACCTATAAATAACCCAACATATGTTGCGCGAGTTTTAATAAACCAATTCCGAAAATCCAGACAGCCACATTAATAATTGTTCAGCGGTCAGAAAACAACATTTCAACAATGATATAAATGAAGAAACCACATACTAGTATTTAACGTTATTTTAGGCTACAAAAACTACAAAAATAATATTGAGACAAAAAGAAATATTATAATAATAAACCAAAGATAAATTTAAAATTTATAAGTGTGTAATTGTACAAGTACTTAAAACAAGATGCTAATGGAAAACGAATTAATACAATTAATAATAAATGTCGGTTTTTAAGCATATTATGAATTTAAATCCTGCCGTCAAGAGCGTATTGGTCTTATATTTACTTGATAAATGTATATGAATATATATAAAAAAAAACAAAAACAACACTTTATTTAATAATATTAACTGAGCAAACCACTAAACTAAACCACCAACTAAAGTGAATAACGAATAAATTTGAAACAGGAATTGGATAGAAATGCGACACGATTTACTTTACACGAAATAACATTAAAAACAACAACAATTTATACACATTCAAGTATTTGCAGGCGAAACAATAAACGATTGCGTGCAAAATTAATTACTTGCCTCGACAAATTGCATTCAATTTTGTGCAATTGTTAAGTTTCAACAATAAAAACGCGGCTCTTTTATTTATTTAACAATGTCCCAGCAATTCATATGTCATATGCATTAATTGATATTCCAAGAGAATTGAAATACTCGAGCAGGATTAAGTTAATTTTTTGCTTTTTTTCATCAGCCAAATGCTTGAAATATTTGTAAAAACTATTTCTGAATGCAAAGCAACCACCGATAAATTACCAGTTGACAATTGAAACGACCTTTATTAATTATGGAGAGCCCAATGCTCAACATGAGTTTTCAATTAAATCTTAATTACTTTAATTCATTATTCAGCACGCGTGCATAAATTAAGAACAAAAACACAAATCCATTAAATACAGCTAAAGCCTAAGGCCTGCGCAACATTCAAATGATTGCAGCATCTGTCCTATACTACTTTACATATTAATAATTGTAAAATTTAATTTAATTATTAGCATATCAGCGGCCAGAGATGAGGCAGGCAGCAGGATAATACAATTGCCTGCGTCTGACATTGCCTGAATGCACGACAGCAAAAAAAAACAAAAAAAAAAAAAACACAAAAAACCAAAGAAACAAAAGAAAAGTTCTTTTAACATTGTACCTTCCATACAATACAATTGTTGTTTCAGCTAAAGTTTTATACTTATATCTAATACGCGTCGCGTTCATTGGAGTCGAGACAATCAATGTGGTTTGATATTTCCTCTTAGTTGTGCACATTTTGTTCCATTGTTAATTTAAACAATAACTAAACATTTATGCAACACACCTGTGTGCTTTTAGAAGGACGCAAGGTGTATTTTGTCCCGTAATGAATTATTTGTACATTTCCCATTAACAATTGGCTCTTAATATACTTAGAAATTGTTGACATGGAAAATCTTTAACTTGTGCATCGCCCGCCTCAATAAGTTTCACTTTTCCCATATCTGTTCTTCTTAGCAATAAATCAGATTCATCATCAATACTCATTATTATTAGCAAGCTCTATTAGGAGCTTGTCAATAAATAAATGGCAATACTAGCGAATGCGCTTTAATAAGTGTTTATTAACATTAAACTTGTAACTAAGTGCTGGATTTGAGTGTCATTTAGAACTTTGAACTTGAAAAACTAAGCGACCTACTTGATAATCCACCCCAAGATTCAACCTACCTAGCATGTATGGATATTGTGCAATATATTTAACAACTTGTCCCGCAAGGAAAACTCTATCTAAGCGAATTAATATTTAAATGTCTAACTAGTAATATAATTATTAATTAATTAAAGAATTGATCAACTAAACATTGTCATTGTTTTTAGCAGCTGAATGTTTAGCAAGAGTAACTAAATTTGTGTAAATGTCTACTAAGCTACTCCCAAATCAAACTACTTACGAAGATATATTTCATTTGAGGAATTAACTTATTTTAATCATGTAAGAGCGTAGCTAGCTAACTAACTAACTAACTAAATGTGTGTAGCAACTATTTTTAGCATGATTAAAAAGGAATATTTTGCATATTTTGTTGAAACCAAATTGAATCAAAAAGTACCTAGTAAATGTAAATTATGATAATAATTTTTTATTATAAGCTATTTAAATTACGATCAAGCGTCAAGGAATGAACTAAAGCGAAGAAGAATAAAAAGAAGGGGAAGGCAACCCATGTCCATCTGTTCAATTTATTTATTATATATTTGATATGCTATTCACTTTTAATTGAGACACGATCGGAAAACCAAAACAAAATACTTTTAAATATGAAACTTAACAGCAGCAAACGTGGTTAGTGATTCGGATACTATAATAGGAGACCCATACACATACGCATATATAATACATATGATCTAATACCTAATACTAATCGAAACTCAATTCTAGAAAATGTATTTAATTGTCTAATACACACATATGAATGTATGTAGAAATGTGCGAGTATTGTTAAATATTCATGTCGCGCCTGCGGCTCATAATATTTGTGGTCAATCTTTTAATTAACATAAGCATATGGAATTTAAAGCATGCGACAAACCAAATACTCTACTCTCAAACAAAAACAAAACAAAAACGTATTCAAAACCTTAGAAAACTTGTTAGTTTAGATTTGGTGTCGTTTTGTTTGCCATGCAAATGGTATTTTCATATATATCTGATTGTTTTAGTTCTAACTGATTAATTATGTTGTTCCTCAATAATGATAACAGAGAAAATAACAAATGAAAACAATTTTAATAAACATCAACATTTAATAATATAGTTTTGGCATTTTTATTAAAATTAATGAGAGCAACTGAGAGGCCGGTTTTTATCGGAACTCTGGGCCAAGGGTTCATTTGTGACTTGGCTTGGATCAGAGCCAACTGCACAGGATGGCCGATGCACCCTCTTCCTCCCTTCTTTAGACGACTGACGTAGGGGAAAGCTTTTGGGCTTGGCTTCTTGGATCTCATTGCTCCTGCTCCTGGCTTACCTTGGTTGCTTGGTGGCTTGCGAGAATCCTGACTCCGGGCTAATCCACTAGCTCTGCTAGCGAATTGTTGGGTGGGGAGACCTTTAAATTGGATGATCCGTTCTTGTTGCCAAACAATGATGAGTCTGTTACTCCTTAACAAATACCAGATGTGACCACCACAAACGGTTAGAGCCTTCATGAAAGCACTGTTCACTATCAAAGATATCATGGTCATGCCATCCTTGGAGTGCGTGCACCTACATTCCCCTGTTCAGTTGAGATGAGGCTTATTCAACTGATCTACGGAACTCGGAGAGCGCTGCTTCAAGACCCGCCTCAAGCTCTACTTTTAGCGATTTTAGGTCTGAGTTCAATTTGAAAAAACATCTTCACCAACTTCATCAATGACGAGCTTCACTATTCTCCTCACAGCTGCGAAACCATAAGCCAAATGTCTGCAAAGGTAATTGTATAGAACAAGCTCACCTGTATTTGTGCAACAAGAACCGGCTAGCACAAACTGACCTAAGGCATTGAAATCAATACAATCAATTATTAAGAAAGGGAAAAGCTGGCCAAATTAGATTGTCAAAAGACCCAACTTCGAATTGAAATAGAAGACACTTTGAAATATTTGTTAAATAGATGTTTATTTAGTTATGAAATATCAATAATATGTCACTGCTTAAGTACATTCTTTTGAATGTATTGTTTTCATGTTTTGAATTGTGCATTTATGCATCTGGCTGTGAATATCTATACTTATTAATTTATTGCGATTTTTGAGCATCCATTTCGATGGATTTCTAAATATTGCTTCCTTTGCTAATTTGTGCTCAGATTTAAAGCAACAATATTTGGTTGTGTTTGAAGACATTCCAAATGGGCTTAACATTGCCTTTACATTCGAATTTGATTAATGCAATATGATTTATGTATTTTGATGTATTGATTTTGATTCTAAATGGTTTATGAGCTTGGGTTCTTATGACATTTATGTTGTGTGTTAAATGTTTTACTTGAGTGGTTCATTAAATTTCTATATATATATATATATATATATTTTTTATAAAAATGTTTTGCTACAATTTGAACGCATTAATTTTGTTTTGTTACTTGGATTTGTTATACATATATGTATGTTGTGTGTGAAATAGTTCACTTAGGCTACATTTTTCAAAATTTAACTCCATTTGCACGAACATTTTTACGTCACTAAATCAAAAATTGGCTTAACTACTATAAAATGTAAATAAATGTTTACTTTATTTCATGTGTAAATTTAAATATATATTTATTTATTTAGGTTTATTTGTAAAGTAATGTAAATTTAATTTAATTTTGTCATTGGATTGGTTGTAGATTTCATTTATTTAAACGTTGTGAAGGGTACAAAGTATGACGCTCAGCTACGTTTAACTAACAACAAAATTCATATAACAACAATAAAAATACAAAATTCGTTTAGTTTCGCATTTATAAGAAATAAAGATACATGTTTAAAAAAATATATATGTATATGTGAAAATATATATATGTGGCTGTGTGTGTGTGTGTATGGGGTTTCGAGTGTAATAAGTATACAAAATATAAAAATTACGTTTCGTACAGCTAGTAAAAATAAATTCATGATGTACTTTCATTAATGTTTGTTTAAGTTACATATTAATTGTACTTTAATTCATAATAAATAATATTTTGATTCGACAATTTATTAGTATGTGTATTCGTGTGTGCGTGAATGTGTGTGTGTGTGTGTATATGTGTGTGTGTGTGAGTAAATGTTGTTTCGAGCGTATTTAATAAATGGCAGGGTATTGTACAGAGAGCTGTTAATTAACAGCATATTCAACAGTGCTTGAACTACAGCGCGCTTACATCGGCTACAAATGTTAATTAGTTAACAGTGCGCTGTCAGTTAACATTCGAGGTTAAAACAAATTTTGTAAATAGATAAAATATTTGGCATTTAATTTCGCGAAGCTCAACGAATTTCATTTAATAATTACTTATTCCTTTAGCACATGATTTCACACAAGAGAAATGATAAGAGTTTTTGGGTTTGGATCTTTGGATGGCAACGCCGAATCAGAACTAAACTGTGTGCATTTAAACATTTCTCACTTGTGGAATGCTCATTAGATTGATTCTTACCAAATAATGCGTACGATTCAAAAGTGTTTTACGAACATTAAGTTTGAAAAGAGAAAAAAGAAAAACTATGATTGCATTTATAATTCCGTGTTTTTGGCAAATAAGTTTTACTGTTGTGCTTAAATTGCTAATGTATGATTTCTATATAGTACGAGTGTCTTACTATATTTATGTATTCATAAAACATTTTTCATTTTGTTGATTTTGAAACTTTTTGCCTTACACGGTCGGACTTTTCTAATATTTAGGTGTTTGTTTGTTGCTAATATAAAATGTGATTTGTTTTCGGTTTGTTTATGTAGAAATATTTTAGAAAAGTTGTTGTTCGTATCAAGTTCATATAAAGTTTATTCAATTTCTTATTTTTCTTGTTTTAATTGCGTATATATTTATTAAATGGCTTTCAAGGTCAATGCTACCTCCTGCGCCGTTTCAATTTCTTTAACTCTTTGTCGATTTCAAATCTTCCACAATTGCTCAGTTGTTTGTTTGTTAAAGTACTACAAAAGTGTTTTAAAGTATTTGCAAGGACTGACAGCCTTCAAATGTAGCCCGCTACAGCTGTTGTTGCCGTTGTTGTTGCTATTGTTGTCAGTGCTAAATGCATTTGATTCGCACCAATTGTTGTTGTTTTTAGTAACGCTTATGCTTTAGTTTACATTTGGTTTGTTAGTACTTCTCATCGTCCGTTATTTCCCTATGGGAATTCTGTAATTCTCAGGCCTTGTAGTGCTGATTCCTCACCGCACAGCACAGGCTCAGGGCAAAGGTCAGCGACAGCAGCTCCAGCAGTATCACAGCGGCGGTAATGGCAAATATGGTAACCCAATTCTCATAAATGATCTCAATCAGCTTATCAACGCAGCCCTGTAAAGCAGAAATTCAAAAAACTTAATATCATTACAATGAACGACAGTCTATAAACACACGCTGTGTGTCCGTGTGTGTGTGTGTGTGTGTGTGGGTATCTGCTTCTCATTTTCATTGCAAATGTTTATTGATTGTTTATTAAACGAATTCCGATAGAGAGGAAGTTTCTGCACAGACATTAAAAGTGCGTGCGGAATATCAATAAGAATTAATACATTTTTATCGTATTTTTTGTCACGCGTAGAATTTTTATTGGCTTGAGCGTTGAGAAAATAAAAACAATTAGCGTGAGGGATTATTAATTTTTATGCTCAGCCGCTTAACGGTGCTTAAAAACCTTAAATAACCTTCAATAGTTAAAGATACATTTATATATGCAACATAAAAAAAAGGTAGAGATGGCAAATATACAAAATGTATGCCAATCTTGAAATTATTAAAAAAGTCTATCAATAATAAGCTTTAAGCCTAAATGCGAGCTTTTATTTGAAACATAACTACTCAGTTATTAATTATTTTGAAGCCCTTAATGGATGTAAGAATCCGAAAGATTCCCGTTTATATCTTGCCCTAGATTATTTCAAATGCAGTCATTTCGATTTACCTGCTGATAAATGTACGTGTTCAATGGGCCTCCGAATTTCAAGATACGCCACTTTTCACACTCGTTATCCTTGATATCCTCTTTGCAACACGATTCAGGTATATTGTAAAGCACATTCATTGAAGATACGGCAATGTCAACTATATTGGTGCGATCCACATTATTAAAACGACTCGTGGCCCAATCGCCAGGTCCGTCTGCGCCGCAGCACTTCAACTGCAAACAGATAAAATATATTAAATCAGTTGAGATATGAAGTACGACCTAAGATAATATTTACATTCTTTTGCAGCGTGTCAAAGGTGACGGTGCGCGAACTCATGCTCGACTGTCCGTACTCCTCCTGGACAGATGATTTGACCGCCGCACGCACAATGTCATCCAGTTTGTCTTTGTTGTGAAAGGCCCAAGCACCGGCTGCGATTTGCGCCACCATCACAATGAGTATGACACAGAAGAACTGCAAAGAATTGTGAATTTATGAATGAGATCTGTGCGTAAGTGTACATGGGCGGAATAATTTAACAAATTGCGACTTGTGGGCGAGCCAGTGCAGACGGCGTAGGATGTGTGGGCAGTTTTTCAATGCGATCTACGAATCTGGGCTCCACTTACCGAGACAAGCAGACACTGGGACTCGCGACATACGCCCAAGCAGCCAAAGAATGCGCCCAGGGTGATCAGTATGCCAATGGCCAGGAAGACATAGAGCGCTATATGATAATGATTGTACGATTGTGTCATCGACAGCATAAACGTGGGATCCGTTAGCATCCACAACGAGGTGATCACAATGGTCAGGCCGATGAGCTGTAAAGGTTATGCAAAAGATTCAAAATTTGATAATTAGCTTTCGTTTATTTACATCTTCTTTCTTTTGCTTTAAATAGGTCATGCGTTCATTAGTTGACTTGGTGAAGTAACGTCATGTTTTGCTCAATCTCATCAATCGAAATGCTTCAATGACGCCATACATGTGTGTGTGTGTGTGTGTGTGTGTGTGTGTGTGCGGCACGCCCCACTAGAGAGAGGGCGGCAATTGAAGCGGGCGGCAAAAGTCGTGCCAAGTAGTTGAACGTATTTCCCCGCCAGACATCAGACTTGGGCATTATATGAAACATGGTTCGTTTGTAACTCATGATGTCAGCAGACAGCCAAATTGTATATTTTTCATCATTTCATGACGCTACATTCCCGTATTTGTTTGTGCCAATGTCTGTGTTTACGTTTTAATAAAATTAAGAGCCACATTTTATTTCCTTTCTTTTGTTTTGTTTTGTTTCGTTTCGGTTTCGTTTTTTACTTGGCAACATTTGCCAAGACATTGAACCAAGCCCCGATGCCGTTCAGAGGCCATAACCTTATCTACGGGCTGGGGGATTATCAAGAATGCGAATGGGAATGGGAATCTTTTTTAATATGCCAGCTAATATGCTCAGCTGTGTGTACTCATATTACTTGTGTGCTCCAAGCTGATTATATTCCTAATAAGCACTTGCACATGTACATACATCAATTTGCATATTGTGTTACTCATTTTTCTCCGATTGCCACTAAAATAGTCGTCATATAGTACGTTCATCTGTAGACTATTAGGAAATGCATGATGCCGATAACTAAATACCCTTATACATCTTTTATTTAGAAAAGCTTTTAAATATAAACTAGTAGGATGACAACAAGATTTCGTAAGTTCATAATACTAAAGATTTTTACGCTATAAATCGACTGCCTCTTTTGACAGCTTTATATTGTATATTAATCTGATCCATCTGTTTACAATAAAAACACTTGCTCGACTAGCAGTTACCGTGTAGCGTCCTGCAAGCTCTCACAACTGTCTACCCTACTCAATTTGAGTACAAGTTTTGATCCCTAAAACCCTTTTGTTTAACATCTCACAAATCAAGTATTTAAAACAAGTTGTTGTCCTTGGAATAATCTCTCCTAATGCGTTATATATTTGGAGATAAATGTTAAGTATGCTCTGCTAGAATAATCATTGATCGTTAGAACTACATGAAGTTGTATATAAAAGCACCCTTTATTTGATCTTAATTTATATTATATTTTACATTTCAATGGAAATTGAAGACGTTTACACATTTGTTCTAATATCAAAATGGATTAATTTACGGAATTGAAGTACAAATATGCAGTTATTGTTTTTAACTGAATGCTCGACGTTTGAATTTGTGTATTTTAAATGGGAATCTACGGAGCTCAAATGAAAAATTATAAATATTTATATACGCAAATGTATTTAGACGGTAGAAGATATTTCCACAAGTTCGCTTCATTTAACTGCATTATAGGCCCGACTTTGTACATTTTTGAATATTTAAGTTGCCTCCGGAATTGCCACAATGTGGCATATGAGGCAGACGAATCGCAAAGCACACACTAACTAAACGGCTGCTAAATTGTTTAAATATTTAAATGTTTGCATATTAATTAAGTCATAATGCAGTTCAGTTTGTAGTTGGAGATAAGTCAATCTCTCAGCTGTATCCATTCGCTTTCCTTTTACTATATTTTATGATTATAGAGCAAAGAACACCTGGAAAATAAAAACAACGGTGCCTCAACGAAAAAAACAATAACAATTTGCCGCTAACAATGGTCTGGTGCAAAAAACAAATACGAACGATATGCAACATTTCTTTTCGTCTTGCCACGCATGAACTACCCTAGCAAAAATATGCAAGATCTATAATATATATATTTTATACTATGTTGTTTTATTTATAAACACATGTTCGTTTGATTTTAGCACTTTGACAAATTGTTGCTATTTAGTATTTAATGAACGCTTTCAGGTAAGAGATTAATACATTTAAAAGCCATAAAACGACTTAAATTAAAATTGGCCAAAAAGCATTTATTCAATAATTCAAGTATCATTCCTTTGGCAACTATTTGTACGAATTGAATTCAAGTTTCAACAAGATAGTCCAACATAGACGGAAAGAACATGTAGCTATTTAATCGTACTGGAAATATCTGAAAACTATGTAATTTTCTCAATTATAATTACAATTTTCATTTGGTATATTTCGTGCAGCTTTAAGGTATTTCAGAACGCAGAGCCTATATTTTTTACATTATTTTAAGAATAGCTCATAGTATGTCTCCAAATTGATATTTGTACAAATTTTGTAAATGGGAAACGACATAAAAATATATACGAGAATATCTGTTACAAGAATATTTATGTCTGATGTAGTCGGTTATACTTTTTGTTGCCGGTAACAAACATATGCATAAAAACATTATGCCCATCTTAAGCACATTCAACAATGGGCTAACGGTACACAAACGTAAGCCCAGCTCTGCGTGCGGGTGGTGTTCGAGTTGCGCTCTTAAGCAGCTTAAGAGCGAGTTGAAGAGTCGGACAGAGTTTGCGCGAAGACAAGAGTAAAAGAGAATCGCTGAAAAATGGGCCAAAGCAAAGTGCATTCAAGGGGCCAGAGTGTACGTGTGTGAGTGTCTGAATGAAGGAGAAAACAAACGACAAAACACTTAAAGTTGTAATACAAACGTTGCAATTGGCAGCGAATTGATTGCATATGTATACACACACACACGCACACACACACACACACACACACACACATGATCGCATGCATGAATGTACATGATGCATACAAAACTGACTACATGTCGCGTGCATGCAAAATGTATGTCAAATATTTAATAAAAAGTGGCAACTCCTTACATGACCTACATCACTGTGGAACAGAAAGCTGGGGAGGCCGTATCGTGGATAAGTGTCCTCGGCTCGCTTTGCTCCTTATGCAATATTTATCGCAAATTGGCCACACGTAATTTTTCTTTTTGTATATGATGCAAACATACGTATGAATAATTGTGCGAAAAATAGCACAATGAATGATGTGCAAAGAGAACAAGGAGGAGAGCAAATCATCTAAATTAATTGCCCGGCCAAGCAAGAGACGCAAGCGATTTCCACCAACAACACAGCGAATGATCATAGCTTCTAACTAAATGGCGGCCAGACGGGCAGTCTGTCAGCCGGTCGGTCGGTCGCGCAGTATCAATGGAACGTCAAAGCATTAGCGTCAACTGAAATCGTGGCGCTTGATCACGATCACGCAGCCCCGCAGCGATGCTGATGAAAATGGAAATGCTATGGAAAACGATGTCACAGTGTTGCAAATATGCATGGAAAAACTAAAATTAAAAATGCCGCCAATGCAGGCAAAATCTTCATAGTTCGGATTTACTCCGACTGTTATTAAATATATTCTATTCTCATAATCATATATGGGCATCTCTCTCGATAAGTCCGGCAAGGCCAAAGTCTAAAACAGTTATTCTTTTCGAATAACTTCCAGCAATATCCACTCAAATATATTTATTAAATTGCGCATATGAGATAAAGGCTGGAAGGCTATTAAAAAGATATGTATGGAACATAAGATCTCAAATCCTTCCACAATCGATATTCAAACTAGAATCACATACATACAGTTAGATTAAAGATATATAACAGTAAAAAGCAAAGTATGGTTATATAAATTTATGCGTAGACAAAAAATGATGAAACGTAAATTTAAATCTAATAACTCAAATTTGTCAACTTCTGCAAGTATTTATAATTAAATTTTTTTTCTAAATTTATATAAATATTTTGTCTATATTTTATAAAGTGCACACGAGTATTATGTGCATGCATTAATGAATAAATTTTACCACTGTGGCCAACAAGAAGATTCTGCCACCTCCTCCTGCCAATGGCTGAGGCAAGACCAAGAGAATAATCAACATCCACACGGAACGAAAGCAAAACGTTTTTGTTGGTTTGTTCGAAAATAGATTTGACTAATAAATACTATAGGGAAAAATCGAAAAGGCAACAACAAAATAACAAAAACTAAAAACAAAATTGAAAATGAAAATTTGACTCGATCGAGCAAGAACAACATAAAACACAAACAGAAAGGAAATAACAATTAATGTGGAAATAGTGAATTGCGTAAATCGAGAAAAAAAAATACAAAAATACACACAATTCGTTGAACCCTTTCAACGAGACGTAACGGTTAAAAAGAGAGAGAGAGAGAGAGAGAACAGTTAGTGGGGAGTGGCGCACCCGAAAGGCGCCAAATGTAGGTCCTGCCCATACACAACAAATGTACATGTGAGTGTGTATACAGATACATACACGGGCGTTAAAGCACTGAATGAGCAGTTGCTTCATTTTTTTTGTTGATAAGAAGAGAAGAAGAATACGAGGTGTAGCAAGAAGCAGAACTCAATCTTAACAACAAGACACGCATATAAAAATAAAAGACCAACAGGAAAAGGCCAACAAGAAAACAAGAATAACAACACAACTCAATGTGTGGGAGCAGCACAAAGGAGGGGGCAAAAAAGAGCGCGATGCTTTCGCTGCCTGTCTATCTGCTGTGTGCGAGTGTGCGTATATTCGTGTGTGGGTGTGTGGGTGTGTGTCGCATAATCTCCACCCACAGCGGAACTTCTATTGTTTTTTGAAGTAGGGAGTGAGCAGCAGCAGTTGAGAGCGTGCGCGCAAGCAAAGGCATCGGCATAGGGAACGCGCACGCATACACTGAAAAACGCGCCATGCAAGTTTCTATTGATGTGTTCCAGTTGCTGTTTGTATTAGTGAGCTGGCTGATTCTATGCTTGTTGTTGTTGTTGTTTTTGTTTTCAGTGTTGTTGCTGTCTGCTTGCATACCTACCCAAAATAAGATGTTTATAAGGACCATCAAATATTTGACACACGAACAGCACCCGTTGAGACCCATTTTATGGCTTTAATTTAATTTTTTCGCACAGTTTGCGTTTACTTTGACGGCTTTTTCACCACCGTTGACTTCCTGCCGTATGAAACTGAGAAGCTGCGTTCGCCCCTTGCAGCCTTTAATGCAATTTCTCTACTCGTTGCACTTGCACACTTTTTAAAACAATTCGGTTGGCGCCCGATTTTTCGAAATCGGTTCAAAACACTTTCAGCTTAAATCATTAATATCCGTTTTATTTCCGTTAAGCGCGTTGCATTTAGCAATAATTTAAATTTTTATTTGTACATCGAAGCAGCAGCGGCGCTCTCTCAATCGCGTCTGAATCAGTGTGGCCGTTTCTACTATTTTTGATAATCCACTTATCGCTTTAATATGAAAAATCGTTATCGATTGCACAACTCGTTTTCACCATTGTGCAACACTGATTCAAATATTTATTCACTTTTAATACAATAATTTGAAAATGATTCTACGCTTTGAAGAGGTTAACAAAAATGGCAATCCTCTATTTAATAATTGGCAGTACATTGTTGAATATATCGATGATTGCACAAAATCATATTGTTTACTATAATCGATACACAAATATCGTCAAAGAATTGGCAACATTTATGGCTTCGTGCTGTTGGGTCACACTCGCAGTTCGTTGTTTTTCTTACAGAAAAAAACAGTAAAAGAGTGCAGAGAGAAATAGTGAAAGAATGCATTATTAGTAACAAATCTGTAATTGAATAATCAGTGAATTGTGCATTACCCTGCAGCTATTTCACAAAAATTCAAAATGCGCACACAACTAATGTAGCTGCTGTGGCTTTTCCACCAAATCAAAAGAAAATCGGTACAAAAGGAAAACAAAATACACAGCCAAACGCGAATGTAAATGTGAAGCACAGGGCAAAGTAAGCACAAGCAATACCCCCAAAACAGGCGTCAGCTCACAGCCGCCCCCACCCACCCCAGTGGTGCCACAAATACTGTACACCACATCGAGGTGCACTGAATTCGAAACAGGCTGCTGCCTGCCGCTTGCCTCTAAGTTTTAAGTAATTAAAGACCTGCACCCTGATACCCCCGCCCCTATCCCACACATCAATATACACATGCCCCCACAGTGAGTGTTTGTGAGTGTGTGTGTGTGTCTTGTAATTTTGTTACGCAGTGGAGCGGTGCGGCAGCCGTTCAAGTGAAGTCTAAGCATTTTGTATACGAGAAAAACATACTTATAAGCTTTGCCTGCGCTTTAAGTTTTGTTGTTGTTACGGTATTTGATGTTGTACATATAAAATTTCACAAGTGTTGCATTTGAAGCCAGTTGCGGGGCCACTTCTCGCTTTAAGCCAAGTTGTTGTTATGCTTTGCCTGCATGTGTGTGTGTGTGTGTGTTTGTGAAGTAGTAAAAAAAAACCAAAAAGCAAAACTTAGCAACTTGCTTTGCATACATATACATATGTATTTATGCAAAAGAAAAACACATATGTATGCACATGTATATGTATTAAGTGATGACCATATAATTAGTGATATTATTTAAATCTCAACGTAATGTTTGTGTAAAGCGAATATATTTATTAACATGCAAGCTATAAATTGATAAAAAATAATGCTTATAGTGCATGTGAACAGAAAGCTTAAATGAAAAAAAAAAATAGTGTTCCTAATTGTATGGCCCACACTGTGTACATGGCTTTTGGGTTTTCCGCTCTGCGTTTGAGAGTGTCTCATAAGTAAATTTCACTTTCACCTTCGATGTGGGCAGTTTACAGTTGCGGCCACGGCTGACCAATTACTTTGTACTTTATGTTAAAATTTGAAAGTGAACTCTTTCTGCGTGTGTTTGTGTGGCTTCTTAATTAATGCTTGCCTCCATTCGGGCATGCCCACACTTTGCTCTTCTGCCTGTCTGTCGTATAATTTAATTGTAATTAGCCCCATTCTGACCCACCAGAAGATTGCGTCTAATTATCTGAATGTCTGACCGCTTGCGTTCCCTCGCTCTGACAACTTTAACAAGCGTGCAACGTGTGGGAACTGTTAAATTGTTGCATTGAAAAGGGGGACACACATTCAGATATTTCAATCATTTGCACACACACACACATACACTCCCATGCACACAGACAGCATGTAACACTTTGCATTTCGAACAAAGCACATAATATAGAGCGCGCAACGACAACATGCGGCAACATCAACAATAAGTGGCAACTAGGAAGTTGTTGGCAATTGTTTCGCTTTTGTCTAGTGCTTCATTTCTTCTCTATTAACGAACTGCTTGATTATCATTAACAGCTTGCTGCACACAACATTAACAGTAACATAACGTTAACATAGCAGAAGTGCAACAACCCAACAACAGCAGCAGACGCAATTGCATGTCATATTTTGCTAGACAATAATATACCCTACATTTTTTTTAGTTGTACGCATATCCTTAAAAGTATGCTATGCATACATGACGAGTTTGGCATAGAGAATTTTTAATAAATCATTTTTCTAAGGATATCATTTTAAATCCAAATTCGTTCTAATCGGATTTTCTCGTTTGAGATAAGCTCACAAAAAAGTTTAATCAATTACAGATGAATGCTTTCAAACATTAATTAAAACCACATTAGTAATCGAAGAGCCTTCTCTTAATTATGCTTTCAATTAGTACGCAATAAAAAACAATGCCTTCAAAATTTGTGAAACATTAAACATATTAATGTACAATTTACATGTACGCTCATTCAAGCAAAATATAATAAAGAAGCATGCATACCATATGAACCTTTCTAATACAATGGGTATCTAAAGAGCAGATTAGGGGGGAGCCATGTGTGAACATGCCATAGAATTTCTTGCAATAATAACAATAGACCGCAAGTGGGCAAAGCATAACAGAAACTAGGTAATACTTTTATAATTTATTCTAGCTACTTTTTATGGCCTTCTTTTTTTGTGCTGAGACCCGTTTTTATTTTCACACACTGGCTCTGCTCTGTTCCGCTTTTGTGGTAGGGTGTTAATCTTGGGCCAGCATGAAAGTTAACCTTTCGGTTGATGTTTGGGACTTTAAGGTCTTTCGAGCGTTAAACGTATACTCAGCATAAAGCATATAATTTGTTGTTTGTCTTTTGATTGAGTGTGTGTGTGTGTGAGTGCGTGTGTATAACTACTGTGGCAGGGCAGCTGTTTAAAGTTCCAGCAGAAACAACGGCAAATAGATGATCGCAAACAAGGAAAACTAACAAGAATAACAGCGTACATTATTTGGGGTTTACCAAAGCAGGTCTCGAGCAGACCTCACCGCATGCTTATCACTATTCCAATAAACCAAAACAAATTTCAGTTTCATTGCAGCCAGCAGCGTCGCAGAGACAACAACCTAGCAGCAGCAGCAGCAGCAGCAAGGCATCAGCAGCAGCGGACGGAGATAAGCAGCAAGGCAGCTGCACGCACTGATAACAATTGATACGGATTACCGAATACCCGAATACTGGTTCCGATTCAATCCAAGTGTCTCCTGCGCAGCGGCAGCAGCCACCTTATCGCTTATCATTGACCGAGCATGTCGCACGGCAGCGCCGGCGCGCAAACTGTTGGCGGTGGCGTTGGCGGCGGCAGTGTCGGCGGCGGCAGCTTGGGCGGAGCAGCGGCGGCAGCAGCAGCAGCTGGCTCTGAATATCGGGAACTGCATTGGACTGTGTCGAGCGTGATGGACTCCTCTCGCGTATCCACCTGCCTAATATCGATGCTGCTGATTGTTTATGGCAGCTTTCGCAGTCTCAACATTGAGCAGGAGGCGCGGGAGCGAGAGCAAAAGAAACGCAATGAATCCATGACGAATCTGCTAACTGGCGAGCATGTCGAGAAGGATCCGAGTAAGTCAACATCACATAGTTTCACTATGCTCCTTAATTATCGGTTCTCTATATCATATAGGTCGGCTGAAAATTAAATTATTGTATGACAAACTTTTTAGTTTTTCAAGATATACTAACCATAACCCAGCCATGTTACTATATCATATAGATCTGTAGGAAGAGTAGAAACGTGTTCTGTTTTTTATCTTCACCAAACTCAGATCTGCAAAGTTATTTCTTGTTTTTTGTAAACTTTCTTATTTTCGTTTGTAAAGCCTTATCGCTGGAAGAGTTACAAATAAATGTTTATATTTCTTATAGCGTTAAGAAATTTGTAAATAATATAACTTGATTACTTCACTCTGTTGCAGCGGATAAGTTTGCCACGTTGGATACGATGCACGCGCTGTGCCTGCCACTGGGTGCTTCCATATCGCTGCTCATCATGTTCTTCTTTTTTGACTCAATGCAGCTGCTCTTTGCCGTGTGCACAGCCAGTAAGTGGAGCATGTTATGTTTTATGCGCCCATCTGCTCACTTTATCCGTATATTCACAGTTATTGCCACTGTGGCGCTGGCATTTCTGCTCTTGCCCATGTGCCAGTATATAATACGTCCGTGCACGGATGGTAAACGCTTCTCCTTTGGCATCTGTGGACGTTTTACGGCAGCGGAGCTATTCAGCTTTACACTCTCCGTCTCAATTGTGTGCGTATGGGTGCTTACTGGGCACTGGCTGCTTATGGATGGTAAACAAAATTAGAGCATCTGGAATTTCAGTTTAAATGTATTTAACTATCTATTTGTTTTAGCCATGGGCATGGGCTTGTGTGTCGCCTTTATTGCGTTCGTGCGATTGCCCAGCTTGAAGGTGTCGACGCTGCTGTTAACCGGCCTGCTGATCTATGACGTTTTTTGGGTATTCCTTTCATCGTACATATTTAGCACAAATGTGATGGTCAAGGTGGCCACACGACCCGCCGAGAATCCCGTTGGCATTGTGGCGCGCAAATTGAATTTGGGCGGCATTGTGCGGGACACACCGAAGCTAAATTTACCGGGCAAACTGGTTTTCCCCAGCATTCACAACACGGGCCATTTCTCGATGCTCGGCCTGGGCGATGTGGTTATGCCAGGTCTCCTGCTGTGCTTTGTGCTACGTTATGATGCCTATAAAAAGTCACAGGGCTTTACATCGGACCCAACACTATCACCGCCAAAGGGTGTTGGCTCCAGGTTGACATATTTTCATTGTTCCTTATTGGGGTAAGTGGAGCGCAAGTCTGCTGCAAGTGAATGGTTTTTCAATTGAGAACTCGGTCTTCCTTAGCTATTTCCTCGGTCTGCTAACGGCAACGGTCAGTTCGGAGGTCTTTAAGGCCGCACAACCCGCCTTACTCTATTTGGTGCCGTTCACGTTATTGCCACTGCTGCTGATGGCCTATTTAAAGGTATGCAGAATCCGTCCTAATACTATTAAATATGCTCTAACTATTATGTCTCCCGTAGGGCGATCTGCGACGCATGTGGAGCGAACCGTTTATAGCGCATCCAACATCAAAACAATTGGAAGTCTGAGTGTACTCTATCTTAAATCAGAATTAATGAAAAACTTAAAAAAAAAACAGCAAAAAAAAAGGAGAAAAACAAACAGAAAACAGAAAATGAATTCTCTATCGATAACAAACGTATTGTTTACTTATACGTATCAAGGTTTTTTTAAGTTAGGTGATCCACTTTTTAGTGTAGTGAAGTAACAGCAAAACCGAATAATAAATGTACGTAGTTTTAGTATAAGTGGGAAAGTTTTTTTGAAAACCACACACACAAATGTACATGTATGTATATGTTAATGTAATTTCTTTACGCTTTACGCTACGCAAAGCAAAAATTAGAAACAGTTTATGCTGGCCGTAATATTCAATTTGACGCATACGAAAGATTTCAGTTGCGCTTCAATCTCATACAGACTCAAGCTGCATTCTTACTTACATACTAACCTGCATATGCTATAGTAGGGGTTTAGTATTATAGTTTTTTTTTGTTTTCATTTAGCTACTACTGTTGAGATTTATTTTGTTCATTTAGATTTAATGCATTTTCAACATTTCCAATCACATGATCAACAAGCATAAATTCGCAAAATTTCAAATTCGAATCAATTATCAAACTGTATGACAATTTCTGTAAATACTTAATTTTAATATCACAATCACAAATAATAGTTCGTAAGTGCGCCGCATTTAAATTCACATTTCGATTTTCTTTCAACAAACACATTTGCGTCCCCATTTCCATTTTCTGCATTCGAATTTTTCACACATACATATAAAAATGATATTTTGCCAAAATGCATGTGTTCGTTTTAAACAATAAATATTAAATGGAGAAAAACAAAGAAACAAAAAAATATGTTGCACTCGGGTGTTTCACAAATTAAGTTTCAAGAATTTTAATTATTTATAACGATCAAGCAAAACTAACAATAATACATAACTATAAATATATGCATAGTAGTTACATTTTAATTGTAAGTAAATGCAATTTCGAAACATATAGAAACAATAAAAATGTGAGATTTGAACATAAACCATTTAAATAAATGTGTTCACCTTATTACTGGGTATTCAAGGTCTGACTACTGCGGCTGTAATTCGTTAATTAATTGACATTAAACAATATTGGAAATAAAAGTTAGATCAGATCTAACTATATCCCTTACTGAAAGCAACAGTTTGGTATCTATTGATCGTAAATTCAAATTTGCGCTTAAAACAAAAAATACTAAACAGCTAATATTCGACTAATCGACTTATTCGATAATTAGGGCGTAATGGAGGTGTACCGATAAAATTAAAAATAGCGATTGATAATATTGGTGGTGTCTGGACGATAGACGATTATATTGCGTTGTGTTTTTCTTCTGGAAAATAAATTTATATTAGAAGAAATAGTGAATAATTGCAACAACAAAATTAAGTGAAAAACCTCATGTTATAGTTACTGTGTTCGCCTGTTAATGACTACATAAACAACGGGCAAATGTAAGTTGAATCACTACAAAAAAATTTAACGCCGAGAACGAATGAGTAGGTGTGCTACGCACACATACACACGCTGAGCGTAAAACAAGTTGCATTTCAATAACAAAGTGGCCAGAAATATTATAAATGACTTTAAAATTGTCTTTTCTTTGAATCCGCTGACTCCAGCTTATCATCAAATTTGCAAAACAAAAACAAAACAGCAGACATCACACACCAACACGCATACTACATATTGCATATGTGTGTGTGTAGAACGTAATACGCCTACGCTTCACGTAAGATCCCACTTACTATAAATCGAGCACGTAAAAGCAAACACGCAAAATGAGCAACGTAAACGCAAAATGAGCAACGTTGCACATTTCAGGAGCTTGTTCATAAATACCCGGTGGGAACTTGATCAAAGTACCATGAAGCGTAATATATAAACACTTCAAGGAATTTTCAGAATGTTAGCGAAATTTAAAGATAAACATGTCCTTCAAGTAAAACAATTTAGATATTGATTTACTGCCGTTGTGACCTTAACAATAGCAATATTTTGAATTCTTATTAGAAGACTTATCCCTAATAGTTTTTGAAGCATATCTCAGTGAGAGATTCTATTTTGTCTGTTTTTATACAATTAACATCATTTGATATTAAACAATTGATATTCAAAATCTTTGTGGCTAATGTGTAAGTAAATACATATATTAATATTTCTTTTAATCCATTAGCAGTTTACCAACAATGGGAAATTTATTAAACCGAGAACTAATTTTTATTGCAGCACCACGGATTTCAACTGGGTAACTCTTGCATCAAACTGAATTTAAACGGGAATAGCGGGCCGGAGCCGCGCCACCACCCACACAGACAACAGCAGCTGAACTTTGGCCACATGGGTGGAAACAGCGCAGCTGCCAATTCGAACGCTTTCAGCGCCGGCGGCTACATTGGGCCGACCACAAGTCTGGGTGCCGCCGGTGGCAGCGACTTGATACCGGCGCCAATGGGCACTGGCACTGCATTGGGCAGCACATCCTTTGCATACGGCGGGACTAGCTGGGAAGAGTTTTGCGATCGGCATGCGCGAGTGGCCGCCAGCGACTTTGCCAAGGCGTGTATTAACTACATTAATGGCAATCTGCCACCGGAGGTGGCTCGTAGCATACCACACCGCAGCTTTGCTGTAAAGTTTGTCGAATACTTCTCGGAGCACTACGATACAGAGTTCTTTCGACGACGCAGTAATCTGAAGACAGACATTGGATCCCTGCTTTGCGAAGGCGGCGGTGATGGCGGTGGCGGTTTCGATACGGAGGAGCACGAGGTGTCGAGACTGTTTCCCAAGTCGCTGCTGCGGCGCCTTTCCTTTAAGGGACTGCGCAAGGGCAAGGTGAGCGTACTCCGAGTGGTCGATGCTCAATAGAGTGTTAAATCAATGTTTAATTTTAGAAGCTCTTCTTTTTGCAGGCGTTCTTTCACAAGAACTCGGACGACGTGGACGGCGTGGGTAGCAGCAAGCAGAGCAGCAAGACGAAGTTGGCCAAAATAGTGGTCGAGTGCCGCAAGGAGGGCATTGTCAACAATTTGACTGCCGAGAGCTTGGACCAGACGACGGCCACACAAAAGTGGGAGAAATGCCGCCTGGCATTGGTCAAGGCCGTAGGCGGTTACATGCTTGAATTTTATACGCCACCCAAGGCACCAAAGCCACACAGCGGCGTCTTCTGCTTCCTCATCTCGGAGGCACGCGAAACAACCACCCTGGAGATGCCCGATCGCCTGAACACGTTTGTGCTCAAGGCCGATAACAACATGGAGTACGTAATTGAGGCAGCGAGTGCCGACGAAATGCGCAGCTGGCTGGCCACAATACGCTATTGCATGCGCACACCGCCAACACAGCAGCCGATCCTCAATTCGGATGTCATAGCGGTGGCCATGCAGACATCACCGGTGACAACCAATCCGAATCCAACAACAAGCGCGCCCAGTGGTGCATTGGGAGGCATACAAAATCCTCAATATCAGCAGCAAGGTGGTCTTGTCTTGGGCGGCTCCAATGGAAATTTGGTCAACTCACAGTCAGCGGACAGCGCCTTGGCCGCCATCTCGGCCAGTAATAGTAACGCGAATGCACCTGCCGGCGGCAATGATGTGAATGCCATTTCTCAGGCTAGCATCGAGCTGAGTAGCACGCCACCCGAAATACCATCGCGTCCATCACGAGGCGAGCGGGGCGAACAGCGTTTGTCAGCCTCCAGCAATTTCGATGGCACCGAGCTGGTTGAAACAGAATCCGATGTGAATGTGGCCGATCTGACAGCGGAGATGCGTCTGTTTCCCTGGTTCCATGGCACGTTACCGCGTGCTGAAGCCGCTCGCATGGTGCTGCAATCGGAGGCCGCGGGACATGGTTACTTTTTGGTCCGCCAAAGCGAAACACGACGTGGCGAGTTTGTGTTAACATTCAATTTTCAAGGACGTGCCAAGCATCTGCGGCTGACAATCTCCGAAAAGGGCCAGTGCCGAGTGCAACATCTATGGTTCCCCACCATACAAGAGATGCTCGAACATTTTCGACACAATCCCATACCGCTTGAGTCGGGCGGCACTTCCGATGTGACGCTTACGGATTGGGTGCATCACACCAGTAGACTGAACGACGGAGCACCCATAACAACAATTGCCGCCGCAGCGCATGAGCCGGGCGCCGATGCGTCCGCTGGAGCGAGCAACGCTGCCGGCAGCTCTGGCCATGCAAATGGCAATGGCAATGGACATCCATCGCCGAGACATGTGAGATAGCCAAAATTTTGGAGTCAATTCAGTGTCAGTGATGGTTTTTATTTTCCTTTATTTGATTTTGCAACTTTTTCATTTCATAATCAAAAATCCAGTCTTCAAACTCATTACAAATTAAATGTCGATTGAATATTCAAAAGTGCCCGCCCACTGGGTAAAAATATACAACAATTGTCCGAAAACTTCTTCAATACCTTTCCGACAATATGTAATATGCCTTCTTGTTGTCCGTCTACATAAAATCTTTGATATGTGAGACTAAGAAAGTTAACTTCACAGTTGGGTAACGAAATTTAACTGATGTCAAAAGTTGTGGATAATTTAGTTTATGTTCATTTGAAAATGATTTCTTTAGTAGTTCTTTTTGGGACATACAAATCTTTTCTTTCATGTTCATTGTGTTTAGTTTGAATGCGTTACCAATTGTTGCATGCTTCATGTTTAACCTGTTCACCCAAAAAGTAAACATTTGAATTGTTCAACAAAAACTAATTGGGATCTGCTTTTGACCATTTACAGCGCAACGAAGTGATTACCATGAATCTAAGTGTTCGCCTAAAGACAAACGAAATCGAACTGCCACAAGAGCCAACACACGTCTATTTTCCGGAGCAAGTCTACTTTCATTTGGATCCCTCAACGCTGACCGTGCACAATTCGCCACCGGCAGGTCAAGGTTTTCTAGATCAGCCGCACCTGCGTGCATCGAATGCTTCACTGCAGGCAACCCATCCGGGCGTGGTGACGACACGCCATGCCGCTGACACCACGGGCGCCAACAGTGGTGCACCCGGCAGCAGCGGTAGCGGTGGAGCAACTGGAGCCGAGTGCAGCGGACGCGCCATTGATAATCAGTATAGCTTCACTTAGGCAAATGTCGCCAGTGGATTGATTTTGAACTTCTTGCGCGGAATTTGTTTTTTTTTTATTTTTTGTGCCATTGCATACAAGCAGCAGCGAAATTTTTTTCTATTTGTTTAGAGCCTTTTCTGTATCCGTACTTGTGTTTGCTAAAAGATGTGTAAGTCGTATATTTCTTGTTTCTATTAGTTTTAGAGCCTTTTTGGAAGACATGAAGTAACTGAATATTATTACGATTATGATTGTATACATTAAATAGCTAAATATGTGTGTTCATTTTAAGTAAATATGTAATTGTTGTATGTATAACAAACAAAAACAAAATTGTAAATTTGGTGGCACCAAAGGTGCAACATTTGCGAATCCTAAAACTTCCTGCTTTACAAAAAAACAAATACATACATATATACATAATATATATAGAAAATACAATATATATATATATATGTCTATATACATATACTACACTTATAAATATAAAATCATATATATATATATATATATTTAAATTATATCAAAACTGATAAACTACAATAAATGAAGTTATATGAATGCAAATGGTTTAAGCCAATATTAAACAGAATACGCGCGCGCGTTACAAATAACATTTTCTGTTATCGTCATTTTCTGTTATCATCCATGTTAGCTGAAAATTTAACATTTTCACTATATTTATGTATCGTGCGATCGGCTTGAAAACTATTTTCAAAGAAACATCATTTCACCCGCATTGCATGCAACTCCATTATTCATTATTATTACATTTTTAAGGATCGTTGTGAAAATTCATTTGAGCCCTCTGGCATGGAAAATGCGGCTTTCAAGCTTCGTACCACGGAACTTAAATAGGCAGAAAGCGTTTATTCCCATTCGTGCTTCCTAAATTCGAATTGTGATACGCTCAAGATGTGTGGAAGATAGTACGAGTTGATTCGAATGTTCCACGGCTGGGAAATGGAAGGCTAAATGTGATAAAGTCTAAAATTAGAAGCATAAAGGCCGGTAAGAGAGCGTTTACTATATTTGCGTCACATTAAATTCGACTTAGCATTTAACACGTTAACGGGAGTACAATTCAAATTTAGACTAGTTTAAATTCAAATGTCTCCCAAACACATGCATATGTACAAATGTTGGACATGCTACGGTTGAGATTTGTTTATATTCAATTGCGTTCTGCATAGCAGGTAAATAACCCGTTTGAGTACATTTGAGTATATTTAAATTTATTTAAATGTATTGCGCTTGTTATTGTGTATGTAACTGTATCGGCATCTAGTATAACTGTGTTTCTTCCACTTTTCCGTAATGCTGGCGGCGGAACCAAGCTAGCACTTGTGAATGCGCAGATGGTTTTGTAGGGTACTCTTTTGCCGGAATTGCTTGGGACAGTAGGAACAGTTGTAGGGTTTCTCGCCGGTGTGGATCTTCATGTGGTTGTTGAGCGTGGCCACCTGCCGGAAACTAGCATCACAGATCTTACACTTGTACGGCTTCTCGCCCGTATGCGTTTTAATGTGGTTGACCAGGGTGCTCTGCTGTGAGAAGAAGCGCCGACAGACGCTGCAGCCAAACGGCCGATCCGGATTATCGCTCCTCAGCATATTAATGTTGCCCACACTTATTCGAGGTCCCTGCTCGGCCTGGCTGGGTTCGGGTTTTGGGTTAGACGCCGCTGTTCCCGCTGATGCAGCAGACGCCGCCGCCGCCGCCGCATTGCTGGCTACCAAAGAGCTTACTGTTGTGCTGCCTTCAAGGAAATGCAGCAGCGGATGGTGATCCAGCTGGAGGAAGTTGGGTGTTGTGTTGTGCAGATTGTTGGGCAGCAGACCGTTTGTCAGCTGCTGTGCACCGTGTCCGAGATGTGCTGGCATGACCGAGTGCTCTACTCTTGCTGGCTGGCTGGCGAGATTCGTGTGCGTCCTTATGTGGCTGATGAGCGTGCCCTGCTGCCTGAACTGCATATGGCAGTAGGAGCACGTGTACGGCTTGTCGCCGGTATGTATTTTTTTGTAATTGGCCAGCTTACGATGCTGGCTTGAATTCTTATCACATAAATATATAAAAATATATTTATAACACCCCAGTTTCTCAAGTCGAAGTTAGCCGAGCAGCTGCAGTAATCGAATGATATCGATTAGCCACCACATGCATAAGTGGAGGTTGTGAATAACATTTGAGTTGGCAACTATCGAGTACTCAGCTTATTAGGTTATCAAGAGCTGCATTGGTTATTTTAATCTTTAATGATTTATTATTTGCGCTGGTGTAACATGTTAATTCAAAGTCAATTTTAAAGTAGCGCCATACAAAAACCAGTATATCGATATGAAAATCACTTTGAGTAAATGTTATGGATCGAGTTATTATGTGAGTAATGTTGGCAACCCAGTACCATAGTTGATTCATAAAAATAACCGATTTCAGTTATCGCCCAACAATTTTGGCGCTAAATTTAAAAAATGGTCAATGCAAGCAAAACCAAAGCTGTAATCCAATCCGCTACTTTTAAGCTATCAATTTAACTTTAATTGTCTTAACATAAATAATAATTGCATTCGTGCACCTAATCATTGACTAAGTCCCATTAAACGTGAGTGTAATTAAATATACACATTCCTGATCTTAGTGCGGAAAGTTGTTTATTCGCAGCATGTTAATTATTAAATAATTATTATTAATTATAAAATTACACAATACCCTATTCTGAATTCAAATAAAATTAATGTCATGTACATGCATTTCACTTCCGCCTTACAAAGTGTGAGATTTGCAACTGTTGTTTGTTTAGCTTCCGCATTGAAATATGAAATGCATTTAAATTTCTTTAGTAGCGATTGCTTATTGTTCCCTAACCTTGTAATTTTATGAACCTTATCATTCGAGACTACCTTTATCCCAGCGCTATTAACTGGCAGGCGTGATTCAATCAATAGCTGTTGTTTCTCCATATCATCGCCACATTATGAAAACAAACAAAGCCCCGCCGAGGCCACCAAAAAAAAAACGAAAACAACATCTACGGTGCCAACTTACAAGCGGTGCCTGTTCTGCGAGACAAATGGCACGTAGCAACAGTTGGGACGCTGAACTAAAATCCGAATTTGTTTTTTATGCTGTTGTTTACCAGATTATTCTGGGAATATTTCGTTGTATGGTCTAACTTGAATAATCAATCTGTTTAAAAATACCCTACAAGTACCCTACCTGAAATGCTTAAGACAATCGACTGCTGCAGTCGAAGGCGGATACAGTGGGTGTCTAAAAATAACTGCAATTATGCTATTTATTATTGCAGCTGGCGCAAAAACCGGCAAAGCCGACAAACAACAATTCACCCCCAGATTGTGTGCACGTAAATATGCCTACATATGCATGTATGCTAATGTGAATGTAAAACTTAGCTCGTCAAACCAGTTGCTTGCAAACTGTTGATCGATTACTTACAGTATTTAGATGAAAATTCCAAATATGTAGGAGTACATAAACACAACGAAATCGCAACAATATTGTACATTTTTGGGCTTATCAGTGTTGTATTCTTTTATTTATTTATTTTTCGCTGTGGCTGCCCATTTTTGGCGTTTGCTTATCAAGCAATTTCGAAATGGCTTTATATGTATGTATGTATGTATGTGTGTATGTATGTATGTATGTATGTATGTGCTTACAGTGCTTTTCATTCGTATAGCGGTTTTTGTTGTCCATTTTTAATGCCTAAATTTAACAGCGGCACGTGAATATCATCAAAATACGCTTATCATTTGATCAGCAGCGCCGCGGGGAGAAGGCGGGAAAATTAGAAATAAACGCATGAAGTATGCAAAAAAAAGTAAAAGCAACAAAATTTCAAAAATGTCCAAAATCATTAGAACAACCTGTATTTTAAATGCATTAAGCTTTAATTTTCAAACATGATCTTGACAACGATTGCAGATATGTGAAATGAGTGCCTGAGTGCACGAGTCAGTCATGCCCCTGGATGAATTAATGACAATTGAATTTGATTTAGGTGGGTGCAAAATTGAGAGTCAGCCCACCAAACAGATATGCATAAAACTTTCCAGGCCGCCGGATGCGAGCTTCTCAGCTGACGTCGCGTTGGCGCGTGCAACCTTAGTGGGAAGGGGAGGGGTAGCAAAGTGGAGCGCAGTGGTTGCTTGGCGAAACCAATTACCATTTACACAAACACGCATGAATGTGTATACATTTATGTATGCAATACATACATACATACATATGCATTAGTATACAGTGTTGAGTAAGGTTGGCGTCTGGCCATTTTACACAGCCAAAGTCGAAGTCTACGTCAAAGCTAATGGCAAAAATCACTTCGCTTGGCAACAGCGAAACAAAGACACAAAATATTTGTGCATGCATATGTGTGGCTAACAGGTGATGTGTGCATTACCAATGACCTGTTGAGCGCGACGGTCACACCGAAAGTTTCTCAACCTGCTAGCAGCAGCAGCTGGGCAAACTTGCCCGAGCACCCCCGCGCACTTAAAGGCGCCACTGAGAAGTACCCAACACACACACATGCACATGGGTATAAATGTATATGTATGAGTGTAAGACACTCGAAAATACAGCAATTTAGCAAAACAGCAGATAAGGTGTAGCAAAACAAAAAAGGCAATAGTAATACTAATACATACAAGCACAACTGCTTATACATATATATACTATATTGTATTTGTACATTTAAAAATAAACTATTTAATGTCGTTATGTCGTTGCCATAGTGACTTTAATTCTACATGGAGATAAAAAAAACAACACTTTGCAATGCACTGTCGAGCACTTGTCGAGAACAAAGCAAAACAAAACAGATGCCGAAGATCAAATACCCTTGCTGCTGACACTTCACCTGCGGTATATTTCTGTAAATATATGTACATATATACTTATATGTATTTTCAAACAAAAACTCAACTTCCGGCAGTTTGTTATTGTCGTAAAATTCCTTGAAATAAAAAAATATAGAATTAGAGTAAAGATTTTTTGAGTGTTTTATCAAAGAACTGAATTTTTAACCGATTGCTTCGATATGTAAAGTTTTATTTAAGATATCTTCAAAACCGAAAAATATATCGCTAAAGTATTAGCCATTAGATACTTTTAATTTGTGCGATCGGAGATGGATCCTTCAAAAATATAATGCCCATTACAAGGGTATAAAAAGATTGATGTGAGCACTTATTGAGGAGGCACTGGGCCGGGCGGGGGAAATTGTAATCGCGCCTTTTTACTAATTTTGTTGTTATTGCTCAATGCTGGCAGCTAAGTGCAGCTCGGACTTGACCGGTAGCAGCCGCAGCCGCAACCACAACAACTCTGAAGTTTATTATACAATATTTAATTGCAACAAACTACACTTAGGAAAAGCGCCGAGCAAAAGCAATGAAAACAGGCGCCAATCAGTTAAGCCTTTGGCATTATCTTATCGAGAGATAAGTTCAAAAATATATGTGCCATATATAGTTATATGGATACACACGTGATGGATCAGATGAAAACCTGCACACGATCTTTGTGCAATTATGTTTATGATAGTTTCCCGGCTAGATCAATGCCAAGTTTGAAGGTGATTTGTAGGGCAGCTTCTATAAGCCATTATTACTATTTACATATTTTATATTTCTATTTGTACACACATATATATATATATATATATATAATCAAGATCAGTCAGCGTTGATAATCTGCTTTTGTGTCGGTCTCGTGATCAGCGACACTCTTGGGAAGGCATGTACCATATAAATAAATGAACAATTTGTATTCTGATTAACAAATTCGTTTAATTTTACATATTTTCCTTTATGTGTTTTGCTTGATGTATACCAAATGAATATGTATATAGTATATGTATAAATTTGATTAGGATGTATAACCTTGCAGTTTCTGGAACCAATAAATAACAAAGCGCGACATTACAAATAGTTAGAATAGCATGCATTGTATATTGTTTACAATTGTTTATGCAGCTGCTTTAATTCTCTCTCCCTGGCTATTTACAAATTATTAAACAAATATGTACGATATTTTGTTCAACTAATTTTTAAGTCTTTCGTTTGACACATACATATACATTTAGTTATGCTAATAGTTTCTCTTCTTTCTATATCGTATTGATTTTGATAAACAAAAGGCAACTCTTACTGGGACTTAAAACTAAATTTGATGAAATTTACAATCGCTTTCCATATTTACGTGAGGCATTTACAGAAATGTTAGCTTAAAAACATAATCTATGCATGAACATCATTTGATACTTGTATATACATATATAAATGTAGTTCCAATCGCATTTAAAGGCACATGAACAAAGTGGAAATTAAACAACCAAGCGATTAGTACGCTCCAATCTAATGACATATATGTGGGCGTGGGCGCGGGTGTTCGTATTTAAAGCGTTGCACTGAAAACGTGAAACGGGATTCCTACTTGATAGCTATACAAAACTAGAGCCCATATAATTAGCCTATATCTAAATATTTGTTTCCTATGCTGCTATATGTATGCAATGAGACATGAAGTTAATAATATCATAATAACTTAAAGCCAGTTTAAACAAGAAGAAAAGCCAAACTTAGAGCCTAACACTGATGCAGATGATTAGTATGAACTATTATTAAAAAGATCCTCGTTCGCGCTCGATGTTCAATTGCTCATCTGGAGGCCGCCACTGCTGCGGCTGCCCGTGGATGAGGAGCCGCTCAGTCCGAATTGTGAGACGAGTTTATCGTAATCTTCCAGCGATGTCTCAAATTGTTCCAGCTGGCGCGACAAATCATCCATGCTGCCATCGGCTGTGACTGCGGCTGTGCTGGCCAAGGCAGATGCCGCTGCTGTCGCGGATGCTGCTGCTGAGGCGCCGCAGCTGGTTAAGTTGGGTACTTGCAACTCGCTGAGGCCGCGCAGTGGCGGCGCATGGTAACATTCCCGATAGAATTTGGCCAGATCGTTGACATGGGATGTGGGCGAGGCGAAGGGAAAATGCAGCTCCTTGAGCAGACTATCATCATCTGGCGGGGGCTGTTGTGCTGGCGCCTGTTGCTCCTGCAACGTGGGTGCAGAATTGTGACGCAACGTGGAGCTGCTGGCGGGTATTAGGAGACTTTTGATTGGTGATGTGGCACAGGGTACTACAACAGTTGGTTTCTCAAAGCTTTTAAACGCTGTCGAGTTGTTGTTGTTATTGTGGTTGTGGTTAATGTTGTTGTTGCTGCCATTAATATTGTTGTTGTTGTTGTTCACTGGCGATTCACATTTTCGATTCAGCGACTCAATTGAGCCGCTGCCGTTGCTCTCATGCCGCGTACGCCGCAGCATCCACTCAAACGGCGGCGTCTCTGGCAGCACAAAATCATGCTCCGTAAACTGGCGCAGCTTGCCCAGGTCTGTAAACGCACCCGGACGCAATGGCTTTTCAATATCTATGAAACGCTTATCGTTCGCTGCTCCAGTGCCCGTGCCACCCACGCCCGCTCCAAACTTGACCGTTGCCAACTGCTGCGTAGGTGGACTGACATCGCTGGCGGGCCGAAAGTGATCTGACTTTAGCATAATAGTATTTTGCTGCTCTCCTTGATGTGCTGCCGCCGTCACCTGATGACCAGCCGTAGGTGAAATGGTCAGCTTGGTGCGGTAGGCAACCGACATGGTTAGGGAGCCCAAAATCGTATTGAGTTGCCCAATCTTGACCTGTTTGTGCCCCTCGCCCAGTGTATGCACCTTCGGTCGATCCACATAGATGAGGTAGAAGATGCTATATGAGTCCGGGCACTGACGACGCGACAATTTATAGGCAGGCGTCGTGCGTGTGAGCGAAATGAGGGACTTTAGCATAATGCTCATCCGATTATAGATAGCATGGGGGGCCTTTAGCGTTTGGCTGTCATTGCAGATGTTTGTGTTGCAGCCTTCGCCCTTGCAATCCTCGCCAGCTGCAGCTTCTTTTTTATTGTCCACTGGCAGCAGATCCAACGACCACACCTCAAGTATCATTTTGTCGCCTTCGCTAGTCTTAAGCGAGATCTCAATGCACAGAGGCAGGCGTTGCAGTATGCTATCACCTGGCTTTAGCGCCAGGGCGCGTTTCGTCTCGTCCAGCACATCTGGGTGATCCTGTACGACAATGTTGAACCAATCGTTGCCACCCAGTGGATTGCATTGGGTTTGTATCTTCTCGCCAAGGCGCGACTGCACCACAACTTGTGCTGATTTGAGCGCCAGGAATTTTATGTATTTTTCCAATTCTTTGTCGACCGCGTTTACACGTTGTGCAGACATTCTGACTTTTCTGATTTTTTTTTTATAACTTATAAATTCACTTTTGTGTACTCGCAACAGCGTACAAAGTTCGTTTTTTGCGTTGCCTTTCCTATTTTACACTGCTTCCGCGTATTGTCTGTCTATGCCCATTCGCAGTATTTTGCGGAATTTTTTTCCTTTTTTGTTTTTGTTTGTTCACTTTATCTCATTGCACTCGGATGCGCGATTAACACTAGTATGGGCATTTTTTAAAACACTGCAATTTATTATTTGCCTGAATTGTTTGTCTATTGTCATTTTATTAAAACAGTTGTTCTACTAAATTCTTTGACTTTAAAGCAAAACAAAGATCACTCCCACTTTTTTCATTACCGTCCGCCATTGAACTAAAACGAATGCGACGTCGTGCTGGTGTTGCCGTACTCTATGCGTTGCGTGGGCACTAGTCAGAGTTGCCAGATAGTTGTCAAAGAACAGAAAAGAAAATCCAAAGTTACGATTCGAAACTGTGATTTCATAAATGTATTTACTGCTACTGAAATAGCAGGAGAATTTTAAAAATGCCGAAATATAAATTGGGGCTAGATTTTTTCTATCCAAACAATCAAGAATGAATATAGAAATTACATATATTCAGGTTGCTTGAACGTATTGTTATTTTAAACAAACGGATTGTGCTATCAATATATTTATTTTCCGTGGATTTTGATGAACTAACCATTCTTTATTGATGCGAAATGAAATCTTTGGTTTTTATACTCCAAACTATATATCTCAATTTTGCATAGTAAAATGAGAAATATTGCGCGTAAACAGTGATTATTTGCAACTATACCGTGATTGGCGTACAAGCCTTAAATTTTGTTTACTATTTCTAAAAAGTACGGCAACACCACGCAATGTATGCGACACGTCACGTAGGCACAGGGGCGGGTTGGGTGCCTGTATTTGAAATGCCAGCTCAGGATTTTCCTATTAAGTAAATATCTTCATATCCATATTGTTGAGCTACAATATTAAATTTAAAATAGCCTTGGCCCGATAATGCTTCTTTTGGTGATCAATTACGCTGTTACTTAAACGTTTTCTGTTTCTTCTGTATGTTAAAATACTTCCGGTCCGAATCCGTAAGCACTTGTTTTGGAAGATATTGCAGCACCGAAGCCGGCACAGAGCCCAGCATCTGCAGCCGCTCTTCCTGAATGCGCTCTTGCCGCTCGGCTTCTGCCTTGGCTTTTGAATCGAAGAACAGCATATTTTCAGCAGCTGCTTCAGCACGTTTGCGTTTATTGTCCTCAATCATGGACAGCAGTAAGACACCATGCTCCTTCCGCCGTTGACGTTCCTGGATGTCCCTTTTATTAATGCCATCGGGGCCCTCATCGGGGCACATAAGGTTTCTTTCAACTGTTTCTTCGTGCTTTTTGCGAGCTTTTTCGATGTTGCGCTCATTTACTTCAGCGCGATAAAGTTCCAGCTCCTGCCGGGCACGCTGCCGGTTGAATTGCTTCTGCTTGAGCTGCTGCCGGTAGAGTTCATCGTCTTTGGCTTTGTACTCTGCGATCAGCAGATCGACCAACAGAGTGTAGCGTTGACGTAGGGGCTCCTGCGGGTATAAGAAAACAAATCTTTTATCTTTCTGTGCATTCCTCTAGATTTCAGCACACTTACCTCAACTTCAAACACCTGATGACCAATTCGCGTTCTAATCTCCGCTTGCTTACGTTGAGCCTCCAGCTTTGCCTCCTCCATTTGGCGCTTTTGCTCAGCTATCTCCGATTGTTTTTCAAGTACTTTTAAAATATCCTCGTCAGACTTAGCCCTTTGCAGTTCTTTGTATTCCCTTTGCTCATTAATGAATGTAATCATTTCGTCGCGTTTTTTGAGCTTTAATCGGTTTAGCTCCAGTTGCTCTGCTCTGTCTTCTTCCTCAATTTGCTGCTGCATGGCCATGCGCATCTCCCGCTCTGTCAGCGTCTCTACATAACGAAGCTGGCGTTGTTGCCGCTTCTCTTCGATTTGTTTTGACAACGTCTTGTGGAGCTCTATTTGCTGTTCCTTCTTGAGCAACTCCTCCTGCTCTTGCATCGCCAAGTCCTGCTGTCTTTTAGCTTCGGCACGCTGCAAACCCACCGCTTTGGCATTTTTGGCCAGTTCTCGGTTTCTATTGGTTTCCGAAATATGCTCTTCGAGCTCCTTTGTAATTGATGCCAATCGGAGCTGCTCAGCCAATTCCCGAAGTTCCTCGCATTCGTTGCGCAGTTGTTGGCGCCGCTTGCGATCTATGAACTCCTGATGCTTCAGTTGCTTAAGCTCGTCAGACATTATAGCCTCTTTGCTGGAGGCCTGTCTACCAAGACGATTTTCCATTTCCATCTGCTTACTTCCAAGATCCGTTTCGATTACTGTATTACAAAAATATTTGGCGTTCTTGTAAACAAGAGTATCGTCAACCGATACGATATACTTGGGCCTCCCTGTGATATGAATCGCGGGGGCGGCGTCCCTCGTATCCATGTATGTCCCTTTTAGCGTTGTCATGGTAGCGAATCGACGTTAAAAAAAAACTATATAAATAATGTAAAATAAAATGATGTAGCAATATGTATTATAAAGAAACAACTGATGCCTTAAAAGTAAAATCCTTATTTATTATAGTAACGATATTTTGCATGTTTGATATCGATATTTTACTATCGATAGATTTTTATCGGAAAAGGATTGATCAAGGTAAATAGGCACAGTGGACAACGTTGATAACGACTGTGTTCCCTTCTTAAGCAATAAGCAATATCTGTAATTAAAAATGTTTCTTAAAGAAAGGCCACGAGTTTGGCAGTAAAAAGTTCATAAAGATATTTAATATATTTTTTCAGAGTCAACATGTATATGCAATTTCCAGCCGTTTTACTTTGAATAAGCAATAGGGAAGTACTTCTTATCCTGCTCTACAATATTCTCTAGTACATCATCAATATCAGTAGTGGGATAACGCTCTACCCAAGACTGTATGTAGCCCTCATGAGTGGCATCATAGGTCTTCAATTCAACTTTGTCACCATTAATAAATGTGTTAGCCTGCACCAGAATAATGCGCGGCTTTTTGTGCGCCAGGCATATATCACGCCACTTGGCCCAAGGATGTGATCCGCCTTCGTTCACGTTCGAGTAGTGTTCGTACATTTTCGAAGCGGCTTCGATGTCGGCTGTGGATTTATACACCTGTAGCTTAGTCAAGAATTCGCCCAGCGCTTTCTTGCCAACGGTATGGATTTTGCTACGGTCCAATGTGAGCAGTAGATTTTTACCACCCTCGGTCTCTTCAACGGTAACAAATCCTTCGCCTGCTTCAAGCAATACTTTCATGATAACAAAACGTGCACGCGAATGTGCTTGCAGCCACAGTTTGGATTTGGGATTGTACATTTCCAGGGCAACACCCATGCCGTTCCAAATAAGGCTAAGCCAATTGATGTAAATGATATCGTCCTGCTCTGCAGCGTCCTTAAAACCAAATATTTCCAGTATATCCCGCTGCAGAGATAAATAAAGGCCAACTGCTTCAGCGCGGCACTCTTCGTAGGATGAACCAATGGCCCCGAATTTAGTATCGTACGTCTCGCCAGGCTTATACCAACTATTAATAGGTTCGCCAGTTATGAGGTTCTTTACTGTCTCCACGTCAAAGTTGTGGGTACCATTTTCATCGATGCGGAACAATTTGCCACTACCATGTCCTAACAGCTCGTGCAAGCCCACCTGCACCTCAAAAGCCTTCACCTTATATTCCTTCATGAGTGTCTGATCCGCTTCGGATAGAAAAGGTATGGGATCCTTGCGATTTATATTGGCCAGCACGTTGCCCAGCGAAACGTTTTTAAAGCCCTCATCCTGACGAATTTCGTCATCTGTTAGACATAATTCATTATATATTGGCTCCTCTCTATATGGTATTACTTACAATTGGGTATATTAATACCAGCAGGAACGCCGCTTCCAGCAAAAGTCAGCACATCTAGCGACGTAAAATCTGGCTTTAAATATGAATCCTTCTCATAGGGCTCGGTCCATGGCAAATACTCCAGAAGTTTCTCGGCACGATTGACGAGTTCGGAAAATTTAGCCGAACTTTCCTTGTTGACCATGGCCACAAAGCCCTCGAATTCGGCACGCCCGCCAGCCGGATCGCGGTATGTTTCAATGAAACCAATGTAGGTCTCAATAACGGGTCCCTTGTCCTTGATCCACCATCTGGAGCCATCCTTATGCTCGGCCAAAGAGCCTTCCTCAAAGGACTTGACATAATGCTCAATCATTTTTGACTCATTATCATTGGCGGCATATTTCTTTGCTTGAAGCAAATTCTCGTTTACACGTTTCAGCAACGGTTGATAGTCGCCACGTGTAACGCGAAAATGGTTGCCCTTGTACTCCTCCAGAGCCAGGGTTATGCCCTCCTTGCTAGATTGCTCAACGGAACCGAGCTTGATGTCGTAAAATGTTTTTCCGTTCTCGGTCACTTTAAATGTACGACACATGTATGGCTCAATACGCTTCGTTGTCAGCCAGGCATTGACTATTTCCGAATCCTCCTTGGTGCAGTTGTCCGACCAATATGTAGTTACGCCATTTGGTGCAAAGCCGAGAACTTCATTACGTGCTTCCAGAGCATAAATCAGATTTTTGACCTTCTCATAAATCTTCGACACACGCGGCTCGGCAGCATAGGCAGCCGAAGAGCGCACAATCGCCTCAAATTTATCCTCCGTCAAGTTGGGCACGATTTTGCTATCACCCATGCCCTTGTAGTTGCCGGAATTGGCGAACACACCACATGCGTAAACTAGGAATGCCTAAAAATTCACAAAAGGTTTCTATTACTTGAAAGATAGTTTTACCATGGAAGAATTTTGATTCTAGGAAAACTAATCGTTAAAAAGAGTTGTATGGCCATTTATGGATCATTTAGTTTGTACTTGATAAAATCTTTAAGTAGATTTATTTTCAGAGACTCACAGTAAAATCATCTTCAGTAGCGCCCGCTTTCAAGGCTTTGACTTTCAGTTCGGCGGGTTTTTCGGCAACAAAAATGCGATGCAATAGCGAAAATATAAGGGGTGCCTCCGGGCTGGATTGGATGAGGGAAACGAGACCACCGTCCCAGGATGCCTTGCTAAAATAGTGAGCGTACAGCTTTTCCTTGTCGGTTAAATTTTCAAATGCGTTTTTGCAATCCAAATCGGCAATGGGCTGCGTATTTGGCAACACGAAATGCGAAGTCTTGCTGGCCATTACGCTTGGTTGTGGCAAATTAACACGTGTGCTGCAACAAACAGAGAAATCAGACATAAGTTAAGATAAGTGCTGAACGCATAACCATGGAGTACCTGTAATTGTCGGCTGTAAATGCAGATGTTGTTGTTCTTAGCTGACCGAAATTCAGAAGACGCGTTGCCTGCTTTTGGAAATGTTGCGCTACAGTGTAACTGCTGGCCGTTCGAAAACGTAATTGGCAAAGCTGGCCCAGTTGACGGCACCTACGAATTTTCTGAACTAGCAACATGACTGAGAATTTTGACTGACGATTTTGAAATATTATATACAACGTACTATCACAATAATCAACCGAATTACTGCAGCACAACTGTAAAATGTAAAATGCTTTAATTTCGAAATTATTTCAAATATTACCAAACATGAAATTGTGATTTTATGAATGTTGAACAACGCGTTGAAACTGTAAAGTACACACATACAAATATTTGTATTGTGTGAACATACATACATATGTAGGTGCCCAATTAGAAGCTAGGAAATCGTTTGATTCTTGAGCATATTACGCGGTGCATGCATAGCGAAACAAAGAAAAAAAAATGCTATAAAATAATACCATAAAGCTATAATATATTGTGTTACGTACCTTACAAATAAGAAATGCAATTAATGAAATCAAAATGCCGACAAAGTGCAAGTTGTTACTAGAGATGAGCGATATTTGCAGCTTAGCGATATTTCTGTAAGCTTTGGCATTTCAGAAATGTTATTTACAGGAGCATTATCTTAACATAAACTGTTAAATGTACTTAACAGCAAACAATGAACAACTATTAAAACAATGCGAACTAAAAAATATTTTAGGCAGTGGAAAGTATACCCACTTTCAAAATATAACCATCTATATATCGCCATTGCAAATACTCTAGATTGGTACAAATGCATTTTAATATCAGATGTTAGTATTCTAATTGCAAAAGCGTTATTTCAGCGTTTGCGGTCACACTGTCTGGCACTTTTCAAATATGTAGTTAAAATATTTTGAAAAAAAAAATCTGAAAATTCACTATCTTTATGTTGAGGTGTGGGCGTGATTATCAGATAACAATTGGCACGTATCCAACAACTATTCGGAAGCTAAAGCTGTTATCGAAACCCCACGCAATTGTGTGGGCCTTAACGCCCGCCACCCACCCAAACAGCTGTCCAAATCATATGTTTATTTTCTTATCACCTTCAGGTTGACCCTAGTTGGGCAGTAAAAGTTTTTTCGCAAGCGTTAAAGAAATGGAACTGACTGGCTGGGTGAAAAACTATGAATGGGGTAAACGTGGCATTAATTCGACTGTTGCCCAAATGGCAATGGCCAACGATCCAGACTTTATCCTGAACGAGAATGAAACATATGCCGAAATGTGGATGGGCACCCATTTCTGTGGTGTTTCCATTGTCAAGGCGACTGGGGAAACCCTCGACCGTGTTCTTAAGAAGGATCTGCCATATCTGTTCAAGGTGCTGAGCATAAAAAAAGCACTCAGCATCCAAGTGCATCCAAATAAATGCGAAGCAGAGCGTCTCCACAAGGAAAGACCACTTATTTATAAGGATGATAATCATAAGCCAGAGCTGAGCATAGCTCTAACACCGTTCCTGGCGCTGGTTGGATTTCAGCCAGTCGAAGATATAATCGATAATATTGATGAGTTCCAACCGTTATCCAAGCTCATCGGCAAAGACGCCGTCCATGCGCTACACAAAAATCGAAACGCCGAGGGCGTAAAGGAATGCTACGAGATCTTAATGAAGTCGGATGAAACTGTCGTCGCCAATTGCGTCAAGGAGATAGCCAAGAACTACAAAAAAGGCAAGGCTGCCGCCTTATCCTATTTGCATTTCAATTTCATCCATTTCATTTGTTTATGTTTATGTAGAGCTTAAGCAGGATGGATTGCTGGATATATTCAACACAGTGAATGGAGATTTTCCCGGAGACGTGGGTGTACTGTCTCTATTCTTTCTGAATCTGGTGCGTCTGCAGCCTGGTCAGGCCATTTACTTGGGCGCCAACGAGATTCATGCATATTTGGATGGTGATTGTGTGGAATGCATGGCCTGTTCTGATAATGTTATTCGTGCAGGACTCACGCCCAAATACAAAGATGTGGAGCAGCTTATTGCCTCGGTAATATTTGAGGGCAAACCGGCAAGCTGCAAGCTGTTTATGCCATATCGCATCGATGACACCGTACAGGTGTTTGTTCCACCTGTTGACGACTTCGCTGTGATGCATGTGGCCCTTAAACACACTGTAGATACGTACAAGCTACAGATACAGCCATATGGGTCCATTCTGTTGACGTTGACAGGTGTCCGCATCTTAAAGCTTAACACCAAGGAGGGTCCCAAAGAAATCACCGTTACGCGCGGAAACATTGTCTACATTCCAGTTGAGGCAGCGCCCGAAATTGAATTCATGCATGCCGAAGACTGCGGAGATGATTTTACCGCCTACATTGCAACATATAATTATTTCAGGCGTGCCTAGAGTGTAAATTTGTAGTGCTATACAAAATTTTAAATAAATGAAACACGCTTCTTTCGTGTCGAATTAATTTCAATTTCAATTATTGCAATTTATAACAGCTAAAATAGAAACTAAACTGGCAATTTTAATCATTTAAAGCGGGGTTAACGCGTGGGTTTATATATCTAATTAAATACGATATTATGTAATGTACAATAAACATATCAATGAATAATATTTTGTGCACAGATAATTTCAGATTAATACAAAACAACAAAATACGTTGCACAGACTTAACCTAATGCAAAAACTGGGCTTACAATCTGGTTGAAGTATATAATATGTATATGTGTTATATATAGAAAAGGGGGGTACATAAACATACATACAGTTAGTACGTTTCTTGTATAGTATTAACAAACTGGCGTACACAAAGAATGCACATAAATTGGCTACAATATGACACTACCCTTAAATATTTAATTGTTCTCAACCATCCGTTCGTTCCGTTGACTCCTTATAAATGCCTCACCACAGCATGCACAAGTTGTAAATATTTTATCATATAGATTACATACAAAGTTGCTTAGTTTGAATCATAAAGGTCGTAAAATGCCTCAAAATGTTTGTACCAAAAACTTGGGTACATTTATACGAAATATCTCATTATAAAATTTTGGTAAAGGTTGTTAGTAGTTAGACGATAGGTATACGTGTAGATACATTATATAGATGGGTTAATCGTAATTATTAATTTCTCTTCAGTTTTGCTTTAGTAAGTATATACGTATAATATAGTTTGATAACGCAGTAGCAACAAATAAATCAATTAATAATGCCGCTACTGCTAGTATATTTGTGCCCACAACATGTGTTCCCTGTTGTTGTAGTAGTTGTTGGTGGTGGTGGTGGTGGTTGTGTAAGTTTAGGTGAGATAGTAAGTTGTTTCGAGTATATGGAGAGTGGGAGGAGCTTTTGATTAGGTTAATCATTATCGCTTTGAGTGCATTCAATTGTGCAGTTTAGCTCTTGAGCAGATTGTTTGCGCGTTTATTAACACCGTCCATGCGAGTGTTGTTCGCATCACCTTTGGCATTGATGCGATCAACTTGCTTGTTTTGGTTCTCCAGCTCGGATCCCATGTCCAAGGCCATGTTGCGCAAGTTTCCTAGCATTGAGTTCACTTGTCCCAAATTCTCATCCATTTCATCTTCGCGCGCATCGTTGGTTATGCGCGCTATATACCCGGATTGTGGTGGTGCGCCCATGCCGCCACGCTCGCGCTCATCAATGACACGCTGCGGCTGACTGGCCACCACTTTTCCATCGTCATTGGCCTTCCAGGCGCTATCGCCGTCATCCTTTATGTTGACCTTCTTCCACGGCAGCACGCAGACACCGCAGCATTTCTCCATGCCACTAAGATTCTTTTCTGCCTCTCGCATATCTGCATTGATGCGATCCATGCCCTCCTCAATGCGATCTAGCTGCTCGCCCTGATCGTCCAGGGCTACCAGAGTGCGTATGCCTGCCTCCTTAGATTCATCCATCAAACTAAGCATGCGTCGAGTGCTTTCCAACGACTCGTCGGCCACTTGAGCGGATTTAAGCTGCAGCTCCTGCAACTCCGTGCGCGGCTCATTTTCCACCATTGCAGCCATTGCGTGATTTTTTATTTGCGGTGTTTACGCCGAACTGATGACTTAGCAAGTGGTTGCGAGATTTTTTGTAGCAGGTTTGGGAAATTTTCGCAAGTGACTCACAATCACTGCTGCTGACGCCACCACAAGGGGTTCACACAATCGTTTTTATAAGCTCGTTTTTTTGCAAAAGCAGGAACTTGAATTTAAGTTAAAAATGATAATCGAAAGATTTGTTTAATTTGTACAATATTTTGGCAAGTCTTTTTATGCAAATACAAGAACCAATTCTGTATATACAAGAATTATCGAAAATTGATATACACACGAGACCGATATACGATAAGCCAGGGTTGCTAAATCTAAAATCAGTGTGAGCAAATTTTATTCATAGCAAGCCATTAAAATTGAAAATTTCTACAAATTATAGCCAAACGATAAGAATTTTTTAAAAAGAACTAAACTTGTTAAATTGTTAAAATATAGAAAAAACTTTTTATTAAACACTGCGAAGCTGTGTATTTATATTTATACCGCCGTTCGTAACTGGTTGGCGCGTTTAGTGTTGTATAATACATTTGAAATATTAACGAATAGTTGTTGGTACAGCCAAGGCTGAGCGTCAGTGATCTTCAGCGCAATTTTTTTTTCTTATTCAGTATCAATTTAATTTTGCGCTCTCATTTTGTGCTGCACACGAACGGATTTAGTGAACATAACTTTTTAGCAGTGTAATTATGGACAATTCACGCCGTTCGCTTGCACCCGGCGAGGACAGCATTAGCATGTATTTGTCCTTTGACGCCGAAGCCGACGACACGCTGGCCAGCAAATGGCAATCGGTGATGGCTACCCAAACTACTCAATATTTGGAGATGCACAGCATGGAGCTGGACCTAAAACATGATGACACCCTAGAGGAAAAGAAAAAAGATGTGAAAAACGTACTCCAGGCTCTAATTAAGAATGACATTTCGAAAGACCAAGTCTCACCCTTGCGCCCCTTTGACAAGAGTATTTTGAACAAGCACAACGCCCTGTGCTCGACACCAACAAAAAATATAACATTATCTGACGTGCGTCAGGATGTGACTGCTACAGACGCTGATAATAAGGAGAACACGCAGCCAGATGAAGAGAATTCCACGTTATCGTCCACCATAGACGCCACTGCCTCGACCGTGAAGACAAATACAATTTTTAATGCTACGCTTGAGGACAATTCAGTAAAGGAAAATAACAAGACTAATATTTATCCTTTAAGCGCCAACGTTGTGCTTGAAAATATTACGGAAGGTAAACTTTAACATATTATTTGTTTGATTTCGGCTCTTAACCGATCAGTTTGATTTATTTTTCCAGTATCGACAGAGGAGCCGTCACTGTCACTGAATGGGCCATCTCCATTGGCAGCAGTTGCCCAAGACAGAAAGGATACAGAAATTGTGGTCTCTGAGATGGTTAATGAAGTGTCCGAGCTGATTGCTAAGGCTCTTAAACTAACCGACGGCTCAACAAAACCCGAAAACCAAACAAAACTGCCGACACTTGCCTTGCCACGGCCGCGTCGCTCGTATCTGCCCACAGCTAATGGGACAACATTTAAGCAACGCATGTCGATTGTTGTCAAGACCACATTGAACAGCCCAGCACGCAAACTGGCTACAGGTAATCCGATTGCGCGCCGCAGCTGCCTGCCCGCAGCCAAAACTAGCCTTATGGGAAACACTGGATACCGCAAGTCCATGCTGCCACGATCCGCTGAGAGCGCCACTAGCAAGGCAAGCACTTCGCAGACCGCAAGAGCAGCTGGAGAATTAGCTGCTGAAAAAGTCCGTCCCATTATACATAAGTTTAAATGCCAACTATGCAGTGCCAGCTTTCGAGAGAAGAACTTGCTCGATACCCACATGGACTCGCACTGGAAATGTAGGCCAGCAATTAGAAATAAGAATTCGTTTTTCTGTAAATATTGTGACAAGAAATTTGTGCTCGAACGCGCGCTGCACATTCACCTAATGCAGAACTGTGACAAAATACCGCCAGGCGAGAAGCGTAAGCTTCAATTTACAGAGCTGAATCATGAAAAGAAAGCAAAGCTACCAAAATTGACGTGCACCTCGCCAGCTGTGAGCAGTGAGAGCTTGAAGCCACGTGAGAGCACGATGCCAGAGATGGAGAAAGAGCAGCCCATTGGTAAGTTTAGATCGAGGCCAGCCCGAAAAACGTTTGTTACATTCTCTGCGTTTGTAGCCACCAGCGGAGGTACAAAAAGTGTTGAAATGGCGCCGCCATCGGTAAAGAAGATTCCCAAGAAGGTTGCCCATGCAGGCGTCTATCGGACACCCACTAAATCTGTGCCTTGCCACACCTGTAAGCAGTCCTTTAAGAGCATTCTTGACTATACTAACCACTGCCTGACAGTGCACTCGAAAAACAAGAAGCTGAACACAGCAAATGCACCGAGTGCTCGATATGAAGATTAAATCAAATACCTTAGTTTAGGTTGTGTTTACTTTAATGCTAATACGGTTAATATGAAATATACGATTAAACTGCAACGAAGTTCACTTGGTTTTCTTCTCGGGCGGCGGCTTCATATCTATGCTTTCCGTTGCTATATCTAATGGCCCAGTGGCATGAATATCCGTTGGGTTCGACCCCGTACTACCATCTGTGCCCGCTGGCACTTGTCCAGCTTGTAGTGGTTGCTGAAAATTCTGTAGCATTGGAGGTATAGGCGGTGGGAATTTACGTAGTAGCTCGGCCAGCAACATGTCAACACGTTGCTTTTGAAATAACGTGCCACTATTGTCATCCTTGGCAGCATTTGAATCCTTCTTGTCAGACTTGGTTTTGTCAGATACTGCGAAAAATCAGAGACCACAATTTAATTGGAATATATTAAATTTACAGCGAGCAGCCATCGAGAATATGCATTCTACTTACAAACTTTGTTAGACGAAAAGTCCCAGGTGTATCCTTTGTTGGGATGATAGCGGGCATAGCTGCTGGCTTCCTCGAACGCCGACTGCAGATTAACGACTGTGTTGAGCTGCAAGTAGATCGGAATATTTGAGCACTATGCTGATGTGTTGATGAGTTTACTCACAATACGCGCATTTATCACGTTTGCCAGATCAGGCGCCTTGTACACAGTGCCTCCAATTATATAGTAATCGGCAATTGGTGTCGCCTCCGAGGGATTGTGTCGATGCTGTTTGCGTATGACATAGAGAATTGGTTCGGCTACGTGCAGTAGAATGTACTCCATGCCCAGCATATTACTGCAAAGAACGGAATATTTACAAAACTGAATCGCTAATAAGCTGCGCTAGAAACCTACTGCAAATGTTCAACTCCCAGACGCTGCATGCGTATGGTTTCATTGTTACACATGTGGTCATAGAACGGATTGCTCTTGCGGCAAAAGTAGTCCATAACGGTCTGTGGGCTCAATGTGGCCATCATCTGAGTATCGTGCCAAGATAATCGTAGATGATTTTCTGGTGGTTGCGTTATTTGTCGGTTCGCCATTGTTGCGGCTGCTGCACGTGAATATATTGGGTCTGCGAAATAGTTGTCTTTTTTTTGCGCCGGCTGACGACAGAAAATAATTGCTAATCAATCAGTGGGTCAGTGTCAATGCCTGGCCGCTATTTGCTTGCTCGAGCGTCTTTCCTCTTTCTCAGTTTGTTTACAAATTATTTATAGACCGAACGCTGCCAATTTTAAAATGTTGCACTTTTTCGATATGTCTTTATTTGATTTATTTGTTGTGTAATAAATATTTCAGTGTCGTGAACAGGAAAATTCAACAGCTGCTGCTAAACAATTAGTACGGCGCTGAGGGCACTGTAAGTTCACCGTTAAACTGTTAATTTTAGTATGTGTGAATTATCATTAGTGCGTTATGTACCTGCGACTAGTGCAAGTAGTACACTTTTTTGTTATTCATATTTTGTTTATAATTTCCGATATACATTTGAAAACTGTCCGATAGCTTGTGGTGGATAGCCGATATATTTTAAAAGGAAGTTGGCAGAGCGGGCCATTTATAAACAAGGTGGCAATACATTACCATCGCTCCACACATGAAAATATTAAACAAAATGTTTAAAAATAAAACAAAACGTAACGGCTTCAGTTTAAACTAACACTTAATTCAAATAAAGCATACAGACAGGTCTGGCCAACACATATCTAGCCAATTTTTCAATTTTCTTGTATAAAATCGGCGAAGCGTGCATTGTTGTTGCCGTTCAACGTCGTCGCTGCCGCCACAAATACAAATACACTAAAATTATCATCAACATCAATTGTATATTAAACATTTTGCTCGGTCAGCGGAACTTGGCCCATTTTTTCGGATCGTCAGAATTGGAAACTATATCAGTCCGCTTTGTACATTTCGTCGTGGCGCCCGTGAGGAAATACAACGGAAAGAGCAACGAGTGCTCGCAATGGTAAACAGCAGAAAAAAAAATCAATAATTATTACGCATTGTTGAACAATTAAATCGAGTTTAGCTGCGTGTGTGTGTGTATGTGTGCGTGTAGTTTTATTACTACCTATTTTCATACTGCATCTGTATGTACACATACTGGTTACAAATTAAACGTCATGCCTTAATCATAACCAAGTAATCCCCAAGAATGTGTGTAAATATGTTTGTGCCTAATATTTGCCGCCGTTTTGACAGTCAAGGTCGCGTAAGTCTCGTCAGCGCTTAGAAAAACTGTTCTCCTTTTTTATGGCTCGCCTTGAATTTGGCGCACAAAATTATACGCATATAAGTTAACAACTAAGCATAAATATATTGCCCTAGCAATTAAGTAGCTTCGTATTAACAATGCTGACGCGCCAGAACTGAGTTCAGCGCTCTGCGCTAAGAACGGCCAGCAGCGGTAAGCTGACACTGCATGGAATGCTGAGTCGGCTTGCCGACCATGCTTTGATGGCGTGATGCATTGAGGCTTAGGGTATTTGTATAATTTGCTTGTCCCCTAGTTTTTAGTTTTATATGAAGCGCGCAACACATAAGTCGCCGAAATAAATATACTGCTCCGGCATTGCCGATAAAACATATCTTTCGTAATATTACTGGATCAAGGAGAACATATTTTGATCAAGGGCAGCGCGGGACCAACGCAACTTACCCAAGATAACATTGTGTTACATCGCAGAACATACATTAATGAATAACTGGCGCCCAACCAATAAATAGGAACCCATACCATGTAAGTTCATAAGTGATTTCAGTTTGAAGAAATTATTCTCGAACGCCACGTACCGATACGTGTGATTTTTAAAAAAAAAAAAAAAAAAAAAAAAAAAAAAAAAAAATTGTAAAGTAAAGTAAATATTGCTGCTCTCTTCTGCCAGCATTTCATTCCTTTAAATCATTGCATACTTTCACTAAAAACTGTTGCATACTTTTACCAGCGTTCCTTGTCAATAAAGCATTGCATACCTTAAACGAATAATTATTGCATACTTTCGGCAGCATTACATTTTTTGCTGCATACCCCTAACAATTTTTTATAATAAATATTGCATACCCCAAGATTCACCAGTTTCCACTATTGCCAACAGCGTTACCTGCCGATCTTTCTCGATCGGCCTAAGTTTGAAAAGTGCCAACCATAAGCCAATGAGTTGGAATTATAGGGAGATAAAAGTCGAGTATAATAGTGACGATAGCTGGGAGGGGGAAATCAATTGCTCAGTAGATCCTACTCCTGCAGATACCGTTGTAACTGAAGAAATGGAGCCGGCTCAAGTTCAGAATCTCATTGAGGGTGCCATCAGGCAAGCTTTAGCGCAACAACAAAATCAGTTTCAAGCACAAATAACCGCTTTAGCTTCACAAGTACAGAGTTTGCAGGTGGAGGCGCCGCAAATCGTCACATACGAGAAAATATCCGTCGATCCAAACGCCAAATGCGATATTCCCTTGGACATTATTAAATCTGTGCCGGATTTCTCCGGCGTACAGGATGAGTATGTAGCGTGGAGGCAAGCAGCCATCTACGCGTACGAACTATTCAAGAACTATCCAAAGAGCACTGCACACTACCAAGCGGTAGCGATCATTAGGAACAAAATCAAAGGCCCAGCTGGAGCCTTACTAGTGTCTCACAACACTGTCCTAAATTTCGATGCAATACTAGCTAGGCTAGATTGCACATACTCGGACAAAACATCCTTGCGCTTGCTGAGACAATGTTTGGAGTTAGTTACGCAGGGCGAAATGTCCCTGATGCAATACTACGATGACGTCGAAAAGAAACTCACGCTCGTAACTAACAAAATTGTAATGTCTCACGACCAAGAAGGCGCGGATTTGCTCAACCGGGAGGTCAGAGACGACGCCTTGCACGCCTTTATCTCCGGTCTTAGGAAGCCGTTGAGAGCGGTTGTGTTCCCTGCACAACCAAAAGATCTACCATCCGCTCTGGCCCTTGCCAGAGAGGCAGAAGCTAGCATTGAGAGAAGCATGTTCGCGAACTCTTACGCTAAAGCCTTGCAAGACCGAGCGCAAATTGCTGAAAGTAACAAAAACCGTGCCCAAGGCAAGCAAACCAGATTTAACAAAGATGAGCAAAATCAGGAGAGAAATCCCCATTTTGTGAAACGCCAAAAGGGCGGTCCCCAGCCCCAGGCCCCTAAAGATAATCAAACTGAGGCTCCACAGCCCATGGAAGTTGACTCTTCCTCCAGATTTAGACAAAAAACCGACTACAGCAAGCGTCAGGCTAATGAGTCCAACGCACCAAAACGCAAGAATTCGTCAGACCGTTCAACAGGTCAAAGACGACAACGCGTTAACAATGTCGTACAATCAGATTCCAAAGAAGCCGTAACAGAATTCGAGAAGGCGGCCAAAGAGGCAGTTGAAGAACTAGAGAGTGAGAACGAGTACGCACCTGGTGACGACTCGATTAATTTTTTAGGGAACACTCCCGGCTTCCGTACATTGAACGACGGTTGGCTGGGAGAACTCTGAAGATGTTGATTGACACTGGCGCGGCAAAAAATTATGTGAAGCCCTTAACAGAGCTAAAGACCATAACGCCGGTCGCCAAGTCATTCTCGGTAAACTCGATCCACGGGTCTACCGAAATCAAGCGCAAATGCTTGATGAACATTTTCCAACATACCTCCCCGTTTTTTCTCCTCGATACCCTAAGTTCTTTCGACGCCATCATAGGCTTCGACTTGCTAACACAAGCCGGAGTCAAATTGAACTTGGCAAAAAACACTCTGGAATACCAGAGTACATCCGAAAAACTCCAGTACTATCAATGTGCTGATGTGAACTTCACCGATGTCAACGACATCGTAGTCCCCCCTTCCGTAAAGAAAGAGTTCAGGGACATGATACTCAGAAACAAAAGAGCCTTCTCAAATGCAGACGAAGCTCTCCCTTTTAATACTGCTGTTATCGCTACAATCCGAACAGTAGACAACGAGCCTGTGTATTCAAGATACCCGAGTCTCATGGGTGTTTCTGACTTCATAAACAAAGAAGTCAAACAATTACTGGACGATGGCATAATCAGGCCCTCCAGATCGCCTTACAACAGCCCAACATGGGTGGTTGATAAAAAAGGCACTGACTCATACGGTAACCCAAAAAAAAGGTTGGTAATCGACTTCAGGAAACTGAACGAAAAAACCATACCGGACCGCTACCCCATGCCGAGCATCCCCATGATCTTAGCAAATCTAGGAAAGGCAAAATACTTCACTACCCTCGACCTAAAGTCGGGGTACCATCAAATTTACCTTGCGGAGCATGACCGCGAAAAGACTTCATTTTCAGTAAGCAGCGGCAAGTACGAGTTCTGTCGCCTACCATTCGGCCTGCGCAATGCAAGCAGCATATTCCAAAGGGCAATAGACGATATCCTGAGGGAACATATAGGAAAGATTTGCTTTGTCTATGTAGACGACGTCATAATTTTTTCTAAAAACGAAACGGAGCACCTTCAACACATTAACATTGTGTTAAAATGTCTAATCGACGCAAACATGCGTGTAGGCCCCGAAAAGACTCGTTTCTTCAAGGAAAGTATCGAATTCCTGGGTTTCATTGTAACCAAAGACGGAGCAACATCCGACCCCAAAAAAGTTAAAGCCATTCAGGAATTCCCTGAACCAAAGAATGTCTACAGCGTTAGGTCCTTCTTGGGGTTAGCCAACTACTATAGGGTCTTTATTAAGGACTTTGCCGCTATAGCGCGTCCGATATCGGACATACTTAAAGGGGAAAATGGTTCAGTTAGTAGGCACGTATCAAAGAAAATCCCTGTTGAATTTAATGAAGTTCAACGCGATGCATTTCACCGTCTGCGGAGTATTTTGGCATCAGAAGACGTCATGTTAATGTATCCAAACTTCCAGAAACCGTTCGATTTAACCACTGATGCTTCGGCCAGTGGAATTGGCGCGGTTCTTTCCCAAGGCAATAGGCCAATAACAATGATTTCTCGCGCCTTAAAACAGGCCGAACAAAACTATGCCACTAACGAAAGAGAATTGCTGGCCATTGTGTGGGCTTTAGGCAGATTGCAGAACTTTCTGTACGGTTCTAGGGAAATTAACATTTTCACGGACCACCAGCCGCTCACGTTCGCTGTGTCGGACAAGAACACGAATTCCAAGATTAAAAGATGGAAATCTTACATTGACCAGCACAATGCCAAAATGTTTTATAAACCGGGCAAAGAGAATCTGGTGGCGGATGCCCTTTCAAGGCAAAACATTAATGCTCTGCAAGATGGGCCCCGTTCGGACGCTGCAACCGTTCACAGCGAACTTTCCCTGACCTACACGGTCGAGACAACAGACAAACCTTTGAATTGCTTTAGGAACCAGATTGTCCTAGAGGAATCGCGTTTTCCGCTAAAGCGAAACTTGTTGCTGTTTCGCAGCAAAACACGCCACTTGATCAGTTACACTGACAAGAGCTCAATTCTCAAAACCCTCAAAGAAGTTGTGAATTCTGGAGTCGTTAATGCAATACATTGCGATCTTCCCACGTTGGCAAGTTTCCAACACGACCTGATTTTGTATTTCCCTGCTACCCAATTCTGGCATTGCAAAAATCTTGTGCAAGATATAACGGACAAAAACGAGCAGTTAGAAATCATCACTGCCGAGCACAATCGAGCGCACAGAGCAGCTCAGGAAAACATTAAACAAGTACTTCGGGACTATTATTTTCCCAATATGGCCAGTCTGGCCAAAGAAGTGGTTGCAAACTGCAGGGTCTGCACTAAAGCCAAATACGATAGGCACCCGAAGAAACAAGAACTCGGGGAAACGCCTATACCAAGTTATACTGGCGAAATGTTGCATATTGACATTTTCTCGACAGACAAGAAACAGTTCTTGACCTGCATAGACAAATTCTCAAAATTTGCAGTCGTCCAACCGATATTATCCAGAACGATAATCGATGTCACAAGCCCTCTACTGCAAATTGTTAACCTTTTTCCCGCAACCAAGACAATTTATTGCGATAACGAGGCGGCCTTCAATTCCGAGACCATCACTTCGATGCTCCGAAACGCCTACGGCATTTGCATTGTGAATGCGGCTCCGCTTCACAGCACCTCAAACGGCCAGGTGGAGCGCTTTCATAGCACCCTGACCGAAATTGCGAGATGCCTCAAGTTAGACAAGAAAATCAGCGACACTACAGAATTAATCTTAAAGGCTACGATAGAGTACAACAAAAGTTTGCACTCAGTAACCCTCGAGAAACCAATTGAGGTCGTTCATGCAGCAGCTTCTGATCGTCGCGGGAACGTCAAAAACAGGCTAATTAAGGCACAGCAAGACAATATCAAAAGGTGCAATGCATCCAGACAAAACCGCGTTTTCGAGGTAGGAGAAAAGGTGTTCCAGAAGAACAACAAGAGGCTAGGGAACAAGTTAACTCCCTTATGCTCAGAACAAAAGGTCGAAGCAGACCTGGGAACGTCTGTCCTCATTAAGGGGAGGGTGGTCCATAAGGACAACCTGAAATAAGTTTTCCTCCACAATTAGCTAGTAAGCCAACTCAGAGTTTAAACACCGTCTTATATTGTTCGTCCATTTCAGGTTTGCACTCACTTTGCTTGTGGCACTAGCAGCGGTAAATGCTCGGATCACCGACTTCTCGCATGTCAACTACATTCCGGTCTTAGACGGGGAAGTACTGGTGTTCGATCAACGTAGCTACTTGAGGCACTCAAGTAACATTTCCGAATTTGTTAGTATGATAGACGAGACGGAAAGACTGTCCGATTCCTTTCCACAGTCGCATATGCGCAAACTACTAGACGTAGATACAGATCACCTTAGAACATTGTTGTCCGTTCTTCAAGTGCATCACAGATTTGCACGAAGCCTCGATTTCTTAGGCACTGCCTTGAAGGTTGTTGCTGGCACCCCTGATGCTTCAGATTTCTTAAGGATCCGCGTTACAGAGACGCAGTTGGTGGAGGCTAACTCCAAACAGATACTAATAAACTCCGAAACTCAAAAACAAATAAACAGACTAACGGACACTATCAATAAAATTATCAGTTCCCGCAAAGGCGATTTGGTTGACACTCCTCATTTATTCGAGACCCTGTTGGCAAGAAATAGAATACTGAACACAGAAATTCAAAATTTAGTACTCACCATAACGTTGGCAAAAGCAAGCATAGTAAATCCTACAATCCTTGATCATACCGATCTAAAATCACTTATCGAACAAGATACCCCAATAGTTAGCTTGATAGAAGCTTCTAAGATCAAGGTCCTTCAGTCCGAGAATATTATCCACATATTAATAGCCTACCCTAAAGTTGAGTTTAGGTGCCAAAAGGTCTCCGTCTACCCCGTTTCACACCAACAAACCATTCTGCGACTCGACGAAGACACGTTGGCGGAATGCGAAAAGGATACCTTTGCAGTTACTGGATGCACCGTAACTACGCATAACACCTTCTGCGAACGAGCACGGCGCGAAACCTGTGCTAGCTCCCTTCACGCGGGAAACATCGCCAACTGCCACACTCAACCTAGCCACCTGAAAGCGATAATGCCTGTAGATGACGGCGTCGTGGTTATCAACGAAGCGACAGCGCGCGTCCGAACAGATGATGACGCAGAGGTAACCGTCTCAGGAACCTTCCTGATAACTTTCGAACGGTCTGCAACTATCAATGGCACAGAATTTGTAAACCTGCGCAAATCACTAAGCAAGCAGCCTGGCATCGTGAGGTCACCGCTCCTAAACATCATCGGACATGACCCGGCACTAAGCATACCACTCCTGCATCGTATGAACATCAACAACTTGCTATCAATTCGAGATTTCAAGGAGGAGGTAGTTGCGGCTGGCTCGCCTAAATTCTGGTTCGCGATTGGCGCGGTCATGAATGTCGGACTAATTGGCTCATTCTTCCTTTTTCTGGTGCTAAGGAAAAGACGAGCCTCCATGCAGATGCAGAAGGCGATTGACAAATACGACATGCCCGAGGACGGCCATCATCCTGAGGGGGGGGTAGTTAACAACTAAGCATAAATATATTGCCCTAGCAATTAAGTAGCTTCGTATTAACAATGCTGACGCGCCAGAACTGAGTTCAGCGCTCTGCGCTAAGAACGGCCAGCAGCGGTAAGCTGACACTGCATGGAATGCTGAGTCGGCTTGCCGACCATGCTTTGATGGCGTGATGCATTGAGGCTTAGGGTATTTGTATAATTTGCTTGTCCCCTAGTTTTTAGTTTTATATGAAGCGCGCAACACATAAGTCGCCGAAATAAATATACTGCTCCGGCATTGCCGATAAAACATATCTTTCGTAATATTACTGGATCAAGGAGAACATATTTTGATCAAGGGCAGCGCGGGACCAACGCAACTTACCCAAGATAACATTGTGTTACATCGCAGAACATACATTAATGAATAACTTATATACATATATCTGTGTACATTTATAGCTTTTTATATACATATGTATGTATTATCCATGATTTACCGCCTCCACAGTCTCGGGCACTAAAACTAAATAAATATATACTTTGTGAATATCTGCAAATAAATTATTTCTTTATATGTAGCTGCAAAGCTTGTTAGCCTTAATCCAAGGCTACATTTTCCATTAGGTTGGCAACTCAGTTTCAAATCTGTCGCTTAAAAAATGTAAACTAAAAAAATTTTTTAATTAACTATCTGTTTTTATAGACACGACTATTTTACAAAAACTATATCAAAACAAAACAGGCAGAAAATGTTCAACGAAAGAACAATTGTTTATAAAACAATGGTAAATGAAAGATAAAAATAAGGTTTGCATATGTCCGAACGTGTGCAAATTTTGAAATCTATACAGGCATATATATATATATATATATATATATATATACTGATATATTTTGTTTCAACACGTTTTTTAAGCACAAGAGTTCTTTCACTGTAACTATAGAAACCATACCAAATGATTATTGTTCTAAGGAATTTGTATTATATATGTATATGTATTTTCATATTTGTTTTCTAAAAAGAACAGTTTTTCAATAAACGCCAAAAAATGAGGCTTACGGCCTTGTTTTAGACGATGTTCTCAATCTTTAGTCCAATGTGTAAAATGTGAAATATTTTAATAGGTATTCGTGGCCTTTGTGTTATTAATACATATTTCAATTTATCCAGTGTACATAAATCAGAACGTTTTCTTTTTTTTTAACAAGTTGTTGTCTAGTTGCCCCCCGATTAGAATTAAATTTATTCTTTTTTAGATTTTGAGGTACTTTCGTAGCCTGATGGTGGCACAACAACAGTCGGCCCAGTTAGTTTGTCAGTTAAAGCGATATGCGCTATATTAAACCGGAGCCGTACTATGAGGTAGCTGGATCACACCTAGGCAAACGCAGTTTTTAACAAACGGAAGTCCTATTGGCACGTTGCTAACATATTTTGTATATTTACAGGGGCTTCCACCGTTCAATGTTTCTGGCAGTCCGTTCAATGTGGTGCCAATACACAACTTTCCGGAGCTAATGAAGGATACGTGCGCGCTCATTAACTCCGAATGGCCGCGCTCCGAAACTGCACGCATGCGCTCCCTGGAAGCTTCTTGTGATACGCTGCCTTGCAGCCTGGTGCTAACCACGGAGGGCATGTGTCGTGTAATAGCTCACCTAAAGCTTAGCCCGATAACATCGAAAAAGAAGGCCTGCTTTGTGGAGTCGGTTGTCGTGGACAAAACCTATCGTGGTCAGGGCTTTGGAAAGCTGATCATGAAGTTTGCCGAGGACTACTGCCGTGTGGTTCTCGATTTAAACACCATTTATCTATCGACCATAGATCAGGATGGTTTCTATGAACGCATCGGGTATGAATACTGTGAACCCATTTCCATGTATGGACCGCGCCACTGCGAGCTGCCTAGTTTACAAAATATGAATAAGAAATACATGAGGAAGGTCTTATAGACATCAGCACCAGTAGTAGTAGTAGTGTTGGCTTAACCAAGCTGCGAACGCTTCAAGCTTGACCGGAGCGTGCCAGTTAAACTAGTCAAATTAGGTAAACGCTCTTGGGGCTGAATATATAATCTAATACTGCCCAGCGGCAGAGCCGTACTATGCATAAATATATACCCTATGAGCGTTTGCTTCTGATTCCATTACGATTACACAAACAAACATTCATATTACGCTCGTGTTGATTTTTAAATATTACTTTCCGCATGTATTTTTTGTTATCTTTTCGGAAAATGCTTGGATACACAAGCACGTTATTTGCCGTGTTTTATAATATATTGCACATAATATATTCACGTTAATTTAGTTATGTATTATTATTAATTTATAATTCATACTCTTATGATTTGTTGTGGTGTTTGCTCGAATGCTTACAAGACAATATGATAGCTCAATTATCTTCCAAATAAACTGTAGCATAGATATACATATCGAGATTGGAAACATAGCATTAAGCAAGAAATGAAAGGCAATAAATTATATTAAAGTTGTAGATATTTTAAATGCTCTATTTGTTATTTTATTAGCGGAAGATACAACGGAAACATCCGTCTGCAATCTGTCACAAAAATCTGTGACAAGTTCAAGTTCATGGTGCTGCAACCAGCCAAAAATTGATGTGTGCCCGCCCGGCAATGTTATTTTTATTACAGCTGCATCATATGCTGTCGGGGCAGCCCAGCGAGCGCAGAAAGCTTCAAAAAGTTTTATTTGACACAAAATTAAACCAGAATCGTGCATAAAACAGCAAGCAAGCGGCAAGACACTTGCTTATCAAATACTATATACAAATGCTCTTGCATACGTCTGTGCGTATCCATAAAGTAAACTGTCGATAGAGAGTATACTTTTATAGAAAGAACTGTATTTATTATTTGATATTAATAAAAATCAAATTCCTGTTATACGTAAAACTCGAATTAGATTTTTATTGCACTAAAATTGCGTTTAACTTATTGAAATTGTTATATCTTTTAATACAAAACCTTGGTTCACCATATCGAACGCGCTCTGTACCGTCAGGCATATGCAGTTCCCTCTCATATATTGCTCTCGCTATTTTCTTAATGAAATTGTTGGCATTGGGCCTGAAAGCGGAAGCAGGTTGATCTCTGGTAGTTTTTGTTAGTTTATGTACAATCTCTACAGGTGCACATTTTCGAAATGCTTGCCTGACGTGATATACGACAGCTGCTAATGGCTTAAAATTTCAGGTGTCTGACCGAACATGCGCTGATTGCCAATTGATACCGCACGTAATTGCAATTAAAATTTGTTTATTCTTTATATCAAAATGGAAAGTTGATAGTGTGCATACGTAATACACACCCATATTAATGTACATAGGTATGAATATATATATATATATATCAAGATGGTTAGTTTGACTTTTAAAGGCTTTAATAGCATTGCTAATTGTACGTTTGGATAGAACCGATTGCAATTTGGCTCCAATTTATATGCGATGGGGACAATCTTCTGCTGACGTCATTGTGATCAGCCATTAGGCGCTTTTAACGCTTTTGGCAATACCGCAAACCTTGCCATAATGCTCAGGCTGTTCCAAGGAATCTACAATGAATTTAGCCAAGTCGTCTTTGGAAACCAGGCGACCAGGTGCTTCGTCATGCACTACGGTGTAGCCACTGGCCGGCTCATCGGCGATATGCGGCGGCAGTATAGCAATATAGTCCAATCCAGAGGCCTTTGTTAAGTCCAACATGCGTTGGTGTTCCTCATTTAGTTTGTGAAATACAGCTGGCACCTCGTTAAGGGAACGCAATAGGAACGACGACATGACAATAGAAAGTTTGGTAAGCTTTGCCTCCTTCATGGCCTTGATTACGTTCTCAGTACCGCGTGACAGCTCCGTTGTGGCCTCCAGCTTATTGCGTGTGCCCAGTATAACGCAGACGCCATCCACAGCTCCGTCGCCCTCAATCAGTCGTTTAACGTCCTCAAGATTGGTCGCATCGCCTTGAACCAATTGAACCTTGCTTTTGAAACGCTCCGGAACGGTGGGTTCTGTGCGGTAAAGTAAACGCACCTTTAGACCTAAAAAAGTAATCAGTTAATGCATTCGAAGGAAATCGCGGAGTTAATTGTACGCTACCCTTCTCCAAGGCGTAATCCACCACACATTGACCGGTCATGCCGGTGCCACCAATAACAGCAATTCGTTGCATAATTTTCTTATTTTATTTCTATTTCGTACTGAAATGAAAACTAGATGTATTACAACTGAACTAAGGTCAGCTTTTGAATAGAAAATTGCAATATCACTAAAGCAGTTCCAGACTTATCGAGCACCAATCAGAATCAAAAATGATTGTTGTTTTTGCACTGCCGCCGACTGCGCTCACCTGAATCGTCCAGCTGATTGTGTGTTACACACGCAAGAGTAGTTGTGTGCAGTGTTCATAAGCGCCAACAGCTTTAAAAACTACAAATACTAATAAAGCAGATACGTTATCAACTCCTCTCTATACATACATATATTTACAAATTTCACATTAAATGTAAATTGTCATGAAGACATGTCAAAATCGAATAGGGTTACCTATGTATTGATATTGCTATGTAGCATTGAATCAGTGCAAAATAAAAGAAATATTAGTAATGCGTAGTAGGTAGATTATGAAATTACATAGATTATTAAAATTATTTTTGAATAACGATTGCAGGGTGGCCATGTTATTTATAAACAAATTGATCTAGAAAGGTGGTCAGCCTGGCCATTGAGTCAAGCGTTGCCCAATTTAGTCATAAATTTAAAAATTGCGCGCGGTTTCTTTACGCATGCGATTCTTCCGAATTGGCCTCGGAATAAGGATTATCAGCGGGATTTTTGACGCGTCTCAGTGTGATGCCCAGTTTTAGTTCGCTCAAGAAATCTGTTGTGGGTGGCTTCTTTTCAGCACGTGGTTTAATGCCGCTTATTGTCGCAGCTTTCTTATCGATTTTCTGCAAGAATATGTAACTATGAAGAGAAGAAGTCGGTTCGATTATATCCTCACCTTCAATTGCACGCCTTTGCGTATACTTTCCAAGAAAGCGTCGCGATCATCAACCGCGCCTGCGGCCACCTTTGGTTGTTCAGACTTTTTAATTGCCAAAGGCAGTGTGCCTCCACTCATTGGTGGCGGTGGTGGTGGCATTGGTGCACCCGTAGCTAAAGCAGGTGGAGGAGGCGGTGGCGGCGGTGCTCCCGACGCACCTGCCAAAACTGGTGCTGCTGGCGGTGCTGGCGGTGGAGGCGGAATGCTCGCATTGTTACTTACAGGTGTTGTAGTCTTTGGTTTCGGTGGCACCTGTACAGGCACAACGCGCGGCTGCACAGGTGCAGGCTTAACTGGCGGTGGGGGTGGCTGTTTTACCGGTGCATATTGCACAGTGGTTCTGTTCTCACTGGGCACAATCGTTGGCTTAGGCGGTGCCGGGGGAGCCACGCGCATTGTGCCCACCTTCCGCTGTGTTTGGGGCGCAATTGTGGCATAAGTTTCGTTCTGGGGTTTAGTTCGTGTGGTAGGCACTTCTATAGCCGCTGGATACATGTGCGTATTGGCTGCCGTAACAGCAGAGGGCGGAGGTGGTATTTTCGGTCTGCTTGGCTGCGCCAGATGCAACTGAACGGGGACAATTGTGCCAAGCTCCTGCTGCCTGTTGGGACGCTCAACGGGCGCCATTTCCATATCAGATATGTCCACAAAGCGGGAGGTGAGCGATGCATAATTGGAAAATGCAGTTGACGGAGCAGCTGCCGGCGCTGGCGGTGGCGAAGGCGGCGGTGTTATTTCATTGTTGGTGGAGATGGTGGCATAGACGAGCTTTGGCGCTGTCGTCCTCGGCTTTTGCAGGTCCTGCTTCGTCGGCTGTCGAGAGAATTGAAGTACAGTAAAATGGCAGTTATTGTTTACGTAGTTCCAGTTGGATTCACTTCATACCATCCAGGTGAAATTTGAGTGCACAATCTTTTTAATCAGGTCCTGTCGCCGTATGCCGGCCACATCCTCCTCGGCTATGCCGCGCTCCATCATGTACTTCTTCAGTACATTATCATTGGCGCCAGCATTTAAATCGAACGCATTTCGCGTGCGATCGCGCGTCACATCTCCGGAGACATGCTGGAAGTTGACGGGCCCACTTATCTCGTACTTGGAGCCCTTGTTGCTGACGACGACGTTGGTGGCAAAGCTGGGTCCTGGCACGGAACCGGGTGCCCCAGTAAAGCTACCCAAGCTATTCGACGAGGAGGATTGGCTCATGCTGCGGCTGGCAACGTCACCGAAGTAGCGCCGTTCGCTGCCAGGCGAGGCTCTCACTGTGGGCGGGGGCAGCACTGCGGGCGGGGGCTGGGCGAAGACGTCGCTGCTCACCTGCATGCACGGCGGCTATAAGAGAGCAAGAGGAGAATTAAGTTGCGACTGACCGACCAACATGATGATGATGATAATGATGATGATGATGATGATGATTGTATGAATGCCATTACCACCCAGTAACCGGGGCCTTTATTGCTTCTAATTATGTCATACACATAGGCGCGTCGCTGCATCGCCGGCATCTGGTCAACATCGTCGGCCAGGTGGGCCTTGCGCAAATACAACTGCAGCATCTCATCCGTGCCGATGCCCCGCACATCGAACGTCTTCCGAAAATCGATGGCCCTGCCCTCCAGCTGCCTAAACTCCACCGGCTCCGAGATATACGCATACGTCACACTATCCATATCCACGTTGTGATCCCGCCCTGCGGACAGCCTGAAATGCGATACGTGTGCGGGGCACTGCATTAATGGAGCTGCTTTTAGAGGGCGACTACTGCCAGAACATGGGGCTTTGCCGTACGTATCCGTATCCACGCTGGCGCATTATCTTCCAGCAATTTGCCGATAAGAAGCGTTTTTTTTTTTTGTGTTTTATCAATTTACGGATTTCTATTGTTGTTTTGCTGATGATGAATCATAGCGCCAAAGACAAAGACACGCATAGCCCAGAGCCAATTACATGGACGACATCCACATCTACAACATCTACATCTATGTTTACAACACTCTGTGCAATTACCGTAATTTCCAAGGCGTGGGGTACTTGATGCACCTGGCCAATTGTCGTACTGGATTGTACTGGGAACTGGATGCAGCGGGTGTTTGGCGTGCCGTCCGGCCCAAACCAAGGTATCGCACTGATTAACCGAGGTGGTATGTCACCGCGTTTACTCATTTCGCCAAGCTTGTTATCTAGAAACGCAGACACTGATAACTCGACTCCAGTAATCACCGTCACCTGGGGCTTCGACAGCTTGAGCCTGCAAGAAAATATAAACAATAGGCATAAACTATACATACATATATGCCTGTATGTGTGTGACCAAATATTTGGCCAAGTATTTAGTTTGATACAGTTTTAAATATATACATAAAGTAATATATATACATATGCATAACTTTTATTTCAGCTATAAAATGACTAACTGGACATAACTGACGGTTTTTTGATGTTCTTTAAGCATTGGATATTGCGGATTTTCCCACACATCAACAACTTTGTATACCCTATATTAATTGAAAAAGGGTATAATGATTTTGTGAAAATTTCGGTATGTATATACCGATATATATATATATATATATTCTTAACCAGGACGGTACGCTATGTTGAACTTATGTTTCCGCAAGCACGACTTGATCTTATTTATTATCCATAGTTCTTCCCATTCCCAAAATATTGATAAACATCGATATTGAAACTTTGGTTTTTTTAAGCATCATTCAAAGATTGGAAGAGCTTGATTCACCAAAATGAAATATATATATATACATAGCTGCATAAGCATTCTGGAATGGCGTGCTGCTAAAAACCAAAATGTTATACAGGTAATTTTGTAGTCGAGCATTTTTTGTAGAAAATAATATCTAACATAAATGTTTAATGATTTCTCGCGGAATCACAGCCTTCTGTAGGAGCATGGTTATAAACAATAAATATTATTAATGATAATAATAAAAACTTACCCTAATTCGTATGCAAATAATAAGAACAATGAAAATACTAACTAAAGTTGTTAAGTAATAAAAATATAATTTCTTTGTTTGGTTGAGTTTCTTCGACATATTTATTAATAGCTTTCAGGTGATGACAGGAGTATCCGGAAGATAACATGGTTTGGTATGGAATTTACTTACAAAAAATAATACACTGATTCATCCAAAATCCCCAATGACTATGTCATGGCTAGTAAAAAGATTTTTATGTAAGCTTGGCGAGCCTTGCTTTTTCTCGAATTCTTTTGATGAGACGCGAATTCTTTTGATGTGACCCGAATTCTATTATTGAATGTTTTACTAGAAGGCGCGCTCTTGACAAGTTTTCAAATTCTAAACGTTGTGTGCAGCCCGAAATGTCATTTATTCTGACATCTAACCAAGTGTAAAGCAACCTTTTTTCCTGATCCATTGACATATTTGTCAACAAGGAGCAGAGCATTTGCCTGGAAAGTCATTCGTAATCGAGCTTTGAGGCAGGCTGCATTGCAATAGAATACGAAAAAAATCTATAAATAAAATAAAAATGGATCAGAATATGGAGTTGTTCGTGAACGGGGAGTTCCTGATGGCCGAGTTCGAGTTCGATGACAATTTGGTGGTGAACAGCGATGAATTGCAGCCGGGAGCCACTGTGCTGGTGTCCAATGAGACCGATGGCATTGTTAGCCACGAGGATTTGGCCAAGTTCTTTGAGATGCAGGCCGGCGTACAGATACCCACCGAGGAGGCTGTAGAGCGCACACTGGCCGATCCGGCCCTGAAGCAAATCCTGCAAGAGGCTGATGGCAAGGTCGATTTTGATCCGGAGGCCGAGCAAGAGAAGTTGCGTGAATTTCTGTCGGGAGTGAATAACAAGAAAATGGTCGCAGACAATGACGTGCCCTCCGAGGTGGCTCAAAAGCGGCTTCCAGCGCCGTCCCAGCCGCGTCCTGTGATGCCGCAATCGAACGCCTTTCGCTTCATCAAGTGCTCCAATTGCAACGGCCTATTCGACACGCCCTCATTTCAGGATCACAGCTGTGAATACGAGACGGAGCAGAAACCCATGTCCAGCAATCGGGTGCTGCCAAGTCAGGAGAAGAAGGCGTCTTCGCCAACCAAGAAAACGCCCAGTGAACGCATCATCGTGGAGAACCAGGTGCGCATACGTCGCTATATGAAGGACGAGCTTAAGTATGATCTGGAAACGGGTTTCGATAATTCCAAGACCAGGAAGACCTCCACCAAGGGACCCAACGAGTGCACCATCTGTGAGCGAAAGTTCGTGCACACCTCCGGACTGGTGCGTCACATGGAGAAGCATGCGCTCGACCTGATCCCCACCCAGGCAAACGTGCAGCAACACCATGCGGCTCCGTCGGCTATGGGGCTCCTGGTGGTGCTGAAGTGCAATCATTGTGGCCGCATCTTCTACGATGTCAAGCTGGCGCTGGAGCATATATTTGTGCATCAATCGACAACGGAGCCAGCCGAGCCAGAGGCTATCAATACGGACGAGGTGGTTTTGAAGCAGCAGCTGGAACAGCTTCTGCTGGAGGGCGAGCAGCTGTTGACACTTACCGCCGAGCTGGAGAGGATGAACGAGGACGAATATTTCACCACCCTGGTGCTGGGCAATGTGCTGCAATGCGAATTTTGTGATTTCATCTTTGCCGATGTCTCCTTTCTGCTATTTCACTCGGCTACGCATGTGCCGGAGCGGCGCTTCGAGTGCACCGCCTGCGATCTGCGCATGACCACCGCCAAGGAGGCCAGCGTGCACTACCAGACCGACTGTGTCTATATGCGCGAAGGACTCAAGCAGTTGCAGGCGCAACCCAATCGCTATTTTGTGTGCAACGTGTGCGAGCTGAAATTCGCCAATGTGGAGCTGCTCCAGGAGCATCGGTAAGTGCTTGGAAGCTGCCCGGCATATATATAACATATGTGGGTAACCGCCTCTCGTCCTGAAGCTACAGTTGCTATCACTACTTTCCGCGGCTCAGCGAGAGCGGCAAGCGTCTGGTGTTGCCCTGCGAGTTCTGCGCCACGAACTTTGAGTACGCGCACGAGATCCAGCCGCACTACGAGGAGAAGCATCTTAACAAAAAGAAACGGGAGAAGGAGCTGCGGAACAGCGGCAATGCGGCCACCATGGGCCGACTGCGGCAGTATCTGTGCGACATTTGTGGCAAGTCCTACACGCAGTCCAGTCATTTGTGGCAACACCTACGCTTCCACCAGGGTGAGTAGAGACGCAGTCGCAAGCGGTTGGCCATAAGCCCAGGTACTCATTGTGGCTCACAGGTGTGAAACCATTCGTTTGCCAGGAGGAGAACTGCGGCCGCAAATTCACCATACGCCCAGACCTCAATGATCATATACGCAAGTGCCACACGGGCGAACGGCCGTATCATTGTCTGGTCTGTGGCAAGCGCTTTCTCACCGGCTCGGTTTTTTATCAGCACCGGCTCATACATCGTGGCGAGCGGCGTTACGAGTGCGATGAATGCGGTAAGCGTTTTTATCGTGCCGATGCCTTGAAGAACCATCAGCGTATCCACACGGGCGAGAAGCCCTACGATTGTCCCTTCTGCACCAAGACGTTCCGGCAGCGTGGCGATCGGGATAAGCACGTGCGGGCGCGTCACTCGCACTTGGATGCAAATGCACGGCTGATGATGCAAATGCAGAAATTTGAACTGGAAACGGCAGCTGCGTTGAAGGCTAAGCAAATGCAGGATGGCGGAGTTGAATTTTTGGTTGAATCGGCCTCGGCTCCGTCTGTTCACTCACCCGCATCTCCCATGGCGCATGATCAACAATTTGATATGGTTGAGTTGGATCCCAGTGATTTTGGCGAGGGATCCGAGTTCGTACAAAATATGCCAATGCCTGTTAACAATGAGGAGCATGAGATAATGTCCTATGTGGACCTAGAGGGAGCAGAAGCAATCGAGCAGCAAACATTCCAATTGGAGAACAATGAAAACGTCAAGGTTGTTGTGGTTGAAAATAATACTTCACAGCCGTTTTATTTCTAATATACGTGTCTATTTATAAACACATAAATAAATATATGTATTTTAACTATATTAGCAGATCAATTTTAAATTATATCTGAAGACATTTAAACTGACATTTGCGCGGCAACATCTCTACATCTGGCAGCATTTCATATTCTAGTGTTGTAAAGCGGGGTTAACCGCCGCAATAGCTGGCAACGTTTTCAATTGACAGTCCAAGTGTCAAGTAGCCATTTTTTGCCTTTTTCTTTCTTTTCGATTTTTCCATCGTATACGCCAACATGGGTTTCGCTACTTTATGGTACTCGCATCCTCGTAAATACGGTCAAGGCTCCCGTTGCTGGTAAGTTTTATGTAGTCCGTAAAGTTTCGCATCGAAAGCTGTATAATTAGCATGTATGCCTGTTGTTTTAAACCGTATTTTGTTGCATAGTTGATTGCTTTGAGTTATTGAGGTTAAGCACGCCTTAGTTTCGCATGGTGCTTACCGCCCGTACCTTTGTATGATTTTTGATGTATGCAAATTCCCTGCTTAAAAGTAATTTTGCCCCCGGTTGAGTACGGAAATATGTGACAATACATCTTTAACAATTTCCTTAATGAAGGGCGGCCAAAGCAAATGTTGCAGCTGGCCTCTGCCATTTGACAATTAAATGGCACCGCCTGCTGCAGCGACAGCTGTGCAACTAAATGCATTCGTAAAACAGTTGACGATGTGAATTCTTCACCAGTGCAAACAATTAATGTGCAATCTATTCTTAAAACTTTAGCCGTGCCTGCTCAAACCGTCACGGTTTGATCCGCAAATATGGACTGAACATTTGCCGTCAGTGCTTCAGGGAATACGCCAATGATATTGGCTTCAAGAAGGTAAGCTAAAATTCAACACATTTGCACTGTGCGTTTGATCTTATTGTCAATCTATTCATTTTACAGCTGGATTAAATGTCCGCTTCAACTTCGGCGTTTCGCACGCCAATTAAGCATATTAATTTAGGCAGTCGCTGCAAAGAGACTACGTTTATTAATATGCTGGAACAACAACAACAAAGCAACAACAACATAATCATTTGGAGATTTAAATAACACAAGAGGCAAACACTTCTGAAACCAACATACAAGTCAGGAACATGCTAGGAGTGTGCCACATTTTATTCTATAAAAATAGTAAGATAATGCAACCAGAGCAATATCTCGAATGAGCATTCACCAATGCAACCGAGTTGACGAACTCCGTGTTACCAACGCCGCACAACCGTGTTCTCTTATACACTAGCGTAAATTCCTATTGCAGTTGTTACCTTCTAGGAAGGTTATTTGTTTAAATCTCCCTCTGATTAAATACATAACAAGTAATGTAAACAGATTGTCTTCATTCCATCCTTATTGAATGTCCATGTCACTGGAAATGCCGGAAGCATCTTAACAAGTGCAATATCGCTCCCATTTACTTCCTCATTTCTATAATATTGGGTTAGTGGTGTCCAGTAGGTTGCACTCGAGCTGCGCTTGTGCGGAGAAACACCAGCAGCTGGGAAAAAAGCACTGCAAACCAGTTTATTTAGTGGCCCACTAGGTAAAAGAGCGAGTTGACGCTCTCTTAGCTAGCTGCCTACGCAGCTCAGGTCTCAGCTGACGCAGCTGCCGCTTTGGTCTGCTGTCTTTTTGCCAAAACTCACAATTTTGCACATTCGCCAGTTGAGTTTGGTTCGGCCGTTTGAACTCGCAACAACGCGTCGCGTGTGCAGATTGAACACAAAAATAAAGTTGTTTGGGTGTGAAAAATGTAAAATTAATTCCATATATACGCGACGTTTAACATTTGAGAGAGCAAAATAAAAGAAATAAGTAGTCAACAGAAATCAATTTTCATAGATGTGCTTTGAGCTTGTTGACCTGGTTACGGTTATTTTTTTTTTGTTTAATTAAATGAGCAATGGAATTGCCAGTATTTTTGTTGCTCTTGCCACTTCTAGGCAGCCTTTGCGTTGTAGCCACGATAAATGATGCAACAGCCGCAGCAGCAGCAGCAGCGAGGCATCGCAAAAATGCAACAGAGACGAGAGTAGCTCCAGCCGAGGTCTTTATCCACAACAGTAGCCGTGCCATCGGTTCCCGCGGCCATAGATCGCGCGCTGTTGCACAATACAAACTACCACTTGATGGTGCACCAGTGCCGCTGGACAGCAGAGATGCCAGCGCCAGAGTGCAGCCCATGCGCAGGCGTAACCAGGTGGTGCTGCGCCGCAGGCCAGCGACAACAACAACGCCGAGCACAACGACGACAACAACAACGTCAACCACGACGACGACGACAACAACAAGTGAGTTGAGCTAAGAGCGGACCTGCATTCAATTGACTTTAGCACAAGTCCACATATGACCGCTGCAAAGGCGAGCAAGACTTGTCGCTGGCACTGACCTAGCTTTCAGTTTTAAGATTGATTAAGGCAGCTAGCAGCAGCCAAATGAGAAGCTGTCTGATATGGTCGATAATTATGCGGCCGATAACTGGAGCAACTGGAGCTGCAGCAAAGCTTTCAAATTTGTATTATTTGTTTTCTTTTTTTGAGTAGTCGCGCGTGACCTTGATGAGCGTGGCGAGACACTTTACACAGGCGCTTGCAGTTGCAACGATAATGTACTCGTTCAAGGCTTATGCATTTTGGCATGGCTGCTAAATGAATCGCTCTTATCAAGGATACGGCTTACCATCACCCATTTGGCAATAAATTTAACTTTGCCTTGAACTTGGCGCACAATTAGCGCGATTTATGATACGCGAATGTGTGTCAATGAAGCTTAGAGGCAACATTTATGGAGCTAATCGAGGCAATTGGGTCAATCGATTTTCTTGGCCCATTGTCTGAGTCTGATTCAAAACTGTCGCAATTTCACGGAGTGATTCTCACGCTCGGCGGGAGACTCGTTAAAGCTTAATTTTGGAGTTGTCTCAGTGAGAAACTAGTGCAAATATACCCATTGTTTCTTAGCCGAGAGATATTATAATTCAAAACTAATGAGCCAAACGAATTATATTAATATGATAAATATGCACATTTGAAAGCTATTCGCTTTTTTGTGTACATTGATCTCCTTAATCTATTAACAATTTAGGCAGAAATTTAAATCTAGTAAAAACTTAAAGTACATACATACATATTCTCTGCTGCTCATCAGTGTCATTTTAAAAAAATGTTTACAATTGTAACTTAAAAAATTACAATTTATGGCAACTAAAAATGTTGTTAAAGTTTAAGAGCTCACGTAATTGCTTCTAATTACTTCAAATTTTCAGGAAATATGCACACAAAGATATATTCTTATAACTTTACAATAATGTTCAGATTCTCCAGCAACAGTCAAATGCATATGATAATCATGATGGCCTTTGCAGTGCAAAAGTAGGCCAATACAGTGAATGGGCATTTGTAATTGGTAACAGGTAACAGGGTAGAGAGAGGGGGGGAGGGGAGGGGGACTGCTTTTCGCTCCAGCGCCAGCGGCAACAGGCGCACAAAGATTCACTTTTGAGCGCGGCATAAAAAGCACTTGTTTTATGATTGTGCTAACTGGGTGGCGGGAACTGCGCTTTGGTTGTCTTGCAATACGAGCTATTTGGAGCAGAACTAGTAATGGCCATTGTTGACTAATCCGTCTATCGCACGCATAGCTCCGCGTCCGAGTTTGGCCAACGGCTTCAATTTTTTCAATCCGAGCTTTTGGAGCTTTGGCCAGCAGAGCCTGGTGCCAGTGAGTGCGCCCACAAAACATCCTCATCCGCCCAAGAAGTTCACACACTCAACGGCAACCGGCACCAAGGAGGAGAAGCTCAACTATCGCAAGCAACAAAAGACAACACCGAATCCAAGGCACAAGACGAGTACCTCAACGACAACATCTACTACCACGGAGGGTCCATTCCGCATAGCACTGCCAACGCTTACATTTCCCAGCGCTGCGGGCGGCGCCATCGACAAGGAGAAGGATAAACGCGCTGCAGCCGATCTGCGCCAGCGTTTCAATTGTCCGCGCGAGAACGAGGTGCGTTTTCAGCTATTTCCAAAGATCTGCAAGTCCGATAAGGACTGCTTGGTCTGGCAGCGGGACGAGATCTGCTGCGACATATTTGGCGCAAGCAGCTGCGTAGCGGGAGTTGCCAAGCCGCTGGAGGAAACGGCGCACGCACGTTAGTCTATTGCACACAGAAGATGCAATTTCTGGTGCTATTAATTCATTTCCTTCTGCAGCCATATTGGGCTTGATACCGCGCAAGTGTCCGGCGCGTCCGCTGGCCGAACTCTGGTGGGATGTGCAGGAATGCCGCACAGACATGGACTGCTGGCCGCGTGTCTGCTGCCCGGACGGACGCCGGCGCTATTGCCGCACCTCCCAGCCGGAGCTGCAAACGGTTCCGGTGCCGGTCAAGCGCTCCTTCGACTACCGTACGTGAATCCCTTTACTGTTAATCCATCTGATTGCGGCCACCCCTGCTCTTGCCTCTATCCACAGTGACGGAGTACTTGGAGTGTACAGCACCGCCGCCGACCATTTTTGATCTGCATCCAAAAGCCTGCACCTCCACGCTGGACTGCTTTCCAAATGTGTGCTGCCAGGAGGCGGGCCTGCGACACTGTCGTCCGCCCAAGAAGTCTGTGCTCACACTGATGGCCAACTTTCTGAACGTGGACTTTGTGAAGCGTTTGACCCAGAACATTGTTATCAAGTAGTTACAATTCAGCTAACATACACAGGCACATTCATCTGCACACATGTACATACATACATGCATACATAAATGTATTTATATACACAAATCGTTTATACGAGCACATTCTGTTTTTCAATTGCGTGAAGTTGATACTTTGCTTATTTTATTTATTTTTTAGTTTGACTTGTTATTTTTAACAAACAGTTAATACGTGCTCAATAATATTTATGCAGCAAGCGCTTTCATTGCTAATAAAAATGTGTTTCCCAACACTTAAATAAACGTTTGTGATTCACGTATAAACGAGCCTGTTCATGCCAACATTTACAGTTATGCGACTGAGTACTTTTATTTACTCAATTTCGAAATTGTTGTTGTTATTCCTTAACTGATAACTGTTATGTGTACATACGTAGATACAGTGGAACCAGCAATGAGACCTTCTTAAACTGTACTTTTAGTCTTAGATAATAAAAGTGATTTATCAACGCTTCCACTTTGAGTTTTTTTTATTTTTTATAGCCAAACTGCGTCTCAGCAATTGACAGCGAGTAGCTGAGCCAATGTCGATGTCGAAAGTTTTGTACGAAAAAGGTTAAAAGGTGTCTGGTTACCTCTTGGCCTATGGCATATACGTACAATTTTATTATACTGGAAATAGAATTAGCGAAGGCCCCGTTCTTACCTTGGCTCATTGTACATACTCAAATTTACACGCATATTTTATGAACATACAACTTACACACAAACAAATGTTTGTTTTATGTATGTCAAGCGGTGTCTCGTTTACAGATTTTTTCATTGCATTTGCATTCAGCGCTTAATTGGGTCCATGAATACGTTGTGAACATGGAAAGTTTGTGTAGAGCAGAAAACAGAAAACAGAGTTCAAGTGAGGTTAAGTCTGCCGAGGTACAGCTGCGTTTATGGATAAAGCATTCGGATACGGATTATGGATAAAGCATACGTAGCACTTTATCTGTCTCATACATACTTCTCTTTTGAAAGGAAACATTATTTATTATTATTTAAACAAAACTAAAAAAATAACACATATATGATAGCGAAAAGGGAAACCAGCTGGTAAAGCTGGAAAATATCGTCGAATCCAGGATGCATTAATAATCTAAACGAAACCTAAAATAAAAGTAAAAAATTCTTTATTTTAGCTTAGAATACTTATTTGTTGTTGTTTTTTTTTTTTTTTTGTTTTATCAAACTCGTAGTGTTTTGACAGAAACATTTTTTACCTGCAATACTAAAAAGTATACTATAAACATATGTATGTACCGTATTTATACTTAATACCCAGCCAGTGCAACGACAGCTTTTCCGACGCCCAAGTGAGACCTGGTTTCAAATTTCCCACAAACTGAGAAAGAAATGGAAAGACTGCCCAGTAAATAGCATAGTCGCCCCACATAGAAAACAATTGAATGATTACATAAGTTGACATTTAGTGGAAATGACGCAGCGGAACTTTCATTTCAATTTCGTTTATTGCACATTATTCAATTCATTGCGAGAAGCGCACATAGGCACACATGAACTTTTCTCTTATGCATGTGTAAGTGTGTGTATATAGTTATTTTTGCAAGTGCAAAAAATAAAAAAAGATTCTAATTTTAATTTAGTTTAAACTATGAACTGCTGGCGCATTCACTTGGAGGAGCAGCCGCACTTGCTTTTGTTCTCGCCGCCGCACTTGCAATCGGTGCCGCAGTTGCAGGAACCCTTGTTGGTCTGGGAGGCGCATTTGCAGCCTGAAAATAAGAAACTTATTATTAATAATCAGCCGTAGGCAATTGGCTTTTGTTAGCCATATTTTAGGTCCTTTGGCTGACTTACCACTTCCGCATGGGCAAGGCATCTTGTATTGTTAATGAAGGGTTAAACTTGTACAGTAGAAAAGAATACTTTTGGTTTTCACCTAAGTGATGAATCACTTTTACTTTGCTGCAGAATACAACTGATGCACAAACCACGGATGTTGCCCGATTTTATACACTTTCGAAACGAGGCTTTCCACACGGCTGCCGGGCGCTTTAATTCCAGTTTTGCACACGCCAACCGGCCGGCTAAACATGTTCGAGTCGTGTGCAAAACACACTTTCCGTTTGAAAGCTTTCTCAACTGTTTGGGTTCGTGTCTTGACTTAGAGTCTCGGCTACGCTAAGTGGGCATCGAACGCACGGCGCATGCGTTTGTGTGGTGGATAAACACGGGCGGCACTGGGCCCCTTATCGTCGTACAGCGTTCACAATGTGGGTCTCCGCTGTCTGTCTGTCTGTCCATTCATCATCGGCTTCGGCTGTGACTGTGCCTGTGCCCTGTGCCTTTGCCTGCGAGTGGGAATGTCAATGCGCGTACGCGCGGAGAGTCAGTGTTTTTCCGATTCCTGAGTGCGGCTGCAGCAGGCAAAGTCGTGCGACATTTTAGCAACGAATTCAAGTGCAACGAAATGCAAGAACTAAATGTAAATAATAAGCGTTTTATTATCGTAATGTTCATTTTTAATGTTATCCTTGCTGACACGCAACCTAAGAAACACTCTTTTTTTTTGTATTTTAAAATTTGTTAGACTGGTGCGTGTGTGTGTGTGTCCGTGTATTATAGGTGAAAATGCAACACACAAAATCAATAAATCCAAGCCAAAATAAAATAAGGAAAAATCAACGACGCGTGTGCATGTGTGTGCGTGTTTGTGTGGGCGGCTGCGTGTGTGTGTGTGCGCGCGTATGGGCGTGGGAAAGAAAACAAAAGAGCAAAACAGCGAATGCGTAGCAAATTAAGGTGGTAACACTGGAGCACAGGATACAGTGTGCGGAAGTGAACAATTTAAAGTTTGTGGTCGGTCACCAAAGCAAATGACACAAATACATATACAGACACAAACTGACAGATATGTGTGGGTCGGAGTGTGTGTGTGTGTGTGTGTGCGTGCGTGTGTCAATGTATTCAGAGGAAAAGGCTGCAAGCGATTATTTGCTCACCCACGCATTAGACTGTTGTTGTTATTGCTGTTGTTGTAATCGCCTGCACTTCAAAGCTTCTATTTATACACAATGTGTGTGTGGGCGTGGGCGTATGTGGCGGCTGCCAAGCTGCCCATAACGCGACCGACCTGATACCTGAGCCCAATCACAATCACAATATCATCAATTCCCTTCGTGCCCAGGCCGCCCACGCAGTAATAATAGTATGTAATCATAATTATAATGATGACGATGATGATGATGATGATGATGATGATGATGATATTGCCAATGACGTTGGCACTGGCCACCAAAAGGCCAACGGCGCACAGATCTGTGCTTACGTTAATTTTCATAATAATATACACAACAAAAAAATCAATAGCGTTCCTTAACTTAAACCAGAATGGCACATGCCCAAAATTAGCCAGGCATCCATTCTAGACGCAATCCGACCGTGCTGCTAAAAGGTTGTGCGTGTGTGGGCGTAATATGACCAATTGATTTGCTCCTAAATCGTTTCAGATAAACCAAAGTATGGCGCTCAAGTAAAACACATACATACTGAGTTGACGACAACCTAACAAACGGAAAGCCGCCAATTTTGACAACTTGACCTACCCAGATTGGCCCCCAACCTAATCGAGATGACGGAGCAAAAGAATCAAGTGACCCGCGCAGCGCCGGAGCAGAGCAACGACTATCGTGTTGTGGTCTTTGGCGCTGGCGGCGTTGGCAAGAGTTCACTGGTGTTGCGTTTCATAAAGGGCACGTTTCGCGAGAGTTATATACCCACCATCGAGGACACCTACAGGCAGGTGGGTGTCTATTTGGCCACCATGTTAATACTTAATATATTGTCATATTCATTTGCTCGTCGCTGCAGGTGATCAGCTGCAATAAGAACATTTGCACATTGCAAATCACGGATACGACAGGATCACATCAGTTTCCGGCTATGCAGCGATTGTCCATCTCCAAGGGCCACGCATTCATTTTGGTCTATTCCGTGTGCTCGAAACAGAGCCTAGAGGAACTGCGACCCATTTGGACGCTAATCAAGGAGCTAAAGGTGGGCAACATCAATTGGATTTAATAGATGGAAGATTAATAGGATTATTATTTTTAGGGTGATGTGAACTCCATACCCGTCATGCTGGTGGGGAATAAATGTGACGAAAGCACCGAGCTGCGCGAGGTCTCGCAAATTGAGGGACAGGCACAGGCGACCACCTGGAGCATATCCTTTATGGAGACATCGGCCAAAACCAATCACAACGTGACCGAACTGTTTCAGGAGCTGCTCAACATGGAAAAAACACGCACCGTCTCCTTGCAGCTAGACACGAAAAAGCAAAAGAAGCAAAAGAAGGAAAAGAAATGCAAGGAGACAAACGGCGCCATACCGGAGAACGGCGAGGCCAGTGCCAGTGGAGCCGGTGTGAAGGAGAAGTGCGGCGTTATGTAACGAGTTGGCAAGCAACATTGGTGACAGACAAATACTCGCATGGGGACACTGGCAGTACTCGAAATGCATCCCACACACACACACACACACACACACACTGGCACACACGAACTATGAAAACATATATACATATACATATACCATATAGCACTTTGGGACAGGTGTTATCAGAGAACGGCCGGCATAACAAAACAAATATATTATTAATTTTAGATGAAAATAATAAGACGGCATTATAAGTATATTTTGCATACATAGATTTTATCCGCAACGCCTGCTCATCTACAAGAATAGAGAAGGCAACCGTCACACACATACCCACCCTTCCCAAGCCCGCACACCCACACAACACCAAAGATCACAAAATATATACATATTAACGCATTAATTTCTTTGGATTCTGAAAACTGCATCTGAAACGTAACGGCATACATATCAAATACATAACATACTAACATTACATGACATACTCGCACTTACATACTAGATGTGTACATTACACAGATATCATAATGCTATAATATAAACTATACGAATATGCACATGCATATGTGCGTATATCCCAAATGAAAAGCCAAAGTACCTACTTAAAAGACATACCATTTTATCTACTTACTACAACTAAAGCTTAATCAAATACACAGTGTGTATTTACATAAAAATCCATTTTCACTAACAGAGAAGACTCTAAATGGACAAGACAATTCTGAAGCATTTGTGGCATGGAATCGAGTGTCCTTATTAGATATGGATCTGTTTCGTTTGCTGCAATGTCTCCTATCTGACTATCAATTTATTGCTGTAAAACTATTTACCACCAAAAACGTTAAACAAATGGAATATTTGCCACTAACATCACCTATAATGTATAAATAATACTCACACAATCAGACCGAAGACCGACGACCGACACGATGATACCGAGAAATCGAAAATTGTTTCCACTTTGAAAGATTTTACACAAAACTTGTTTATGTACGTATAATGTATTTGCTTACAATTATTTGCTGAACTTAATTAACATTTAAAGAACAGTGCATAAACAAATTAGCTTTAGTCAAAGATTATGCCACACGTGAAGTTCCGATGTTTAAGGCAGTCGAATTATACTGTATCCGGATCTTCATGCCACGAAACAAGCACAGTTTTTGTCGCTCATTCGAAATTGTAGAGTTAGTGCTAATGAAAATAGAAATACATGTACATCGAAGGATATGTGCAAACTGGTATATAAGTTGCCTGTTTTAAACAAAACGAACACAATGTATGTTTAACTTAAAGTATAAACAGTTCACAAATTGTGGTATTTGCTAAATTTAAATAGTTGGGTTGGCTTATAAGTAGGCGTAGGAGTTAAAGTCTATTAGACGGTTAAATAGTTTCGCGTCGTTTTGCTGTTGTATGATATTAAAAGGGCATTAGGTTTTTAAATTTTGTATACCCTATTCAGCTAGGCGGAGAATAATTCCAATTAATTGCTGTTCAACTAATGTAATTTTTTGCCAAATTCGTGGTGAACATGAAACAAGACAAGTAATTATATTAATTATGACTTTGCTCATTTCTTATGCACACAGTAAACACACAATAAAAATGCCACTTGATCGTTGTTTGGCACCAATTTAAATAAATAGTGATCAGCTAATAAATGAGGAAAACATACACACGCATATAAAAAATATAACATAGTACATACTTATCTACTATATTGTTGAATTTGTGTAGTGAAATTATTAACCAAGATTTTGATAGCGGACCAATTTGCGTATAAGATTTCAGAAATCAATTTAGATAAATTCTCTTAGTTTGCCATAGTAAACAAATGCATAAATAGTATATTATATATAATTCTAATGCCAGCCTTAGTTAAATCTTATGTATGGTTAGCATGATCCTGCGTGCACTAGGTTTTTGCTTAGTTTCCCTAGATTTAGTTAAGTTTGTTGGGCTCTTGACAGCGAAACTGGTTATGGCTTACATGTACATGCCGTGTATTGGTGTACAATATAATACAATACATAAAATCGATAATTAGTTGCATAATAATATTAAGGAAATGTAATTTATATGTAATACAGCATCAATATGTATGTATATGTAATTCAAAAGTATAATTTAAAATACAACGAATGAATATATTTACACGGAATTATTTTTAATTTTTTTTTTATGAATATACATTACAATATAATTATTATACACACAACATATTAGTTGTATATTGAGCTAGTTTATTCATGATGAATATTTTATTACTGCTTACATTTCAAATATGCAGCTAACACAGACAGACACACTCAATGCTAATAAGATGTAAATATGAACAAAAAATTCAGCAATTGGCATAATTGGTATATGTATATATACAGGTAATATATACTGATAATATGTATACAGTTTTGGAGTGGCCGAATGCAAAATATATATACATGTAATAGACAGTTTTGGGAGGCCTATTAATGACACTTAAAAAATCTTATTGTTGGAGATTTAACTTATAATAATTATCGTGCAAAAATTAAATAATTACACGCAAAAATAATTTAAATAAAGAATAATTTAACTACGAAAAATATCAGCTGGTAACAAAATTATCTTTGACTGTAAGAACTTATGCCAATTAATTGGTAAAAAAAATATATATATAGATCATCACGAACATTACACATAATACAGCTTAAAAAATATATAGCCAAACATTAAAAACTATCAATATGATCATCATCTTGGTTATCATCAACAACCGTAAAACCAGCTTCATGCGCGATGTCAGCTGAGGAATTACTGATATTGGGATTTTCGTTTGAAATTGGCTTTAAATTTTGTTTGCTTTTAGTTTGTGCTTCTTGTGGCGTTGGTGGGGGCGCTTCCAGTGGTTCCAGCAGCTCTTGGACACCCGACGGGGATAGTTGTAGTTGTTGTTGGGATTGTGTTATGCCTGAAGCGCCTATGACATTTAACAACATCTTAAGGTTTTCACCCGACAATCGATCTTGTGTTGATTCATTTGCCAAGGCTTGCTGTTGCGTTTTTGTAGTAGATGCAGACGATCTACCATGCACGAGTCCCATCCACGCCTTGGGGCTTATGACGTACTTGAAGATTAACTTCAGTAAGTACCCAATCATGCAGACCAGTGCAAATGGAGCAATCAAGTTATATGGAAATGATAATCCAGCTGCGGCAAATATCAATCAGAATAAAAAAGCTTTACAATAGTTATTTGTTTTAATACTTACTGGTTAAACTCGTCATGGTGTGAGTTGTTTTTTCTAGTATCAGTTCAATTTGTTTGAGGAATATGTCACTCGTATACATAACGAAAACGTGATCAGGTCGACAGTAGGGCATATTTAATTTGCTTGATTTTCTGTAATGTGCATAAACTTAATGCTTATCAATGATTCCAAAAGATGAAGATAAGTGGTACTAACAAAAGTTTCTGCTTTTGTTGCGCCTCTGGCGACTCGTTGAAAAGATAGCCAAACATGCGTGAAAACCATGTTTTTTCAGCATCATCCGTGGGCTTCTGATGACTGTCAATTACGTCAATCAAAGCCTCAACTTCCAGTTTCTAAATGAAATCAATCTGAATTCAGTTAAATTCGATATACTTGTACTTTGTACGACATACCCTATTGCACTCCAAATAGGTTACAAAGTAGCCATACAGGAAAATGCCGCCAAGAATAATGGCAATGGCCGAAAATCGAAATCGTCTGTGCACAATCCACCCGGTAGTAATGGTGAGCAGCACTGTTAGCATGAATCTCACCTGGCGAAACAAGTTTTTTGTTTGTATAGTAAATACCAAATAAGTATGTGTATCTAAGCCATTAATGGCAATGCTAACCTCGGATATTTTGAGTAACTGTATAAGATCCTTGAATATGTCCATAACAAGCGCACGCACTCCCATTCCTTGGTGCCTGTAGGTATATTCGTCGTCGGCCTGATCGGACGGCAAGGGCACATCTCTTGCCTCATCCAGTATTTTGGTGAGCATGATATCAAGGTCACGCACATCTTGGACTGTTTCAAGCTCGTCGACTTGTGACGGATTTAAAGTAAATATCAGCGATCGTTTAAAAAGATGCGACGTTTTTCCATACTGAAATTTTGTCCCAAGTTATCATTACAAACACCGACAATATGACGTCATATGACCAAATTTAACAACGAAACGGTCGCGTACTTACCTTCAGTCGCTTGCGACTAAATAAAGTATTAACAAACTTTTTGAAATACGTTAATGCTAATTGATCCTCTATGGTTGCCAATGATTTCTCTGCTGGCACCGGGACCTGACATTGGCAGGATTCTTCACCTGGGTTATTAAATTGCGCTGATGTCAGTTCCGACCATGCATGTGGTTCAACCCAGTTGTCCTGGTAACAACACACATTGTGGAATAACAATAATAAACAACTAACTATTGCATTTGATTGCATTGCTTTTCTTTTTTTAATTATCAAAACTATAACAAAATTAAGCAAGAGTTAAACAAAATTAACAAGCCGAACACACATGATCACAATTGCGCGGTTGCAGCATTAGTGTTAAAAAGTGCCAACTTCCATAACTAGTACGGTGATCATATGAGCAAGCCATTTTTGCTTGCTTGCAGTTCACGACTAACAATAAATATCGATAATAAATTGTGTCGGTTTTTGTAAAAAATTTATTAAATTAATATATTTTATGGTAACACTTGAGTAATTATAAAAAAATTAATAAACATAAAGTGGATATTATATATGAATTGGCAATATTGCGTTACCGAAAATATGTTGAAGCTGCATACGCAGCCTGAGCAGGCCTTGCCAGACTGTTTAAAATGAACTATAAACATTGGAAGAATGCTGCCACATTCAGAACAAAAATGACTCACAAGCAGTGTTAAGCTAAATAGTTTAAACAATATTATAATAATTAGCGTACCGCTATAAAAGTGCGAAATGGGCTTATTTGGCAAAACCCCCAGCAAAGACCCCAAAGAGCAGGTGAAACGTCATTCCGATGTGGTCAACTTTTTGCGCGTTAACAAGGCCACTTGGCAATAAAATGATGTCATGTTCCAATTGTTTTGATTCTCGTTTTCAACATCTGTTTCCCCGCAACCGTAGGTGCAAGAATGGACGCACAAAATACGAAAAGAGGGTAATCAGCTCGATAGGCAGATACGCAGCATACAGCGAGAGGAGGAAAAGGTGAAACGCTCTCTAAAGCAGGCCGCCCAAAAGAACGACCGAGACACCTGTATCATTCTCGCCAAAGAGATAGTGAATGCGCGGAAAGCTATAAATCGTATTTACACATCTAAGGCGCATCTCAGTTCCATACAGATGCAGATGAAAAATCAATTGTGTGCGTAAAACTTGGCATTGCAATGAATACAACCATTACCTGACTTATGCTCTCCTGTTTTAGCTACTTTGCGGGTTGCTGGCTCTTTGCAGAAATCCACGGAAGTTATGCAGGCCATGCAGAGTCTTGTTCGATATCCGGAATTGGCAGGCATTATGCGTGACATGTCCAAGGAAATGATGAAGGCAGGCATTATCGAGGAGATGCTGGATGAGACCATGGACTCGCTGGAAGAGTCTGAGGAGTTGGAGGAGGAGGCAGCAAAGGAGGTTGATAAAGTACTTTGGGAAATTACGGACGGCAAACTGGGAGAGGCTCCATTACCACCAGAAGCAACGCCAGCAGACAAAACACCAGCAGCTCCATCCCGAGTTGCGGTCGAGGACGATGACGACGAGGGTGAAGAGCTTCAGGAAATGCAGAGCCGCCTGGCTTCGTTGCGCTCATAAATTAATGTGCAGTAAAAGGGCTGTATACATAAAGTAATGTTTAGATTCGAATTTGGAAAATTAAGCTTGTGATTATTTATCATAGCACCTTGCGTCCCACGAAAATCCAATATGTTACTCCGGATTCCGACAGTGAATTATATAAACCAAAATAACAGTGAAAATCTATTAACAATTTTCGTATGATTAAGGTATACAATGTATTGGTTCATCTTATGTTGAGCTGCACGTGTTTTAACGTTACTTTAACAACTTACATATTATTTATTGCATAATTTAAACTTGTATTAAAAGTAATAGAAGACACCTAAGTTTATGATTGGATTCTAAGCAGGTCTAAGTATACCATACCTTATATGATATGTGGCATATATCTTTATGGTCCCTAGAGCAGTCTCGTAATATTCGATATTGTTAAGCATAACCTTAGGCTGAACTGTTAAATAAATTTCCCCAAAAAAGAAACAAGTCTTACACACTGTAAATATGATATGACGCTCCTCTTTCAGGAACTAGAATTTTGCTTCTGAATTGCAAATAACTTATTAGAATCATTGCTTATTCAAAGATAATTATTTTTCGGCATAGTCTTAGCCTTGACTTGCGCTTGTCTTTAATAACAACTAAATTTAAGCTATTGGAATATTTTCATTGCTCCAGCGTAGACTGTATCCAGTCCACATAAGCCCCAACTCGACTGTATACGCCTGGCCAGCCGTTCAAGCCACATGGCGTGGGTCCAAACGAAACAACGCCTGCCAGAAAATAGTAAGTGTTCACCTTGTTTGTGTCCAGGCCAATGAGCGGGCCGCCAGAGTCGCCGCGACACGAATCTACGCCCTCCATGCCGCCGGCGCACATTTGCGTATTCTCGAGCACAATGCTCTGGCGACTATAGACGGACTGGCATTCTTCCAGGGTGAAGCCATCCACAGCGGCCTTTAGCTTCAAATTGCTAGCCGATAACTCTTCCGTTTTACCCCAGCCGGCCACATCCATTGAAATACCATCGAATGTAGCCGAACGTAGATTCGTATCCAATGGCAAGCAAATGGGACGCACAAAGTCAGTGTACTCGATTTGCCGTGCCATGCGCAGCAGGGCTATATCGTTCACTTGATTCTTGGAGCCTGGATCGTACGAGGGATGTGGTATAGCCCGTTCCACCGGCACATCCATATGTGGTGGCGCACAGTCCTTTATGCCGCGCACGTCGACCTCACAATCCGGATCGGTGGCTGTGTCCCACTCGCCCAGACGCACGCCGGTTAGACGCCAGTCGGCAGGCAGGGATCTGCCATTGACACAATGCGATGCTGTCACCACGTACCGTGTGCTGATCAGCGAGCCACCGCAGTGGTGACCTTTGTTGCCGCTGCCTTTAAAAGCGAAAGCATTTAACTCGAGGTCTCATATGTGTGGATCAAATACCTTTGGTGTACTCGATCAGCGCCATCCAGGGAAATTCGTCAATTTTTGTCTTAACGCCGCCATAAATGCGATTCGATAATATATTGCCGCACTGGCCCGGCAAGGGTAACAAGTTTGTGTTCGTCTTATTTGCTGGGGGTCGTGCTGTAGTTGCCGGCGTGCTGTCCCGATAACGATCCGGACAGCAAATCTGTAAGTTGTGCAATTACTCAATTAGAAAAACATTACTTTATCAACAATTTGACAACTTACCAGAACCTTCTGATTAAAATAGCCACACTGGCTGCGGCTAAGATATAGTTTGTCCGCGTCCCGCAGGGGTGTCGTTGTCAGTACTCCATATAAATACTTGCAATCCTCCAGATGGATGCAGAGGGCACGCTCCCGGTTGGGCGTAATGCAGCGTCCATAGTTGGGCACTTGGTTAGCCTCATTGGGAAAATAGAATTCTGCGTTGAAATCAAACAAAATAATCAAAATACTGTATAATCATATCGTAAGCAATGTATTAAGTATTTAAATTAATAACTTTTTTTAACTATCAGTTATAGAAACTGGTTTTTGTATAGCTAATCTGGCGAGAGATGCGAAGGCCCCCATATACACATACATACAAACACGCCTATTTATGTGCATAATTCATTATTCCTCGCGCTTCTATAACAACGATTCTATAAACTTTCCTTTTGCTTGTCTTTTACTTACGCGCATTTGCCAAATTTACACCAAAACCCAAAATTGCACAGGCTGTAATTAATTGAAGCATCTTTACTTTCGGTTAAAACGTCGTCAGTTATTGTGCAATGTATGCTTTTTGTTTTTCTCTTTGAAATATCTTTTATAAGTACACACGCCGCAATTAAGTAAATATGTTGACTACAACGGTAAAACTCCAATCAGCCGTTCATTACAGTTGGAGAGTTCAGAGCAAGGCTTGGCGCACGACTGAGACGCGGCAGGCAATGAGCGCAGCTTAACAGAGAACTTTGCGCGAGCTTTGGCTTGAGCTTTTTGTTGTTTTTTTTTTCTTGTCTGCTTTGAATATTAAGTGATAACAACAATCAGCTTAGATCTGCAGGTATTTTAATTTATTTATATTTTTAGTATTTGTTTGTTTGTTTTTTTTTTTTGTATAGGAATAATACACAACGGTGTTAGTTCTACATATGTAGATATTTGGCTTTGGCGTCGAAAAGCTTTGGATAAAGTCGTGCCCCACGCAACTCTCCCGTTCATGTATTCCGCACTGGCTTTGGAGATTCACCATTGATGCTATCGAAAATCCAGTTCATGTAAGAGCTGACGGCCGTGTAGACGCCGGGTACGGTGGTAACGCCGCATAGAGTTGGTCCAAAGGCGACAATGCCGAGCAGCGTATGACGCCCATTGGCATTGAGTATGCCGGAGGTGCCATCGTCCATGAAGGGACCACCGCTGTCGCCGCGGCACACATCCTTCATGGGCTGGCCCTGGGCGCACAGGTGGCTGGGCGTAATGACAATCGGTTGCTGGAAGTTCTCGCTGAGCGTGGCATAGGTGATCGCGCAGCTGGTCGTATTGACTATGGGCAATCTTATGAATCTCACGGAGGCTGTGCTGCTGGCGGGGCTGCTTGAAGTGTTAGCTGTAACGGAGCAGGCGAATTAAACAGTATATATGTCGTCAGCTAACTGTTTTCATTCAATTCTGTTTATTTAATATTTTAACAACATACTCTCCATTTTTGTGCTCCAACCAGCCACCACGCCCATTTGCCCGATCAATCTATCTGCGAGCGCTGCTGTGCTGTTCAGAGGTAAGCATATTGGTGTGAAATTACCTGAAAAAAACGCCAGAATGTACCTATATGCTGGCTGGGGGAAGCGTGGGAGGGGGGCGTGTGAAATCAGCTTACTCAGGCTATTGTTTAGGCGCAGCAGGGCAATATCATTCGCATACTTTGGTTGATCGTAGTTCGGATGCACCAGCACGCTGACAATATCAAATATATTTGGGCGACTGCAATTGGCAGCAGTTGGGCTGCAGTCCTGCGCGCCGGATACGTCATCGCCGATGCGCACCTGAAATCTGTGAAAGGGTTTTGAGGGGGGAGGCATACAGATTGTACAATTAGTTTCACTTACATCTGCAGATCGCTCACCAAGTTGACAACGCAGTGAGCGGCGGTAAGGACATAATTATTGGAAATGAGGGAGCCCGAGCAGCGATAGCTGATGCGATTGTTGGCTGTGAACATGGAATTGGCAAATTGTATTAATCAATTACTTTTAATATTATTGCAGAGCTAGCAAAATGAGTAAAGGATGCCCATGTAAAAGTGCGTCCGACCTAAGTAGTAATTGCGCTTATTGTCCTCCGGGCAAGGTTCCATATGTTCAGAATGAAAATGTGAGCCAAGATCAAACCTATGGCGATTCTGGAAGCTATCAAAATTACAATCAATACAACAATCCTCCCTATAATAACAATTACAATCAATATAATAATAACTATCCATATAATAATCAATATCCATATAATAACAATCAAAATAACTATCCATATAACAATCAAAACAATAACTATCCGTATAATCAGAACAATAACTATCCATATGACAACCAATATAACTACAGCCCGTATGGGCCAGCTAGCGAGTATTCCTATGGAAGCCAAAAGGGGGGGCAGTTTGCAGAGGAGCCGCAAGGATTTGAACTTAGCGACGGCGCGGTTTCACTTCTCAAGGCAGTTGCTGTTTTCTGCACTGGTTGTTTTCTCACCATGAAGATGACTGGTGTGGCAAACGAGCTGGGATAAGTGCAAACAATATTTTTATGATTGTTTTGTTTTTGTGCCTAAATGTATTCTAATCCAAGGACGAGGACCATCTCCGAAAATAACACACACACGTACGAGTTTATACACAAATTTCAATTTCAATTGGATGTCATTAAAAATTGTTGCGTTTAAAATTGTGCTACTCACTGCGATTGCGGTAGGCGATACGGGCGAACCACGGATATTGTCCTGGGGCAACCTCGTCACCACCCAAGAGACGTGTGCTCACACTTATCCCACAATTGGGTGAGTTCATGCGCGCAGCCGGCGATATTGTGGCCGTGGTCGTGGACATGGGCGTCATCGTTGTGGTGGGTGTTGTGTCACGTATAATCTGCTCCTGGCTGGCATCGGCCATTAGCTCGCCTTCTCCTCTGATCTCTATCGATTCCTGAAAACGCAAATCGCCAGGAAACACAATCGGTCTATCTGCAGGCTTTGGACGCGGCGCTTTCTCCACTGGCTCAATCTCGTGATCAATATGGTATTGAAAGTGATGACCGCTGCCAAATCCAAACGGATGATGATCATCATAATCATCTTCAATTGGCTGTGGACAGTTGCGTTGCGCCTCGAAATCCCAATAGTCATGCAAACGCATTTCGGTCTCGTGCGCCACAAATCGATTCAAGCTGTAGTTGAATCTGGGACTGCGCTTCGAGCCACTCGAAGTGTCCCAGACCCAGCGATCATTGGGCGCAAAGCGCGAACTGCGCGAACTGGTATGCGAAGATGCCGCCTGATGCTGCGGACAGCAAGCGAGCGGATCGAGACCATGATAGCCACAGCCGGCTGAATGCACCATGGCGAACACAGAGGCGCGCTCCTCTGGACTGTGATTGAGCAAAAGTCGGACAAAGGGCACGCAGTCCTTAATGCGAATGCAGTGACAGAGACTGGCGGGACAAACGTCTGCAAAAACGGGATGTGGTAACAGGTGAGCGCACGTGCAAATAGTATGAAAACAAAAAAAAAATGTTTAAACCAAAAATCAAGCAACGTATTAGCCAAGGTCAATATCTGCAAACCAGAAGTGCCCAAAACCGCCAAGACTTTAAGCCCAAACAAAAGTCCGGTTCAGCAATTACTGAGTCACTTTTGCCATCGTTTTCGTAATTATATTGTAGTAGTTTATTGCCCTTCGCCTTCGCTTTGCGGCTCGCAGCATGATGTTAGCATATTTGCTTGGGGAATTTCTAGACATTGACCTTGACCCAGTGCCGATTGGCCCCAAAGATGACGTCTGTTCTTTGGCTTTAAATTTGTTATACATGTAATATGAGCTAATTGAGCCCAACTGTGCGCCACTCAAGTTTGTTGTTTAAGTCGTTGGTTTTGTACTCACATTGAAAGCACAATGTGCTAATAACTGTAATGCATATGAACTTCAAAAACAACAAATGCATTTTGAGCTTTCGTTAAACTTCTGCTGCTTCAATTGATCCCGCGACACACACACACGCACGCACACACACACACACACACTCGCGCGTTTCTTTAACTTGAGCACAATTCTTAACTAATCATTGAATGCCCGACGCGAACACAACTTTTGTCGTCGAGGTGCGAAATAAAATTGAAATAAATTGGTTCAATATCTGAGTATATCTTATTTCCATTTCCATTTCGACGGCGGAGCGTAGCTTTTGAATTTTTTTTTATTATCAACAGCGAATCAAAACAAAGAGGGAGCACAAAAACAAATTATATGCCCCAAAAGCTGAGCTTATGAAATAGCGACCACTACACATGTATGCAAAGAAACACACACACGCACACACACAGACACGACTTATTGTAGGCCGATCTGGGCAAGGCAAAGCCAACGAGCGATCATAACTGGCCCGACATCCGAGTGGCACTGGCACCTCGTGCGTAAGTCAAAGTGCCGGCAACACAATGTGTTGCTGCACACACACACACACATACACACACGTACACAAAAGAAAACATGTTTTTAAATACTGCCACAGCCCATTCTGCGAGCATTCATATTTGGACCAAATCCTTAAAAAGACATTACATAGTTGCACTCAAATATGTTTGTAAATATATTTTGATCATATGTTGTACTTAAAATATTACTAACATATTTAGTAAGTCTGCTTAACGTAAATACAAATGCACATGACATGAAATGAACTTTAGCTTAAAATATGCATATATATTCTAACTTTCTAGAAATGTGTGTATATGGAATGTATTGATTCTGATGGCGTACAATGCTATGCGTATGTGGTGCCCAACTGCTCCAATAAGCCTTCTTTTATTTCGTCCGCTTGCTCTCATAACAAGCGCCACAAGCAGCCGTGTATCTATGCCACCGGGACTACCTCGGGCGCAGCAGCAACAGAGACAATGACACTGGCTGAAACGTTATTCTCGACCTGTTCTACAGGTTCGATGCTTGGTTGCGACTGCTGTATCTGCTGCGACTGCGACGGCGACTGCTCTGTTGGGGACGTATTCACCGCAATCGTTGTCACTGCAGCCGACGACGCATAAATGCCATTTGTATCAGCATTGCAATCATTGCCAGCGAGCTGGTCGTCATCATCATCAACTGGCGTTTCTTGACGCAATACCGCTGCTAAATGGTTATCATTAACTGTCTCCAAAGTCTGGTCAATAACATCGTTAACAACTGCAGCTGCTGCCGCTGCGACTGGCGCTGCTGCCAGTGTTTCCATTGTACTTGGCAATGTTTCTGGGTCTACCGCCGCTTGCTCCAATTCAGTGTGCACGTTGCCGCTAGTTCCGTTTACATTCAAAAGAACAGATACGTCACCATTGTGCATAGAATGTGGTGTCTTCAGTTCATTGATGATTTTCTCTCCCACTTTGGGGTCCATTTCGTTGATTTTCTCTTGCAGTTTAGATTTGAATTCAATCGGCCATTTGGGAGTCCATTGACGAAAAAGTTTAATCTGTTACAAAAATAATTTCAATTTAGTAAATTCAATTTCATAACTAAGATTTTTTAATAGTTACGCGGCATTGAAAAAGACTCATGGGCTTTTCCTGGACACTCGACGTGGCCAGGGAATTGACGACGCCATTTACATAGGTACTACCACCACGTCCATCTTCGCCTGCGTCAACAGACGTGTCTCTTGAGAGATACTCCACCATCTCATAGACGAAATCATCGCGTTGCAGCTCACTCCATTCGTTAAACCACTGAATAATATAACGGAGCTCGCCGTCTACTGATAAATTGCTCATAGACATATTTGCATATATTTGTGTTGCTCACTTTCTCACACTGAAATACGCCCGCACAAGAACTTTTAAATGGTCAATTTGCAATTGAGTTAGTGAGCGCGACTGATGTTTACTGAAATTCTAGTTGTAGTTAACTGATCCTAGGCTCTGGTTGTGTGTCTCAGTGCTGCTATTCGCCTGATAGTTTCTATACTAACAACAACCCGTTTCTAACTTTTCTCACCGCTTGATTACAAAGCCCAGCTCATAACAGCTGTTGCGGCCTTTGGAGCATATCGATAATTTGACATGCAGCGTTGTGCAACACCTGCATCTATTCTATAGAACAAATTAACATATGAACAAATATAATCAACGAAGTGCCCTGTCATAATTTTCATACATTTCCAACTTAAAATTATTACTGCGACATGTCCCTTAAATACACCTATATGCAAAATTTATATATAATTATTATATTGTCGAACTGAGAAAAGACATCTGAGTTTTAAAATTTCAGTTTATCGATAAGTTGCGCCTACCCGCTTGTTGCACAGCACTAATCATTTTGGCGTTTCTCAACTCTTGAAAATTTGCAGACAGTAAATAATATTAGAGAACAACTAGGCAGAAAAAATCATCAATTAAAACAAAATATGTCGTCGTCAGAACTGGAAATCCAACAAAAATTTTCGGATAACCAGCAGGAACAAGTGCCCAATGCAGAGATTAATGCCATCAAACATGATTCAACGGCGGAAGCAGGTCAACAAGATTTTGCCGCGGCCGAGCAGTACAAAAATAAAGGAAATGATTTGCTCAAAAGTAAGTTGTCAATCATCACATACACGAGACTCTAGATATTATGACATAGTCGGTAAAGCACATGAAACCCACTATGAAATTGTATGCAACTCAAGAGCGTCCCGTGTTGTCTGTAAGCTGTCTTCGACCTAACCTTAAAAACAATTTACAGGCATTGGCTCTATGTGCAAATTTGTGTAATTCTTTTGTGCTGTTTAGAGGGCAGCTAAAGAGCTTAAAGCTAAAAGTTAATGTAACTATGACTCATTTCGTCACATTGCAGCCAAGGAATTCTCGAAAGCCATTGACATGTATTCCAAAGCCATAGAACTATACCCCAACAGTGCAATCTACTATGCCAATCGGGCGCTGGCGCATTTACGTCAGGAAAGCTTTGGCCTGGCTCTGCAGGATGGTGTTTCAGCGGTTAAAACGGATCCCAGCTACTTGAAAGGTTATTATCGACGTGCGGCGGCGCACATGTCCCTGGGCAAGTTCAAACAGGCCCTTTCTGATTTTGAATATGTAAGTGCAGTTATTGTATAGAGAACCTCTTACGCATGATATTTGATAAGCTATCTTTTTAGGTGGCCAAATGCAGGCCCAATGATAAGGACGCAAAATTAAAATTCACCGAGTGCAGTAAAATTGTTAAAATGCGCGCATTTGAGCGTGCTATCGCTGTAGATAAGCCTGAGAAGACTCTCTCGGAGATGTATAGCGATATGGAGAACATTAGTAAGTAATCGATTGATCATCCACGCATTGGAAAACCTCCTTTTTCGAGCGTATATTCTATGTATTTTTTTTTTTTTTTTTAATTTAGCCATTGAGGATGATTACAAGGGACCTCAATTGGAGGATGACAAGGTTACTTTACAATTCATGAAAGACCTTATGGAACACTATAAGGCACAAAAGAGACTGCATCGCAAGTTCGCCTATAAGGTAGTTAATGTTTTTTTAACCGCAATTGAACCTAAATTTCGTGTGACAAAATATATAACATACGTATGTTTGCAGATACTCCGTAACATTGATGAGTACATGCGTGAACAGCCATCCCTAGTGGATATTACTGTTCCAGATGACGAGAAGTTCACAATTTGTGGAGATATCCATGGCCAGTTTTATGATTTGATGAATATTTTTGATATAAACGGGCTACCCTCAGAAAAGAATCCGTATCTATTTAATGGAGATTTCGTGGATAGAGGTTCATTCTCTGTAGAATGTATATTTACGCTCTTCGGCTTTAAGTTGCTGTATCCCAATCATTTCTTCTTGTCTCGCGGTAACTTACAATTTATAATCCCAATCATTGAAATCGAAACTAATTTAATATTGCTTATAGGCAATCACGAAAGCATTAACATGAATCAAATGTACGGATTCACGGGCGAGGTGACTGCCAAGTATAACAACACAATGGCGAATATATTTACGCAAGTATTCAACTGGCTGCCATTATGCCATTGCATAAATCAGAAGATTCTGGTTATGCATGGGGGCCTCTTTTCATCAGACAATGTTACATTGGATAACATAAGACGCATCGAACGCAACTGCCAGCCACCAGAGGAGGGACTCATGTGCGAGTTGCTCTGGTCCGATCCGCAGCAATGGATGGGACGTGGCCCATCTAAGCGCGGCGTGGGCATACAGTTTGGTCCGGACGTAACTGAAGCATTCTGTAACCTGAACAAGTTGGACTATATCATTCGCAGTCACGAGGTCAAAGATATGGGCTATGAGGTGGCCCACAATGGTCAATGCATAACTGTCTTCTCAGCGCCAAACTATTGGTATGTACCACAAAACGTAAACTATCAAAACCGTACAAATTGTAAACGTTTATTTATAGTGATACTATGGGCAACATGGGCGCATTTATAACAATTACTGGTAACAATTTAAAACCAAATTACAGATCCTTTGAGGCTGTGGTAAGTATTATAGCTACAAACCCATCTATGTATGCACTAATTATAATAATATACATTTTATTCACAGCCACATCCTGATGTCAAGCCTATGGCATATGCCAATAGCCTAATGAACTGGCTAGCGTAGTCATAGCAGCATGCTTCCTATGCATAACAATAGCTAAGAACACCACAAACTCCAGCACCCCTGCCCACGCTTAAGAACCCACAACCGCATTAGAACGAACAAAAACACAGATTCCAAAATGCTCATAGGACCTTTATGCACACAGCTTGCTAGTTACTCTACGATATGAGTCAGAGTAAAGAACATAGTTGTGGTATATAGGGTTAAGGGCAGCAGAATAGCAATCAATTCACAACAAATTCAGCTATATTTGATACAAAAACGTTGCATACAAGAATGATTATATAAAAATGGCTTTAGAAGTCAGATGCTAAGTTTTATTGGTGCTAAGCATCTGAGTATTCACTGTACAGTGTTTGTGCGATTTAAAAAAGAAAAAAAAAATTAAAAACGTAAACAGTGAGCAAATTTATTATGTTTATGCATAGCATTTAAAAATTGGCAATAATGTGAGACCCCCATATTCCACTGCAAGCCCCTACCTTAAATTTTACTCCCGAAGGCTACAATTCTGTATAAATTAAATTTTTTGTTCAATCCTTGTTTATATAAACTTACACAAGTCATTTTAATAAAAAACAAAAAATATCCAATCGATAATCAATTTTAACTCAAGCAATGATTAAACAAAGCGAACCATGTGCTTTGACAATTAAAAACAATAGAAATAGTAAAAGTCTGGAATGTAAAACAATGTAAAGCAATTGTTACAAACACTCTAAATGTTTATTAGTCAAGATTAGGTTCGACTGGCGCTTCTAGGCGAAAGCCTAAGCCGTGAAAAATTCGGTCGATACTAGCTTTGTAGTCCTTGAGATGAACACGTTGTAGGAGCGTCACATACACAAATGGTCCGTTGTAGGTAGCTAGGTTCTCATAAAATTCCACAGCCAGCGCTTGCATTTCTTTAGGTTGCGCCTGAGACAAATACAACACAACAATGCTAAGCAGATCATGAAGATGTTTGCCCTCAAGCTGCAGGCTGCGTATAAATGATGCCAGATGCCGTAGCAACTGTAACTGCAGCTTATATTCCTGGGTGGGCGCTCGCAAAGTTTCCGCGCTACTGTGGTAACTGGCCGTCTTCAAAAACTGCTTAAGCTGAGGTATCACATCGCTAAGACTGCGCTTTAAGATAAAATCTTTAGCATGCAGGACGAGAATGTGCAATAAGTTGAAGCAGCGGCTTAGCACTATCGAGTCTTTTTGACGAAATTTTTCGACCAGCGGCTGCCATAACAGATGGACTAGAGGCAGCAGCTCGTCTTCATAGTCGGCGAGCAGTGGCACACCAGTAATAAGGCATTCCAGTGCAAGAATTTGCTGTTCTTGCTCAGACTTTGAAAGAAACTTGATAGACTGACTTATAATCTCCTTGACAATTTCAATGTGTTGTGGCAGAATGGGCTTTGATGGCGGCTCCACTGACTGATCCTCAATTTCTACATCGTGCATATTTATATCTGGTTCTTCATTAGGCGCACTATTTAAATCAACGGGAGTGTCAGTTCGCTGTTTATTTAGCACATTTAACCAAGTGCTTAGAATATTCTGCTCCTCATCCAAATGCATTTGAATGTCGGCGATCTCTGCCGCAGTAGCACTTTGCCAGCTGACCGCATGCCTCAGGAACGCATTGAAGACGCGCAAATATGAATGTATATTGTCCGTCTGATGTGACTTGGCGCATTCCTCGCATATTGTTTGGAAAATACTTTCCAAATGGGGCACATTCCCACGTGAGCTGTACTGCAACACAACTGTGAGTATATCTACGGCTTCACTGCTCTCGGGTGACTGCAATGGTAGATTTCCAAATTTTGATTGTGACTTCTGTGACCGGACATATTGAGCTTACCTTCTTTAGCAGCGCATTGAGATGAAAGGTTAGGTAGTCAGTGGAGCATTCTATGAAATGTGAGGGTGCTGCATATTTCAAGGCCAGCTGCATTGAAACGAATGCAAATGTTGCTGCTTCATGGACCATCGTGTTACTGCTGGCTGTAGTAAAGCGTTGACATGTAAGGTTACATATTAATGCACTGACATAATACTACTCACCTAACTTAAGCAGCACTTTGTGCAAGCTGCGAAATATATGACGATCAAACGTATCGCCAATAAACTTAGCACAATGCCCCAGAGCATCCAAAACCAGGCAGGTGTGCAGCACATTGAACTGTGCATCCGCAATGCTCACGCGATTATTGACTGACTCGCTCTCATCATCCGAATCACAATCCTGCGTGCGGACCTCTATCGCGGACGAGTAGAGACCAGGCGTGTGATCTTTAAACCAGGAGGAAGGCTGCGTAGTTTTAGAACTTGAATAATTTATTAAGTAGCGTTTGCGCAAAATGCTTACCTTGTCGACCTTAAGTCGCCAGGCTGCATCCGGCTGAAGTGCCAAATGCCAGTGCTCTTCGGCTAGTAGTTGATCCACAAAAAGTTGTGCCAGCGATAAACGGCTTTCGCGCGCTACTCTTTGCTGCGGCGATATCATAAGCGTCATTAACAAAATCGATTCATTCATGGCTGAGCTGCGTCGTTCAATCAAATCCTGGCAAAAGTCAAAGATTAGGCGATTTATAGACGGCTCAGCGCCCAATAATGCAGCAATGTCATAAAGAACATCTAAGCAGCGTTTGGAGTTGAGATACTTGAACTGGCGCCAAGACAACTTGGAACATTGAGCCGCCAGCTCCTTAGCACTGCCCTTTTGGATATGCCGTAGCGAGTATTCCTCATTAAGCAATTCGCGCGATATACGCTGATCAAGCGCCGTCAGCAGACACATGACAAACAATTCCAAATTCTTTGGTAACAGCAGCAGCAGCTGCAACTTGTCAGCGCTGAGATTCCGCAGGTATCCCTTGAAAAAAAGCAGCTCCGATAACTGTTCGCTGTCATCACAGCGCTGTAGAATGCGTGGCCATTTGTTAAGATGCGCGTCCAGAAGCATTTCTGCATTCTCGTCAAAGATGCTCGCACAGCTCGGCTGCTGCTGCAGCTGCGCCAGGTTCTCACGGCACATTTTTGCTATATCCTCCTCCGCATCCTCCGACAAAGCTAAAACACTCTCCAGCAAATGTATAAAACTATGTTTCAAATTGTGAGCGCAATTCTTCAGGAGTAAGCAACACATTTCCGCGTACATTCGACGCACTGCAACAGAGCTGTGGGCGCGCAAGATACTCGTTGCGACAAAGATGATGCGCATATGTTTTGATGTGGCTGCTACCCACTGGGCAGAGCGTAGACCAGTTTGGAGCTTCTTGAGGCGCTGCTCGTTCTGCTCAAGACTTAAGCGCTTGCTGCCAAATATGTTAACGTCATTCAACAGCTCATTGCTCTCGCCTTTGGGAGTGCTAAAAAGTGATTGGAATGCATTCACGTCGTAGCGTGCTTTGCTAAACTCCTCTGTGGTTTCCTCGAACATAATACAGGTGATGCGGCCCAGGGCCTTAATGCCCAACTGAAATATTATTTAAAGTCTTCCATTAAAAAGCTCAAATTGTGTTTTGCTAGCACTTACGGATTTGGTTGATTCGCCAACCTTATCATCAGCCATCGCTGTTTTGAAGAGCACAGTAACGATTTTGGGCAGGAATATGAATATGGTGTTGGCTATCTGGTTGCGCAAAACCACGTCGCCAGCATCGGCATCATCGTGCACATAGAAGAGTACCATCAAGCCTTCCAGCGATGAATTGACCAGCTTGCGATACCTTTCCCTTGAGATAAAATCAATGAAGGTGAGTAATATTTGGCCTAAGACCACGACAGCCTCCTTTCCATAAAATGTTTCGAGCACATCGCTTGTGGAACGTTGCAGGGCCATTGTTATGCAGAGTACTGCCGCCAACTTGATTTCCTCGGAGAGATCGGGTTGCATTGCAGAGCCATTGCGATCGCGAATCTGCTGCAGGACCACCACTAGAATGGAGCGTAAGGCTTTCTCCTCCGTCAAGTAGAGCTTGGATACAATGTGTCGCAGGCAATCCAACAAGCTTGTGCGCAGTTCCTGACTTTCTCTGCACAGGACACATAATTAGTTGGGAAAGCTCACATTTGTATTATTCCCTTTTACTTACCCTGTAAGTTCACCCAATTTAATCACAAGCGGGACTACAATTTGTATTTGAAATATGCGTATTTGTCCAAAGTCAAATCCCATGACTTCTTTCTCTACATCCGACAAGTTGGCTTTATTAGGGTGCTGTAGGAAATTTTCTATGGCAGGCCTAATACGCGTCACATATGTCTCCACCGAGGAAATTTTGGCCATAATTCATATATTTAAATAAACATCTACTTTAACCAAGAACAAACTGAAAATATGCGAAGCAGAGAGAGCGGCAAGCGTAGAGTCGATCAACAGCTGGTTTGCCTGCTGAGTGCCAGTCACATGTTTACGTATGCGAAAAAGCCGTTAAATTAAAAATGACATTTCGCGCCATTAAATGTAGAAAATTAAGTAGTATTGCATTGCGATGCATTTAATATAAACAGTTCTTGGTTTTTTTTTTTAAATAATTTTTATATTAAGAATTTAATTATAAAATTCGTGCTGAGCCTCATCCTTGCGCACGCTTGTCTTGTAGCCTTTTTCAAAGTCCTTAGCGTGTGCGATATAACGATTTTCACGAACTGCGTGCATTCCAGCTTCCTGGCAAATCGCGTTAATGTCAGCATTCGAAATTCTGTCCGGGCGAGCAATAAGCTCCTCCAGATCAACGTCTTCGGCGAGATTCATTTTGGCAGTTATGGTGGTGAAAACCAAACGCTTTTGACGGCGATCCGGCAACGGGAACTCGATCTTACGATCCAAGCGTCCAGGGCGCAGAAGAGCCGGATCTAAGGTATCAGCGCGATTAGTAGCCATAATAACCTTAATGTTGGTTGTTTCATCGAATCCATCCATTTGATTCAAAAGCTCCAGCAAAATGCGCTGAACCTCACGATCGGCGCCTGTCTGAGCGTCAAAGCGTTTAGTCGCAATAGCATCAATTTCATCAATGAATATCACCGATGGCGCATTCTGCTTGGCCAGCCGGAACAGGTCACGCACCATACGTGGTCCCTCGCCCAAGTACTTCTGCACAAACTCCGAGCCGACGACGCGAATAAAAGCGGCTGTCGTCTGATTAGCAACCGCTTTGGCCAGCATTGTCTTGCCGCAGCCGGGAGGGCCATAGAGTAGTACGCCGCGCGGTGGGTCAATGCCTGGAGATATAGATGTTTACGTAACCCGTTAGGATCAGCTTAGGCACAGCTTACCAATTTGCTTGTACAAATGAGCGTGTGTCAAGGGCAGCTCGACAGCCTCGCGTATTTCTTGCTTTTGCATATCAAGTCCTCCGATATCCGCATAGCTGACGTCAGGTTTCTCTTCCGGCGACAGCATGGATATGGTGCTATCCGCCTCCGGTGGCACCAAATCTACCAAACAGTTGCTCTGTTTATGCAATGCCACAGAAGCCGACGGCTTGAGCTGCTCTCTATCAATTGTGGACAACACGCGCACATAGTAATTTGAGCCTGTGGTTGAGGCAACAATTCCGGTGTTTTCATCAACTGCCTCTAGAAATTGGCCAATAACCAGGGGCACAGCCTTGGCCCGCTTAACTTCTTCCTGAGCATGTAGGTACTCCTTTTTCAGATTGCGCTGCTCCTCCTTAATGTAGTCTTCCTGAACTTGTAGCAATTCCAGCTGCAGCTGTAATTTCTTATACACTACATAGCAGTCACTCTCATCCAAGATTTTTGGCTCTACGTTTTCCATATTTTCGTCTTTGGACACTAACATATTTTTCTATTTTGCGTGTTTGACAGAGGGCCAGCCGATGAGAATGACTTGAAATTTCAAATTGTATAAACAAAAGTGTTGTAAAGAGTTGTCAACGTTTGCCATTCACGTCGAATGCAATCGCGTGAGTGCGTGAGTGCGTGAGTCACGAGCAGCTGTTAGTGAGACCTGTTGTTGCTTTTGTTCTTGTTGCTATGTTCTTGTTGTTGGGTTCAACGTGGAACGGTTCTATTTTTAAATCAAATTTCGTTTTTATTTTGGAAATGTAAATTCTGCTCCACAGAAAAAACAAATATACATTGTATGTCTGGGTAATTGGACACACTTGGCAATGCTGAAAACTAAATAGCCTCTGACAAAAAGTACAAACATTGTTGACGCCGGCCGGATTATTTGATGGTACAAAATACGTCACCAGTGAAATATACGTGCATTTACCAAAATACGTAGAATTTGGTGCCAAAGCAATTATGGCAATTATGTAATATGCCAATTTGATATCCAGCTTAGCGGCAAAACATATTTTGAATTCTTTTGCCTTGCCTGAAACTGTGCAAAATGGACAAGTTGGTGTTCCTGACGGCCGCGGCCCACCTCGTCTACACACCCTTCACTAAGGTCGAGGAGAGCTTCAATTTGCAGGCCATGCATGATATTTTATATTTGCGCAATAATTTCACACAATATGATCATCATGAATATCCAGGAGTTGTGCCACGCACGTTCATAGGACCGCTCATCATATCAATATTGTCGGCGCCGTTTGTGCTGCTCTTCGAGTCGCTGAACATCAATAAATTCTGGGCACAATATGTAGGTAAAAGACACTTGTAAATAAACACTGCCCACCCGATTCTAATGCTAACATATCATTCACAGTGCGCCTTGTCTTGGCTGCATCTATTTCATTTGCTTGGAATAACTTGCGTCGAGCTGTAACAAAGATTTATGGCGTCGAAGTTCGTCTGTGGTTTACGGCAATTACCATATCACAATTTCACTATATTTTCTACATGACGCGTCCTCTGCCGAACGTCTTCGCACTGCCATTTGGTTTGTAGTCCTATTATTTATTGTTAAATACATATTTATTATTTTAATTTCGTCTGATTTTAGTGCTCTATGCAATTGCTTATTGGATGCGTGGCCAAACGAAACCCTTTATCATCTGTTCAGGCATTTCGATAATTGTATTCCGCTCCGAGTTGGCGATTTTCTTGGGCTTGCTGCTTGCTCTGGACATATTGCAGCAAAAGTTGTCTATTGATGGGTATGGCTAATATATATATTGCCTGTTCTCCCTGTTTAATAATTGACCTTTCCCCTCAGTTTGCTAAAGATCGCTTTGCCAGCTGGTCTGTGTATTTTGGCAAGCACTGTGTTGGTAGATTCGTTCTTCTGGCGTCGTCTACTGTGGCCCGAGGGTGAAGTGCTGTGGTACAATACGATACTTAACAAGAGCTCCAACTGGGGCACATCACCATTTTTGTGGTACTTTTACTCTGCTCTACCTCGTGCTATGGGCGCCTCGTTGGCCTTTGTGCCCATTGGCATTTACTTTGAGAGGCGTCTAAGGCCCTTGGCTCTTTGTGCAGTGGCGTTTGTATTGTTGTATTCAATACTGCCACACAAGGAGCTTCGCTTCATAATATATGTGTTTCCTGTTTTAAATATTGCAGCAGCGTGCGGTTGCGAACGCTTGTAAGTTGAAATATTTTCATTGTTTTGCCTATATTGAAATGTCTATTTTATTTGAAAGGTGGAAGAACAGGGCCAAATCGGCATGGCACAGCTTTCTGGCGATCCTTGCAGTCGCACATTTGCTATTCAACATGGTAATGACCATATTCCTGCTTGTTGTTTCTGGCACTAACTATCCAGGTGGAGCAGCGCTATCTCGATTACATCGTCTGGAGGTGGCCAATCCAAATGTTTCGGTGCACATTGCAAACTTAGCTGCGCAGAGCGGCGTATCGCGTTTTATGGAAATAAAAAGTAATTGGATCTACAGTAAAGATGAAGCGATGAACTATACTCAAGCCGAAATTGCGAACTACAGTCACTTGTTGGTGGAAGCGAAAAATAAGAACAACGCGGACCTGTGGGCAACGCTGCAGGAGGATTTTGAAATATTGGAGTTTATAGATTGCTTCAATAGCATCGGCATACAATACAACTCCATCTTGCCAGTACGCATCAAGACTAAGCCGTGCATAGGCATTCTGAAGAAGCGATTAAATGTGGAAAAGGCTTCTCGACATCAAAGGAAGCCAGCAAAGGATAAGAACTCAAAAGAAAATCCAAAAAACAAACGCAAGAAAGACAAAATTGAAGCAGACAATTCTAAGCAATATCAGGATATACCATTGGTGGAAGACGAAACTGATATTGTTATTAAAGACCCCGAGCCGATTGAGATTTCTGAGCAAATGGCAAGTTTAGAGGACGATTACGACGATGGAATAGTAGCTACTGTGGAGGAAACATCATTGGAACAGAATGCAGATGGAATTGAAGCAACTAAAGAAATCAATTTTCAGGAGTTGCGTAATCTTGCTTTAGATCATACAACACGTAAATCACGTGCTGCTACTAAACTCAAAATTCGAAAAATAATTGAACAGCACTACAGGTCCAAGGGAAGACCTATCGAAAACGATTCTGCGGAACAGCATAAAGCGACAGGGGCGCGCACTGGAATGCGTCAATCGGTAAAGTCAATCATTAAGCAAGAGAAGATCAAAGAGATGATTGAGCAGATCGCCACCATGGATCTGACACGCATCTGCGACTTGGAAAAGACATCGACGAAGGAGTGTTTGAAGCAGGTTATTGACAAGATTGACGATGGAAGCATAAAAGCAAATTGACAGAAATGTATTTACCCCTTTGAGTCTGGCCTTATTGTTATTAGTAAAGCTTAAATGAATATTTATAATAAAGATATTACCAAAGTTAAATTCAATGCAAATGTAAATTTTATTCGCACTGAATGAAATGCTGCAGTCTTAATAATGTAAATTGCGGGAACGTTTGTGACATCAAAATGATTAAATTTGTTTCTGATATTTACTAAACAGTAACATTACCTCATGTTGAGCTTCATCAACGTGTACTAAATATATAATTAGTGTGTGTAATTATATAGGAATTGAATGGCTGCTTAAGTCCATCTGATTGTAGGCAGCCATAATTAAACATTATCTAGTAGCTCAGGCCAATATATAGCCGAACCATAGATATATATCGCCAAGTGTACCCACGAGGCAGAGCAAAAGGGTGAGTCTGTACAGAATATTGTCCATGCCTCCACCCTTGAGGAATACGGGTTTTCCGTCGTTTTCCTGAAATTGCTTCTGCAGCTTGGCCATCTTGGGTGTTAGCTTTCCAGGACCACCACCACATTTGTTCATATCAATCGGCGATGGCTGAATCGAACGATTCAATATAAGCATGGGTGCAAGAGAGTTACACCCATTGACTTCACGCAATAGGGGCTGTTCATGTTTAATAAGATGGCGAATAAATTAAGGTAACTGCAAATACTTACGCGAAATTTAGTAATAAAATTCCTCTGCATTTTGGAATAAAATTTGTAATAGCAGATAATTTTCTGTGGTGTGAATCAAAGTTGAAATTTTCAGGAATGAGCCCGACAGCAAACCTAGCCTACTTACGAAGTTTTAAAATAAGAAACTGATTTACGTTTATACGTAGAAAAAAAATAAAATAAAAGCCTACTATTTATTTATATTGTTCATCGAAGAAACTGAATTCAAAAATTTTAGTTTCCAACGTATTTCGAAGGTGTGAAACATATCTGAAATAAGTTTTTGCAGATTATTTCGAAGAATTAAGAAAAACACAAACTATCCGCACGAATTTTCACGCCCAAACCAAAAACCGAGTACTTTAACCGTTTGCTAACTTCTAGGTTTTTACGGTTTGGGCTGTTTCATATATATAGAAAACAGATTTTAAAATGATTCCGCCAAAAATATCGATAAATGTGGCACCTGATATCGATTGCCAAGTATCGTAAATGTGTAATATCGATTACATACTAAACATCCGTACGATATTCACAACAATTGGCGAAGCGTTTGCGAATTTGCTGCTTATCTGTTTATATTTCTTAAATCCATAAATATAATCAGAAAAGCAGTAATGTCTTTGGCTAAATATATAAATCGCTCCGTGGGCAAAGCGAGTGCAGAGGTTGCCTCGCGAATCTGTACACTGAAACCCATGGAGGCCGAACATTGTGCTGTACACTTGGCAAGCGGCAAAAATGTTGTTGGACGCAGCAAGGAAACCGGCATCCGTGATACGCGCTGTTCCAAGAAACAAGTTCAGCTTCAAGTTGATTTAAAACTGGGACGCATTCAGTTAAAGGTGCTCGGGCTGAATCCTTGTGGCATTAATGGCGTCATGGCTATGCAGGACACGGAATGCGAGCTACAGCACGGCGACCTAATAGAAATTGTCTACGGGCGGCATCCATACGAGATAGTCTTCAATCCTGCACCAGAGAATCAGAGCCAGTGCCAAGAAGGCAGCACAGAGGAGCAAGCAACAGTTCCAGTGGGTGCTGCCACTGAGGAAGAGAAGTGGGACGCGGTTGCGAGTGGTAAATTGGTAATTTACAGCAGCGCCGGTTTGACTGCTTCCGCGAAGATTGCTGGCTATGATATGGATGGTACCATTATTAAGACAAAATCCGGGAATGTATTTCCGAAGAACACAGACGACTGGCAAATTATATATCCCGAGGTGCCCGAGAAGCTACTGCGTTTGCACCAAGACGGCTTCAAAATTTGTTTCTTTACCAATCAGGGCGGCATAGCGCGCGGCAAAATCAAACTCCAAGATTTTAAAGTAAAAGTCAAAAACATAGTAAGCAAATTGGGTGTACCCGTGCAGGTCTTCATAGCCATAGGCAATGGTTACTATCGCAAGCCATTGCCAGGCATGTGGGAACATCTCAAGAATGAAATGAATGACAATGTGGCTATAAATCTGGATCGTTGCTTCTTTGTTGGCGATGCAGCTGGCCGACCAGAGACGGGCAAGGGTGTCTCCAAGCAACGTAAGGATCATTCATTGGCTGATCGTCTATTTGCTACCAATATTGGCGTATCTTTCTACACGCCCGAGGTTCATTTTCTGAACAAGCGCGTTGAGCAGTGGAACAAGCCGGATTTCGAGCCCAGCACCGTGGATAACCAAATACCACAGTTTGAGCCAGATGATCTACAGCTTGGCAAAGACAAATGCGAGATGATAATTATGGTTGGCCTACCGGGCTCGGGCAAGAGTCACTTTTGTGCCGAGGTGCTCGGTGGCAAAGGTTACAAAATCGCAAATGCGGACAATTTGGGTAGCACACAGGCGTGTCTTAATGCTTGTCAGCGTGCGCTAAGCGCTGGCAAGTCATGTGTAGTGGATAATACCAATTTGGACGTGGCATCGCGTAGAAAATTTGTAGATCTTGCCGTGGCAAAGAATAGTTCTTGTCGTTGTTTCGTGATGAATGTGACGGCGGCGCAGGCGAAACATAATATTGCCTATCGGGAACTGTTGGACACTGGACACTCTTCAATTAATGACATGGTTTTCAACATGATGAAGAAAAAGTACCAGGTTCCTACTCTGGACGAAGGCTTTACCACAATTCACAAAGTTAATTTTAAGCCGCAGTTTTCCAACGATAAGGATGAAAAATTATACAAAATGTATTTGCTTGAGAAATAGCCGTGGCCATGTATTCTAATCTAACGTAAATATTCGTTTAGCAATATCATCTATAAGCCAATCCATGGAACTTAATAGCTTCTCTCCAGTTACTGCGCTAACCCCAACCACCAACCAGTGATGTGTGGTGATATCATCCAAACATAGTATCTGTAAACCATAGTGTTAAAAAATTGAAATCTTTAAAATAAATATATGTTGAAGTACGAGACCTCTTTGATTTCGTTTGAGTTTAGAGCGCCAGGCAAATCCTGTTTGTTGCACAGCACAAGTAACGTGGCGCCAGCCAAGCGCTCCTCCTGAAGCAGTATTTGCATTTCTTGCTTACAGGATTCCATGCGCATACGATCTGCACTGTCCACGACCCAGACAAGACCATCAGTACACTCAAAATAGTTGCGCCAATAGGATCGCAACGAACGCTGTCCGCCCACATCCCACATGTTTAGTGTGTAGCCATTGTGTTCCAGTGTCTTAATATTAAAGCCCAAGGTGGGCGAAATTTCGTCAATGGGCTCTCCATTAAAACGCTTGAGGATTGTTGTTTTTCCTGCGTTGTCCAGCCCACTGTAGATGTTAAATACCATGAATCACAATATCTCAAAACTAAAAGAATGTATATACTTACAGCAGTAAAATACGCATCTCCTTTTCCTTTTGACGCATCTTTTTCAATACTGTTAAGAAGCCCATGGCGTCTTTCAGCTGTTTCTTGTCTTTTAAAACTAATAAATTGAATGTATACTGAACAGTTGCGGCAATACAGTTATAACTATATATTTGTTGTGAGTGGCGCCCACGAACAATGGTGAATGGCAAATCTATGCGAATGGCATTTTCGAAACGATGTGGCAACTATGTTCTCCATAGACGTCAAACAGCTGTCATAATCTGAGGCCCGTAAATTTCTTGCTTCAGCACTTCAGACCATTTGCATTTCGATTGCTAAAAATAAAAATATTTTGAGCAAAATGATGAACCTATCCAGAGTGAGTATAAAATTGGAAACATTATTATTTATGGACTATGGAGCTTCCGATTTATCCATTACATTCTCCTGGAAGAATGTATATATTATGATTTAATTACGTAAGATTTGCTGGAGCACCCAAACTAACCGCACATTTTGTTATCATAGGCCGTTGTGCGCAGCTTTGCTACTACCAGCTCCCGTCGTGCAACTGCGACCAGCAAGGATCAGATTGAAAAGGGTTACTTTGAAATCCGTAAGGTGCAGGAGCACTTCCAAAAGAAGGACGGCAAGCCCGTTTTCCTGAAGGGCTCCGCCTTCGATAGTGTGCTGTACCGCATCACCATGGCGCTTGCCCTGGTCGGCATTGGTGGCATGGGCAAGCTTTTCTGGGAGCTCAGTGTGCCCCAGAAACAGGAGTAAGGCGCAAGCAGTATAGTCTAACCTTTAAGCTAAGCCATTACCTGCAAATCCGTAAAACCATCCCCGGCACATTTGTTGCAGCAATGTTACCTTATATTTCTGTGTTTTGATAGCGTAAGTAGTGCATAAATATATATATATTTGTGTGGTCTTATCTAATTGTAATATCTTGCAGAGCTGAGAGCCCACAACACCTCGTTTACAACCAAATCGATTGTTGCTTGTGTTAGAATAATTAAGTTAAAAGTGTGTCTAAACATTCGCAAAAGCATTTCAAGCTTGGAAATATAAGAACTTGTCTGTAAAGTAATAAGATAACAAGAAGTTTATTTCAGCAGCCTAAGTTCGGTTGGGTTTATATGCCGATTTGCCGTTTGACTTGTCTGCATACATTTTAGCTTTTGCTTTTGCTTTATAAACATGAAATTGCATTGACTTTAAATAAACAAAAACAGCGCGACAAAACGAAAATCGCCGCCGCAGTGTCAATGTGTCGGGTTGGATGTGGCGAGGAGTCCGATTTATAAATCAAAGGGCGGCAACTCGGCGCGTTGCCTTTGGCATGGAAATGTATTTTAAATCGAGCGAATCATGCTGCGCTTTAACACACATTGCCGCACACACACATACACACACACACACACTCACGCACAAGCAGCAACAACATGCATGTTGTGTGTTTATTAATAACTGAAAAAAGGAGCAACAAAAACAAAATAACGAAGTGCAGAAGTGCAGCGAAATGTGCAATTTAAGGCGTTTTCATTAGTTATTTCTCCATAAACACTTAAATAAAACTAAAGCATTTAAAATGTGTATAAAAAAGGGAAACACAAATATAGCCATTTTAAGAGTTTTCTGTGCAATTTACACATATTTACACACATTTGTGTGTGTGTGTGCTTGTGTATATGGGGGAGAAATAAGTCGAAGAACAACTATTTTGCTATTTCATTTGCCGTTACGGTACATTTAAATTTTGAGATGTGCACGCGAAGCGCATTAAAACGAACGCGAGTTTACCGTTAACATATTTGGGCGGATGTGTGTAGGTGGTTCGGTACTTGGTTGAACTAGAACCGATTATTCCTTCTGGAGAACATTGTAAATGCGGTTTCCGTGCATTTTCGGTTTGCTCTCCAAAACTATTATATCTACTTCTTTTTTTTGGCTTAATTAACCGCACAGTCCCTTTGCTGTGGAAGAAATGTGCACTTGTCGTAAACTTATTATATTTCATAGACTGTGAAAAATGTGCATATGACAAAAATATGTGGCCAAGGAGCGGGTCCGAACGGGATCAGCAGAGCACCATCAAGACGGCGAGCCCAACTCCGACTAACTGCGACCGGCTGTCGTTCCACGCGACTGCCCACAGCCAAATTACAATAATAACTCAAAACGCATAGAAGATGCGCAGGCTAAATGTTTTGCATCAATCCTTTGCCAAAAACAATATAAAGAACGGGCAAACAAAAGGGCCGGGCATCTGAGTAGCGTGTAGAATCAAGAATCGAAAAATGTGTTTCATTAAATGTTATTTATAGTCAGCAATTTTATGCATTTAAAGCGCGTCTATCAACGGCAGCATCAGCATCTGCATCTGAGCATCGCCATGCGGAAACGACGACGACGCCATATTGAAATTAACTGTGGCGCGCTCTCATGGATGAAGGGTGCGAGAGCGAGATAGCTATAGATATAGGGTGAGCGCCATTGCGACCCCAATAGATGCCGTTCCTAATGCATGGCATGGCAACTTTCACCTTTTTCAGAATCGTTTTGCATTTGTTTGTTTTTACTACGGCATAGATAATTTTGTAGTTTTCTTTTTCACGTGAAATATTGCCGGGCAAACGGCGCGCGCTCAGATCCAGGCCTTTGCCTTTGCCAATGCTCCACAGTCGCAGTCGCAGCAGCCGCAGCCACAAATCAGAATGTCGTTGAAGCATTCAAGTGCAACCGGCGTGAAGCGAACTCGCTGCTGCTGCTTCTGCTGCGGCTGCGGCTGCCTCAGTCTCCGGCTGCGTTGCGGCAAATCTGGCCAACTCTCAGATGAACGGCCGTTGAGTGAGCAACGTCAGCGTTCCATCTATTGTCAGATTGTCGTCGTCTTGGTCTTCACTGCCGCCGGACAGGGACCCAGTAGACCTTCAAACGGTTTTTGTGTATCGATCGATCGATCGATCTATCCAGGCACGTCCCACACGTCCCACACAAAACCAGTTTGGCCTATTAACACTTCGATTACAACTCAACTTTTTTTTTTTTTGCCGCCGCTCGAGCAGCATTTTTCTGGGTGGTCTTGAGCGACGCTTTTAGTTAAATTTTTGATTTATTTGAGCTTCAATTAGTCGTTGAACAAATCTGTTTATTTGCTTTTAATTATTGTTTGAAACCACAATGCCGTGCCCCTGGCACAGGTTAGAGGGCGACTCATACTACCCAACTCCCTAACAGTGCCCCTTCGGCAACTTTGTGGCTTGATGTTGTTGCTTCCGAGTCATGTATAACTGGCCTGAGTAAACCGAAGAGAAGGTTTTTAATTAACACCAACAATATAATTTACGAAAAACATCAAATACGCGCGCATTATTAATGCATGTTTAAGTGATTTTATACACATTCAGATCAAGTATAAATATTGCTAAAGCCCCCCACCCGCAAAAAAAAGGTGTTGGAATTAAAAAGGTAATTGTTCAAGTACAATTACTTTAAGCGATGCATTCATTAAAGATGTTTCCGTTTGTGGAACCATAACGAGAATTCCAAATTTAATTGTACACTTTGGATTTTAATTAACTTTTTAAGCAACGCTAAAATGTATAGCTTATAAATAATACAATATAATGGTGCGCGTATTATTTATTTTTATATAAAACTCATACATGATTGAATCTGGGGATTGTGTTTTAATAAACAAACAAAAACAGACTGCATGCTCTTAAAAATATCGAAATGCATTTGGAAAATTTATAAACCATAACGCCCCCAGACACTGGGAATGGGCTTGAGAATGGGAGCAGCACCGAAAGCGGCGGCGGCGGCAACAACAAAATCAAATCAGCGTGAAAGATGCGCTTCCCATTTTCCGCCGCACCAGCAAATACGTATATGCCTAGGAAAAGAGCGTGAGGCAGATATTTGGCCTGTGAAATTGAAACCGACGAGAAGTAGAAACATGTGTCCAAATCTTGCACACAGCCGCTGACTTGTCCAGCGCAGTCTACCGCGCAATATTACAAACAACTTCATTGGATCGTTAGTGCGGGTGCGAACCTCCCGGATCAGGTGACAGTTGCGGTGCGTTGCCTCTCAAGTGAGCCGCTTCAGGGTTATTCCAATAATTCATCGTTAACTGCAATTGCGCTGAGCCATTTTATGTCCACGTCAAGGACGCAGCTCTCAAGTGGCTGCCGACCGTTGCACAACATATTCATCAACGCCTAGTTGATCCCGTCTAACGTGGTGCATCCCACCTTTTAAGTGCCTGCTCGTGTAGCTGGCGTAGACAATTCGACGCTTCCGTTCAGCGTTTACACCCTTTGGTCGGCGTGTTATGTAAGCTGGGATGCCGACTTCGATGCTGCTCCGAATATGTCAGTTTTATAACACATTTTGCCCACTTTACGACACTTGAACTACCTCATCCCCTCCCCCTCCCCCGCCCCGTTCCACTTTCAAATCCGCGGACGCCTCTGTCACGGATGCGCCTTTTGTTTTCTCAAGTGTCGCGCATATTTTCTTTGACTTCGCGATGCTGTTGTGCTGTTATTTTTGCTGGGTGTTATAACACAAAAATAAGAAAGCCAAAAACACATAATATTCATTTGTTATGCTTGTCATTTGTCGCCGCTGGCGGCAACTTCAAAGCATGTCACCCAATTTGTTAAACGCAGATAATTTCGTCTCCATCTTCAGCTGGGCTCGTCTTTACGGCATGCGGCTTTTAATTTTCGCATATGGCTAATTATTATAATTATTTTTGTTTTGACTTATACATATGTATGCAACTTAAGTCGTAAAGTATTGGATCGTATACCAAAAATTCAAGGGGTAAAATTTCCCTCTTAGAAGTCGAACTAAACATGCTTCCAAAAAATGCTCCACATCAAAAGCAGCTATCTACATTAGAGGGGTATTGAAATAAACATATATAAAAGATCGGACTAAAAATCATTTTCAAACTTCCTTGTTTAAATTCATGTAGGTGGAGTTTGAAACTTTTCGGAAAAACCAATCCGCCTTGGTGGAAGTGGAGAGTAAAAATTTGGGGGTAATGTTTCCGGATCAGATGCATTCCAAGGATATTTAAGAATATTCATTTGAGATACACCCATCATCCCAATTGGCCCTTCTCAAGCTTATTTGCAGAGTGTCTGTGAAAATGCATTCAAAATTCACAATAATAATAATTGTATTAGCAAAAATTCATGTTACGCTCGTTCAACGCCTACGAATACGTGTTCAGCGATGGCGAAAATTCCGCCCATAACTATATACAACTTAGTGACAAAGGTTCAGGGAAACATTCAAGTTTATCCTTCGATCAACCATATACCTGGGCGTTCAAGATTGGTCGTGCTTTGCCAAGCCCGATCGGGTTTAGTTTATTCTGAAAACTCTATTCAAAAACTTATTAAATACCTGTCTGATCTCTTTAAGAAATTTCATCAATGGGTAGATGATTAAATCGACTTTAAACTCATTTTAAAATATCTACGTGATATATTTGATAGTAGATAGCTAAACTGTAAGTTTTACTTGAATTCATGAGAATCACATAGTAGGGCGGCATTTGAAATTCTTTCCTTTTTTAATTTGGAATGCAGCGGAGGAAGTTTCAAAAAGTCAAGTAAGCGAGGCTTACAGCCGTCGTTTGGCATTGCTTGCGCGGACAAGTTTTCAACTTATAATTTTGATCAATAGTTTTCCTATTTCCAGCTAATGGAAAAAATCATGATCATTAGCTGGAAATCATGACCATCAATCAGCCAGTCAGAATGCTTGATAATATCAATTCGGTATAGAGCCACATCCACATTTGAAGAAGTAAATCTTAAATAAACAGTTCCGACTTTGGAAGTTATTATAAGAAATTGAACAAGCATGTAAAAAGCTAGTTACAACATTTCAAATTTTGCTTAGAAACTAAGCAAAATCATTCACAAAGCAAACGTTCACAATGGCGATCATCAGAACGAGTCTGCGAGAGAGCAGCGAGTTAAATTCGCAACAAAAGGTACGCGCAGGTAGGCCAAACCAATCGCAGGGAGGCGTGTCCAACTCGTCGGTGAGAGCGTGAGTGAG